GAAAGAGATATTTAGAGCTAGATTAAAATTCTTCTAATTAAGCCTTATAATTGACGCAAAAAATTATGTAAATCGTGAGTCGCAATAAATTTATAAATATCGTGTACGTATTTAAAGAATGATAGAAAAACCAACAGTTTTCAACTGGATCTTCTTCAGTAAAGTGATATACAGTTTGTCAATCATTAATCGATCAGAATATAAAATATGTCTTCTATAATTATTTAATACTGCTAATATCTCTGATTCGTTATGGCAAAGTTAAAATTCATTATCCACTACAAAGTTTTTTCCCAAATTTGTAAAAGATTTAAAATTAAAATAAATATTATCAAAATACGATTGTGTTGAAGTGACAAAAAATTATAACAAAATTTTTTAAGATATGCTCATTAAGATATATATATCGTAATTTATCCATAGAAAACAAACCATAACAGATACAATCAAAAGTAATCCATACAGAAATAAAAGTATATACAAAACCGACTTCGTATTTATATATCAATTTTTATAAAGATTTTTAGAAATACACCTACAATACTATACTACAATTAATATATGTTTTCTATTTCATTACAATTTATTTCAATTTTTCTTTATATGTGCAGAATTTTGCTAAGGGTGAGAAAGGAGTACTTGTTACGTTTCTGATATTCCAATTCTTAGTTTTGCTAATACTATACGCTCATTGCACTGTCGGTGAAAATCTTCTAACAGAGGTAACATTATAAAAATAAAAAAGAACAATTAATGCTAGACATTAAAAATATACGATTGTTATAAAATAAATAAGAATACAAAAATTCCGGTATGAAATAAATTAATAAGAGTCAGGAACAGAAAGTAGCCACAACAAACTTATTTTAAAATCTAATTGACTTGAACATTTCGATCCTTTCTTTGGACCATCGTCAATAATCAGCAGTATCAAAATATGAAATCAGAACAGCTTACAATCAGTACAATTGCCCGAAAGCAAAAAACCTAGGCCGGATTAAGATTTTGCTCTGACATTTTTTAATTTATTTACTTAGGATGATATGGAATATTTGAAATGTAAATTTTAGACTGAATTTTTTTTAAGCACTTGGTAGCATATTAAGAAAAAATTGAGTCCTGTGTTTACTTAATTAGTTTCAAAAGAAAAAATTATTTCCCTTGAAATTTATGCACTACTCAGCATTTTGCTCATATCCAACAATTTAAATTATATTTTTATTATTTAAAAAGATATATAAATCAATAATGATGAAAAAACATTCAAATATATAACATACTTATTAAATATCCTTTTTATCAATAATATATAATATTTTACTTTATACAACATATTATTAAATATTTTAATCAAATTATTTCAATATTTTTTTATGCTATATAATTTAATTTTTGAATGACTTGTCAAGATAAAACTACATTAAGTTATTTATTTGTATATACTGTACGAATCGTATTGGAGACGAATCGTATTTGTATTTATATACTGTACGAATCGTATTGGAGAAAGAGAGACGGAAGGACGTGAGGGATTTATCCAAAATTTTCATTTTCAGAGTGCTAAAATATGTGAAGCGTTTTTATAAATGTCTTTGGTATGATATGCCAATAGAAAATGCACGGACGGTAATATTATGTATGGCAAGATCGCAAAAACCGCTCTGTTTGACAGCTGGAAAATTTACTATATTTTGTCTCAGCACTTTGACTGACGTAAGATAAAAATTAAAAGTTTTAAAATGTTCAAAATAGTTTTAATTTTAATTGAGTTATATGGTATATATAAAAAATTAGAAATTATATTTTTTCTTCAACAAAAATTGGTTTATTGCTTTAACCTTAAACTGATGTAATCGAAGATCAGTAAAGAAGCATATAATATTCACGGTATTTTTAAGTAAAGAACTCAGAATTCTTAATTATTTGCCAAAATCAAATTAATCAAAAAATTCACCAAAAAATCAAATTAGAAAGATCAGCCAATTAATATTTAAAACTTCAAGATACAAGTAAAAATTAGCATTAAGTTAACTCTTTCATTCGTGCTAATAGACACAAAGTCTATTATGATTGTATTAAAAAATTATATTTCAGCAGTCTTAATATCATATAATATACTGTAATATACTATAATTAATATATTTGTTGATATAATATCACAAAAAGAAATATTTAACAATTTAAAATTTAACAATTCGTATATCAACGTATAGAAAAGTAATAAGTACATTTTTCAATATTTAATGTTTTGTTAATTTTATAGGTTTTAAAAACATCGATGGGGTATTTATCAGTACTGCGTTCGTTTATGTAACAGCATCAAAATAAGCAGCAATTTCAGGAAAGGATTAATATATATTTATAAATTAATTATACTCGAGAATAAACATAAATGCATAATTTATTAAAAAACGAGATAAAAGAAAAGTTATATTGTGTCTGATTACTTTTACATATATTACGGGAAAATTTAATTATTTTAGAAAAATTTAATTAATTTAAAACAAATTATATGTATATGCATATATGTAAATAAAAAACTAGTTATTTATAATTATAATTATTTCTTCATTAATTAATTTATTTCAAAATATAAATTATTTATATAGAGAACACTGTTTGCATGTCGCACATAAAATAAAATTTGTGCACTAACTGCATTTATGTACAGTACCGGCCAAAATTATATCACTTTTTGATTTTTTCATCACAACTTGTTTTAAAGTGCACGGATCTCTATCAAATCATAACATGTTTTGAAGGTTGGTATAACATTAAATTATAATTCAATATATAATATACTGTCCTTTAAAACGTGTTATGATTCGTGTAGAGATCCGTGCACTTTAAAACAATTATGCTGAAAAAATCAAAAGGTAATATAATTTTGATCGGTACAACTGTATATGAACGATCGTTTAGGGTATCTGCTAAAGAATATTGTACCAATCGCTCAGAGCACAAACAGATGAGCAGATAGAGCACAAAAAATTATTTACTAATTTGCAATTTGTGCACTAATTAATAATAAATTAATTAAAATAGATCGACCAATTTACGCGAATATAAAAGCGCGAAGAGAAGAGACAACTCAATGTTTGATTCTTGAGACATGATATAAAGCACTGAAATTAATAAGTTGAATTATATATTGTGCCTATTATCTTATTACAATAAATATATATTGATTTTTGTAATATTTCCTTATTTTTCGAGTAAGCTTTAAACTTTCGAAATGTATTTTTCTGAGAGTAGCGGCTCGTCTTTTTTATTTATTATAGCAACATAAAGTTTTTTTACACACACACACACATGTATATATATATATATATATATATATTTGTATGTCTAATTACTGTAATTATAATATTGTCTACTTTTTATTGATAAATATTATAATTTGAGAAATTTTTTTCTGAGAACATATTTTTTAGATTGTGTGTGTGCCTAGCACCGATCTTTAAATGAGAAAAAAATTGTATAATATATATGTATAAGAGGAAATTTTAATTGCAACGACGTCGTATCGTTCAACTAACACACATATTCGACTTTGAAAGTTTGCTCTACGTTTATTGTCAGCTTATATAATACGAGATGTATCGTGTGCACATACTTCCGTGGGAATAAAATTTAGAAGCATTCGAAATACTCACTCAGAAAAATATGATGTTTTATATAATGAAGATACACGTTTTTAGACGATGTGATTCCAATGTGTACAAAAATAATACGATTAAACTTACTTCAAATTCACTCAAATAGAATGACATGTATTATTCCAAGCAGATTTTATGGAGATTAAGACGGTTGACTATTCTATACACTTTATAATAAGCCATAATTAAAGCATATGCGACGCGTCGTAATACAAATCGGTATTCTTATATTAATACATACATCTCAGCCAATCGCCAGGCGTTTGATATTAATTGTCATGTAGTAAAACTAGACATTCCATTGGTTATTTTACCGACTTTTTATTTCTTCAATAACTTTTTCAATTAAAGTAGATTTGCTTCAATTAGAAAAGTCTAACAATATTTAATAATGTCATAGTTCTTTTTTGTTAATATGTAATCGAAATTAATAATATATAAACATATTTGTGCAATATTTTAGAAAGTCGACAGTCTGATCTAATATACACGTACATATACATATGTATATGCATGTGTTATATGAATTCATTAAATAAAGTTGCTTATACTTGCTTCCTTTTATTCTTCTATTCTCAACTACTAATAATGATTACTGATGTAATATAATACATGTAATATTAGATTAAAAATAGAGTATTTTGTTTAAGAAAAAATAATCCATATATATATATATCCCTTCTTTTCTACAGATAAATATATAAAACTATTATAACAATATTACAATCACTTAATTATTGATCATTTTAGAAAATGTATTGCTGCTACTAAAAGCTAATAAAACTTCTTTTAACAATGTGCAGTTTGAACGATATAACGATATAATATAATAGCGAGTTGTCCCCACTTCACTTCCAAATAGTGAAATTCGAAGCTATGACGATATCCTTTTGTTAACACATTTTTCAGTACATTGCTGAGAGACAGATACGCGTTGTCGTACAGTTGTATCTCTACTGCCACTCACGTGTATCCATAGTGCATATATAGAAGCGATTTTGAGCGCTATTTTGTGATGAGCATTTACTCGGATCGTAATAAAAAGATAAAATATTTATCTAAGAATAATCCATTTTACAGATATTAATAGAAGTATTAGTTTTATACTCCTATAAAAATTGGCAATTGCATTTTAAACAAAATGCATTTATTTGTTCATTTTTTGACAATTTTGGAATATTTTTATATAGAAATGTCTATTAGATATATAAATTAAATATATAACTTAAGAAATAACATAACTTTTTCCTCTATTACAATCGATAATCCTCTTAGAAATCTTTGTCTCGATCTAAAAGCAGAGTAATACTACATGCAATTATTGTTACAACGGAAGTTTATAATACATGCTTAAATTGTTTGCGTTTGTAAATTTTCTAATCAATTATATGATGTGTAGTAATTATATGTCAGAGATTTGTATAAATCATATATAAGTTTACGTTGACTACTTTAATTATTAATCACAAAGAAGAGTGCACAATACGATTCTGAAATTGAAAACACAGGTGCATGGAGTAACACGCTCATATGTAATTCATACACCAATTTCGAGTGCAATTATGCTCTGTTTTGTGATCATTTATTTAACGATTCTATAGACAGCATTAGGGCAGAGATTATCTTCTAGGTATATTTGATACAGTCTCAGATAAACATTCAAAGAAAGAACAGTGTAAAGAATGACACAGGTGGGTTGTATACAATTTTTTTTAATATTGCAATATGTCATAAAAATAAAATATTATTTAAAAATTAATTACAAAAAATTAATCTTCTTGCCTGTTTAATTCTAAGTTTATATTTAAAAATTAATCTTGTATTATAGATTACTCAAGAAGACTTGGATCGCGCATCTGAGGTGCTGTCTTGGAACAAACATTTAATGTCGACGTTGGGTCTTTGGCCTTTTCGGAATAACAATTTGTTATTCTTCATTACCTTTGGTTACTTCAGTTTTCTCATGATGCTAGAGTACCTGGATTTGTTGCTATTCATCAATGATCTCGAACATGTGGTCATAAACTTGACAGAGAACATGGCATTCTCACAGATACTTGTACGAATGATTATGTTACGATTATACAATTGTCAAGTAGGTGATGTCATAGCGGAAGTTATGAAGGATTTTGATAAGATGTGTTATAAAACTACCGAAGAGATGAAGATAGTTATCACATATAATGCTAGGTCAAAGATCTTCGTTAAACTGCTGGTTGTGTCCGTCGCGTTAACAGCTTCGTCGTATTTTTTAACACCAATTATAATTATACTCGGAAGTGGTGCGTCATGCTCATGCTTTTATGTAATTTTATTCTGGTGCGTCTAAAAATTATATATATGAAATAAAAAGATGTAAAGTCTTGTTAATACATACACATAGTCGTGTCTATGCATGTGTTCGTATGTGTACATGTTGTGTATGTGTATACGTATATTGTGTGTTCAATTGTATTTACATATTTGGTTAAAAGTCACTATTTTGTAAACTGAAATGAGATATTGAAAAATTATTTATCAATCATTAATTTTTATAATCGCAAAAAAATTGTTTAAAACATTCTCTTTGAGAATTTATACATACTACATGTAGATTATTACATGCAATAAAAATGACAGAGATGTTTTTTATTATTTTGATGCGTAGAACTCACTTTTAAAAATATATATAAACCTTTTAGTTACATTTATATACTACAATCCGATACATTTTACAACTTAATTATTGTTTTCTTTTAATCTGATATAAAAATTATTTTCTCTTTTAAAGCAAAGTAAAAAGTAGAGGAAAAGATAATAATATGAGTAATTTTTTCTTTTAAACAAAATACTTAAATACTGTAAAATATTATTATTGCATTATCAGTAGTGTTATTAAATATATATCTTAATGTATTAATTGTAATAAAAAAGAAAGAAAAACTGTTAAAAGAGAGAGTAAAAAAATTATTTACATATTGCAAAATGTATCGCCAAGAATCTTCGAAAGTAAAGTGGTAATATGAAACAGGCATAAAAATATATAACAGTAAATCTTATTTTTTTATTATAAGATTTTTATTAAAATAATTTTATTAATTTAAAAGAAAAAAATTTATTTTAAAGATAAAAATAAAAATAATTGCCTTATTTAGAAATTAAGAAAAAATAGGCAAGTATTATAATTTGATATATTATAGATAATGTGTTAAATTTCTCGACAAAAAAATTTTTTTTAATTTTATCTTATGCTTTGATGATTAAAAAACATATCCCAGTCAGAAATGATTGGTCGAAAAGACGTCGAATTGATATCGATTCGAGCAATTCGACATCGGTTCGACATTTTAGAATTAAATAATGTGTCTATTTTATATTACCACGCTTTATTTCATATATTTACTTATTTTCTCCTATAAATAGTACATCTTTCTTTTAATATTAATGCTAATATAATTGTATGTTGTTTTAGGTTTCCCCAAAATAGTAATTAATGAGAATATGACTCAAGTAATTTATTTATTGCCCTATCGCTTTCATTTGTTTCATGCAGTTGATAACATGCGTACTTACATAATTACTTATGCTGTGGAATTTCCATTTGTATTTGTCAGTGCTTTGGGACAAACCACAGCTGATTGCATTATGGTCACCCTTGTCTTTCATATTTGCGGACAAATGTCAGTTTTATCTATGCGCATTACTAATATAAATACGGAGCTTTTAAGTTGCAGACGCGAAATGCGACATGCAGTGCAAATGCATCTACGACTACTCCGGTGAGCTTATTATTATGATATATTATATAATATAAAACAACATAAAGAAAATCTTCTTTAAGCTAAAATAGCTTTACTTTTGCACTAATTATTATTAATTTATTATTAATTTTTTATTTTTATAAAAATGAAATTTGGTATAGAAATATTATTTTATTCTATGATAATACGACGTTTTTCAGGATGGGAAACACAATAGAGAAAGCATTTAACATAACATTGTTGGCTCATCTTTTAGGAACTATTTCTCTTGTGTGCATTCTTGGATATCAAATTTTGACGGTAAATATATTAGAATCTTTTTACTACGATTAAGTTTAATTATTTTAAAATGTAAAAAGCTCCAAAAATAAAACTTATCTAAAGAAAAGATTTGAGGAGCAAATTATGATTAAACACAAATATATGAACTTATGAATTTACAATTCGTGAAAGAAATATTTAATGCTAGATTAAAAGTTTTCTAATTAGATCTTATAATTAATGCAAAAATTATGTAAATCGAGAGTCGTAATATATTTATAAATATCATGTACTTATTTAAAGAATAACAAAAAAAAACAAACATTTTAGTTCGCAACTGGATCCTCTTCAGTGAAGTGATATGTAGTTTGTCAATCCTATTAATCGATCAGAATTATTGCCTTCTAATTATTTATTTCATACTGCTAATATCTCTGATTTGTTATGGCAAAGTTAAAATTCATTATCCACCACAAAGTTTTTTCCAAAATTTGTAGAAAGAATTAAAATTGAAATAATATATATGAAATTCTTATAAAAATTGTCAGAAATACACCTACAATTCTATACTGCAATTAATATATGTTTTATATTTAATTACAATTTATTTCAATTTCTCGTTATATATGCAGAATATTTCTAAGGGTGACATAGGAGTACTTGTTCCGTTTGTGATATTCCAGTTCTTAGTTCTGATAACACTATACGCTAATTGTACTGTCGGTGAAAATCTTCTAACAGAGGTAACATTATAAAAACAAAAGAGAACAATTAATGCAAAGACATTAAAAAGACACGATTGTTAATAAAATAAATAAGAATACAAAAATTCAGGTATGAAATAAATTAATAAGAGCCAGGAACAGAAAGTAGGCGCAACAAATTTATTTTAAAATCTAATTGACTTGAACATTTCGGGCCTTTCTTCGGACCACCTTTAATAATCAGCAATATCAAAAATGTGAAATCTGAATAGCTCACAATCAGTACAATCGCTCAAAAGCGAAAAATCTAGCACCGATTAAGATTGTGCCCTGACATTTTTTAATCTATTTACTTAGGATGCTATAAAATATTAGAAATGTAAATTTCAGACTGAAATTTTTTTTAGCACTTGGTAGCATACTAAGAAAAAATTGAATCCTGTGTATGGTATAATTAATTAATTTTTTTTTTAATTTATTTCCCTTGAAATTTACGCACTACTATCAGCATTTGGCTCTTATCGAACAATTTAAATTTTATTTTTATTATGTCAAAAGATATATAAATCAATAATGATGAAAAACATTTAAATATACTAAATATTTATTAAATATTCTTTTATCGATAATAAATAATTTTATACTTAAAGTTTTTATACTTTAATAAAATATATTGTTAAATTACTTTTAATCAAATTACTTCAATATTTTTCATGCTATGTCAAGATAAAACTACATTAAGTTATTTATTTGTATATACTGTACGAATCGTATTGGAGAAAGAAAGAGACGGAAGGACTTAAGGGATTCATTTAAAATTTTCATTTTCAGAGTGCTAAAATATGTGAAGCGTTTTATAAATGCCATTGGTATGATATGCCAATGGAAAATGCACGGATGATAGTATTATGTATGGTAAGATCACAAAAACCGCTCTGTTTGACAGCTGGAAAATTTACTATATTTTGTCTCAGCACTTTAACTGACGTAAGACAAAAAGTTCTAAAATGCTCAAAATAGTTTTAATTTTTAATTGAGTTATATGGTATATATAAAAAATTAGAAATTATCTTTTTCTTCAAAAAGAAAAATACAATAATTTATCGCTTTAACTTTAAACTGATGTAATCGAAGATCAGTAAAGAAGCATATAATATTCACGGTATTTTTAAGTAAAGAACTCAGAATTCTCAATTATTCGTCAAAATTAAATTAATTAAAAAATTCACCAAAAAACCAAATTAGAAAGATCGGACAATTAATGTTTAAAACTTTAAGATACAAGTAAAAATTAGCATTAAATTAAGTCTTCCATTCTTGCTTTTGACATAAAGTCTATAGTGATTATATTAAAAAATTATATTTTGCAGTAGTTTTAATATCATATAATATATTGTAATATACTATAATTAATATATTTGTTGATATAATATCACAAAAATATTTAACAATATAAAATTTAACAATTCGTATATCAACGTATAGAAATAAAGTAATAAGTACATTTTTCAATATTTGATATATTTTGTTAATTTTATAGGTTTTAAAAACATCAATGGGATATTTATCAGTACTGCGTTCCTTTTGTAACATCATCAAAATAAGTAGCAATTTCAGAAAAGGATTAATATATATTTATAAATTAATTATGCGCAAGAGTAAACATATAAATGTATAATTTATTAAAAAACGAGATAAAAGATATGCATATATGTAAATAAAAACTAGTTACTTATAATTATATTTATTTCTTCATTAATTAATTTATTTTAAAATATAAATTATTTATATAGAAAGCATTCTGTTTGCGTGTCGCACATAAAACAAAATTTGTGCACTAACTGCATTTATGTACCGGTCACAATTATATCACCTTTTGATTTTTCATCACAACTTGTTTTAAAATGCACGGTTTTCTGTCAAATCATAACATGTTTTAAAGGTTGGTATAACATTAAATTATAATTCAATATATGTTATACTGTCCTTCAAAACATGTTATGATCGTGTAGAGATCCGTACACTTTAAAATAAGTTATGCTGAAAAAGGTGATATAATTTTGGCCGATACAACTGTATATGAACGATCGTTCAGGGTACCTGGTAAAAATCTTGTGCCAATCGCTCAGAGCACAAACAGATGAGCAGATAGAGCACAAAAATTATTTACCAATTTGCGATTTGTGCACTAATTAATGATAAATTAATTAAAATAGATGGACCAATTCGCGCGAATACAAGAGCGCGACGAGAATTAAGAGACAGCTCAATGTTTGATTCTTGAGACACTATAAAGCACTGGAATTAATAATTAAGTTTAATTATATATTGTGCCTAGTAACATTGGACTGTCTTTTCTTGCACTCAATGTTCATAAAGTCGTAATTATGAAACGGATGTGTCTGTGCTGCAATATTTTTATTTACAACAAAATATTACAATATATACATATAAATATTTCTTATTGTTTATTAATAATATAATATATAAAATTTAACATAATTTATACTTTAAAGCACTTTTTATTTTAATTGTAATAATATGTATATATTCTTAATTATAGTAACATCATAAATTCAATATATTACTATATACATATAATATAATTTATAGCTATATCATAATCAATATTTTAGAAATATTAAAGAAGAAAGGGTAAAAAAAATCCCTTTTCGATTTTGATGTATTTCAGCTATATTATAGTTTAGAGCAAAAATCTATATATGTATGTGTTACATCGGATATTCTATATGAATATGCATTTTTTGCACGACATGAAACTAATATATGTAGAATATATATGTTTATATACATTTCATATGCATGGCATTTGTATTTAATTTTCTGTACGTAATATGTACATATGTTTTGTATATTACTGTACATTAATATTTTGCAATCTCTACATTTATTATAATATAGCTGGTTCGTTCGCTTATTACTATATGTGCTATCTCGTGTTTATACATTTTAATTATGAGCTTATACATATATATAAAGCTTACAAAGAACAGTTTAGTAATTAAGATTAAAGTGTAATAATAATTTATTTTTGTAATATAGTTTTTCTCAAATACAGGAAATTCAGATATATTTAAATTTTATATTTATTGTTAAATTATTAAAAAAAAATATTTTTACTAATTTATTATTAAATTATTTAAATATCGGATAGATAAATGTCCGATAATAAATAATAATAATCTGCTAATATATTTATCTATTTAATAAAATACAATTTCCGTATAAATAAATAAAATAATATTGAATTGCCTGTATTAAGATATTTAAATTTATATTACTATATATATATACAACAATCTATGTGTATATATAAAGGGCGTGATAAAAATATTTGGACTGATTCTGTTATTAATACATTTTATTGATTATTTTATTACAAACATTTAATCATATAAAATAAAAGTATTTTTATCTATACACTTTGCCACTTCGATCACTGTTGGAAACATTTTTATGTTTTTGATATATAATCACAAAATTAATCACAAAAACAAAAGCAAAAATGTTAAAATTTATGAAGAAAAAGTGATTTGTTTATTAATATATTAAAATATAAATTTTGAGTATTTTTGAATATATAATTATAATTAAATTTCTTTCTCAAATAAATGATTAAAGGCCGGTTATTCCAACTTCTTGGTAAATTTTACCCGACAGATAGCATATCTTCGTCTCTTTTTTTATAACTTATCTGAAAAAGACGAAAATATGCTACCTGTTGGTAAAACTTATCAAGAAGTTGGAAAAATCGGCCCTAGAACAGTAAATGTTTGAGTCAAATATACGACTGCGATCACGTCGAGCGGACGGCCTTATATATACCATATACCTGGCAAATTACATTCAACCCCCACTATCTTGATAGGGGTTGCCATCCCTATGGGGATGGGGATGCGTGAGAGAGAGAGATGAAGTAACTCAGCGCCAGGTGAATATCGCATATGAAAGAAACCTATAGTTATTAAATAATTTAGTACATTTATAGCCCAGGATACAAAGTTATATGATAGACGGGGAGAATATTGTCGAATGCCTACCAGAAGGGGACTATAGTTTTAGTATAACGCATTTTTGGACGTATGCTTATATAATTTTATTGAGTCGAAACTAGAACATTTTTTTACTGACAAAATATATAAGAGAATAAAGTAAGTAAATAGATTATGTAAAGCATGCATGAATAGTTATATTGTAATATCTTATGTATATAATGTATAGTTTATGTAATGTATATTATGTTTAGATAAAATTTTTATTAGATACTTTAGATTAGAAAAATCATACAACGTAAACACATTTTTAATTATTAATACGGATAAACATATATCTCTGGAAAATATTTTTATTATATTTAATTTGGCAGAAGAATGATACGAGAGAAACTAGTACAAAATCAGTTATTGCCGATTCGCATGGCTTTTTCTAAACATTTAGAAGCAGCTTGATGAAGTTTCTTGTCCATTTTATCTATAATATGAAAGAAGAATTTATCTTAATTACCAATGTATGTATATTAATCATAATTAACGGAAATATATAATTGCCATTGAAAATATATTAAATAATGAAAATATATATTGCTCGTAGTTTACTCGATTACTTACAAATTTTATATTTTCCTTTCATAGGAAAATTTATCGGTAACATGTAAGAATTTTCACATATAAAAACATATGGACTATCATTTTCTCCTTCTGGATATATTTTTTTATATTCTTCCTGAGGTAGAACATCGACCACTGTTACACAGCCTAACAAGCAACCCGGGGGGTAAGTCTCGGGAAATTTTATCGTTTCTAAAATTGTTAAGATTGATTATTATTAAAAATATAGTTAAAATATATATATTGTTGGAAATATAATTAAAGAAATATATAAATATTTTAAAATAAATATTTTTTACTAACTATTTTTTAATATGTTGTAGACATGCTGTACATTGGATATTTTTTCAGTAGATGGTACTTTAGCTGCCGATGCTATCCATAATCTTCCTCTGTGTGAAGAATACCAACTTCTACCCTCGTGGCTGATAACAACAAACTCACATCAAATATTTTGACTGTGCATATTTTTTTAAAATGTATCATGAACTCACGTTTTAATTCCTGCTACCAGCAATGATGCATAAGGCTGATGCATGCTCAAACACAGGCCTTGATCAGACATTTCCAAATATTCTTTATCTTGAATTCTGCTTTCTGTGTTCCATGTGTCATTTTCAGTTCTTCTGCTTGTTCCAGATATCCCCATTTCAATAAACTAAACATATATATTAATAATATATAATAAGAAATAATTTCAAAAAATTGTTCAGAATTATTTCAAGATTAATCAGAAGTGAGAATTTACTAAATAATATTAATTAGAAAAAATTCGTGCTTTATCTTACTGTTGGCCGATCAAATTCTATTGTTGGACAGATATTCGAATTATCAGAGACACCGTATGACATTGCTTCACTAAGCTCTTCTGATTGTAAATTATGGAATTCATCATTATAAACTGTTCTTCCCATAAAATCTATAGTGACCCTTTTATCTAAACGCGATGCGTGCTTGCGAGCGAGTACTTCCGATTCTTGCTTCCGTAATTTTTCGCGCTCCTCAATAGAAAGCCAAATACTATTTGATTGATAATAATCCGATTCGTCATCAATCACTTTAGTACGGCGAGCGCTAAAAAATTAAAAATAATTATTAATTATACAACTAATTTATCATTATTAAAATTAGTAATAAATAATTTTGACAAAAAACATGTGCATACCTGTTGCGATCAAATTCAAGAAGTTTGTCCCTCTGTTTGAGGGAGTCTTCAAAGCCTTTAGTTGGCTTTCGTTCCATCAATTTATTGTACAAATTATCGGCCTGTTTAGAATTACTCTGAAGAACCACTTGTTGTTCGGGAGAGCAAACGAGTTCTTCACAAAAAAAGCATGGTCCTGCACCTTCTTGCGCACAAACTATTCTTCCACAATTGAGACAATTGTTAATTAATGTATGTCTCTTTGTTTCGCAATCACATTTGTGTCTCCCTAAGCACATTGTCACAAGAAATATTATATCATTCATATAAATTATTGCTTTATATATTACTTGTACATGTTCATTACGAGATGAATACCTTTCAAGAGAACATCTCCATGATCTAACAAATTAACAAATTTAGTCTTCTTTTTTCCATTTTTACAGATTTTGTTTCAAATTTTGCAACTTCTTGTATCTGTACAAAAAAAAAAATAGTTTTATAATTTTCAGTCAATTGTTAAATAATTTTGGAAAAGTATTAATATATACCTGAACATTTTCTTTTCCCTTTGTTTTTCCTTTTTCTTTTCATTTTGTTTGTTGGGCACATTGTCATTGTCATTTGTTTTCTTGTATCCAATTTGATTTTTATAAGATGCTGGAAGAATAGTCAAGAAAACTACATTTTATATATATATTTTTATATTTACAATTTACATATATATATATATATATGTGTGTGTGTGTGTGTGTGTTTAATTTATCAAAAGCAATCTCTTAAGACTCTGCTCTCACCTCGTTGCTTCTTCAATTCTGTTACAAATTCTTTGTGCCTTGGATTTTTATAATTCAATAAACTTGCAAAATAGTTCTCTAAATCTCTCTCATTTTCCATTTTTTTAACATATCTGAAATTGAGATGACACGTGATGTAACAACATGCAACAATATGCAAATAATAATAGAGAAAAATGTTTATCACTCTCTATGTACTTACTCGATCAATTCATCCGGAACTTGAAATTCCAGAAGTTCGGACAATTTTTCTCTTATCCATTGATCCATGATAACGCGATAACGATAAATAAATGAATAATTATAGTAAATTGTCTGACGAATATATGTTGCACGTACAAACGCACACGTGGATTCTGTCACCTGTCACCTGTCACCTGTCAACGGGATTATGGAGACGAGGCTGAAGAGTATCCTAGAGAGCTTTGAGATAATATATTTATTTCTTATTAATATGGAGTTTTCATCAACAATAACAGTGTAGCAGTAGGCGTAACAAGAGAGACGAGGTAGGTAGGTTACGAGGAACCTAACCTAATGTCGTACGCCAACAAGTCACCGCGATTGGAGGGGATCCTCGATTTGTGGTTGTGTGGCGCCTTTTTACGATTTTTTTTTTCCTTTCCTTTTTACTTATTATTATATCACTACTTTTTTTATACGCTCTACGACGTCGATCACTATCATTGATTTGCGATACGTAGTCGACGCGTTGTCGAGCATTATTTATGCGCAAGAATATAATATATTCCAATTTTCTCGAGCCACATGAGAAACAAAAAGACAAAAAAATGAGAAACGTATCCCCATTCACTCGCAGACTGTCATTCATTTTGGAGAGAAATACGATATATTATTATTATTATAATAATTATCGCACATTACGCGCGCAATCGTACTTGTATCTCGCATAATTTACGCACAATCGATAGTTTACGCAATAATTATAATAAATATGTCGTGTGAGAGGGTTTCGATCGCACGTATTGCGGGAACACCATTCCGTTCTTATAACTTTTCTTTTTTAATACATAACATACATACATACATACATACATATATATATATATATATATATATATATATATATATATATATATATATTGTATATTCGGGAACTAAACTTTTGCTTTTACTTTCCTCATTTTTGGCGCCAGTTTTTTTTCGCGCGTACAAAGCTGTAACATTTTAATTACCAATTAGTCGAGTTTTTGTTGCGGTCCAGCGCAACCGTTCGAGAATTAAATTAATAATTAACTGTCGCTTTTATTATTTGCACGGTTCGCAAAATTATGTATGTATATAAATATACGAAAAAAAACGAGATACACGCCACGGTAACTCATTTGCAATTATCTGTAAATTGAGAAACCATGTTCGCTCTATATGTTAATTTCTTACGTTTAATTATTCCATAAAATTCTAATGCGTTATATGTTATATTATATGTTATAGCCGATGCCTGCTTATTACGAAGTGACAAATCAAGAGTATTGCATGCTGAAATAAAAACTTACATATATTTGTTAAATGATGCATATTTGACGGTGTCTCCGATCTCAAGGTAAGAACTTTTTTTTATTTTTCGCGCGCATGATTCTACAATTATGTGAGACTATTAATAGATGTTAAAAAATTGTAAAAAATTTAATATAATAACGATATATATATAATAATAAGGTTTAAATTAATATAAACAAGAAAAAACATATATCTTTCTGAAATTAGTGAGTTCTGAAAAAGTAATTGAAACTAGTAATTAAAACTAGTAATTGAAGATTGCAATAAAATATAATAATTAAAACTATATACAATTAAATACGTTATATATGTAGAAACAATGAAGAATTATTCGCGGATAAATAGAAATAATTTTTGCGAAAAAAAGATATAAATTGATACAATCCCTATAGAAAAATATTTGATAACAGCACAGAGACGTTTGCATATTAATTCATCACTTAGCAGGATAAAAACCTGTTTGTTAGATAATATATCAAATAGTGGTATTATTTGGCAGGATTTTAAAATCAACGTAACAACAGTTCAAATTATGGCAGTGCTTTGTAGAATAATTTTATTGCCGATTAGTGAATGAATTAATATGATGCCGTTAATTAATGCGACAAGTGACGTGATGAGGCATAAAGTGTGATTTGATAATTCATAACTTTGTTAATGCATATTCCTCAAAACAATTAATTCTCATTTACTAATTGGTGTATCCGTTTGCTTCTTATTCTCATAAGTTCTTTGAGTTTTTTTTTTTATTCTCTTTTCTATTACGTCTATTACTCTCGACGATACTATATAATTCGCAATTCTTTTCACAGGTAATACATTTAAATTGTACTTGTGTTCTCTTTCGCATTGTCGAAAACAATGTGTCGAGAATCGTGATGGAAAGAGAAGAGCGAATGCACTACACACGATATCGAGTATCGCGCACTTGAAAGTTCAAGAGTGTCGCAAAAAAATGCGTGATTCGTAAAAAAATAGGAAATCTTGCTTGTGTATAGGCCGGCAATTCCAGATATATATACATATACATATTTAATACGCACGTATATATTGTGTGTAACATATATGTGTATTGCAGTGAGATGGTAAGCGTTCTCAGGAGATAAAAAATTCAAAAAATATTTTATAACAATTATTCAAACAAAAAAATATTTTTATACCTTTTTAAAATATACATATATATCTTGAAAATAATTCTTCAAACTCTATACATATTCTCTTTTCAACGAATAATCACGAAAACAACGATTAGAACCACTCCAAATTATACTGCAAATTTGAAATGCTTCTCAGTTGTGTTCATCATTATCACATGGCAATATACTTGCAAATCTATTGAGACCGTTTCGGAAATTTCACAAAGCTTGCGGCAACGAGATCAGTGCAATTTGCTCTTATCTTTCCGTGCATGTATAACGTGTAACTAATCCAGGCTCTTGTTGGCGCACAAAGAAGTAGGGGGCTCGACCTTTAATTCAGTGCAATAGTGTTCCTTCAGGTATCTAGTAGAAGACACATATGTACAGGGGGATCCTTAAAGGATGCCAGACTTTCCCGAGACATTCGCGAAACTAGAACACGCATAGAATGAAAACAGAGAAAGAGAGAAGGAGAGAGCCCTACTGAACCAAATTGCCGGTAGAACCCACAATATTACAAAGAATTACAGCTTACAAATTAATTTCAATAAGTCTATCTTTGATTTCTTTAGGCGCGGGTGACTCTAAACTGGCCCCCTATGTTTGTATTTTGATCACTTCCTGAATTAATTGCAGTACACAGATTAAACTCTACAGAATTTGCTGGAAAAAAATCCGTTCTTAAAATCTTATTTTTTTTCAGAACGCTTTTAAAGCGTTAATTTAACCAGTCGGTACTTTGATGTGACATTTACAAAAGAGATCATTTTAAAAGGTAAAGAGAGAAGTGAGAGAAAGGAGGCTTTTCAAGTTAGCTTAAGTTAGCCGAGTTAAGTGCGTTTATGGGAACTTTTTATGTAGGCGAACGAGAGAGACGTGGCAAAATGATTATTATAGCGTGTCTGTAAAACGACAGCGGTGGCAAATTTTTCGCTAAATGCGAACAGTAGTAATGCACGACTAGTGCAACTCATTCAGAACACTTTCATCAATCATCTTAGCCGGGCGCATCATAATCGCGCTATACATACGTAACCGAATAAATTCTCTCTCGAAACTACCTATAACCACGATTACTAACAAAGACAATGACATTCTTCTAGCTACCGGAGTGTCCTCTACGGCGGTTCTCCTTTGCAATTAGTCGCATACTCGCTCCATTCTCTGGTGAATAGTCACACATACATTTTCACACGGAGATATAGCTATCTACCAAGGTCTCGAGGGATTTTAGTCTGTAAGTTCTCTGAATACAATAGCATTTTCTACTAAGGAAACTATGTGAAACTAAATGTCTATATATACTCTATCATGTAATATAATGTAGTGAAATATTCGAGTACCCAATATAGTACAGTACTAGTTAAGTAAAGTATATTTTTGGGCGGATACGACTACTCCTCTAAGGCCTCGCTCATAAATCCTCCTTTTTTTTAATTAGTAATTAATTAAAATTTAGTCCCATACACATCCACGCTCTACTATCTAAGTTGAATAATAATAATGAGACTAGACGTATGAGTTTCGCCTTCCTTCATCGAAGTGATTCGAAAGAATTCGATAGACAAAAATGGGACATGCACATCGATCAGTAACAATTATTCAATTCCAATAATGTTTCATTTACAATTCCTGAATTGAATTTTCTTCTATCAGTCTAGTAAAATCGTCGGAAGTCGGTAATTCACCAACCAGTGAGAAGGTCGGAAGTTTACCAAGTCGCAGCAAAAACGAACGATTATTTATTAGAGATTATCATATAATATCGCGGATCTCTGGCGCTTATTTTGCTAAAAATTGTGTTCTATTATTATACACTCTTTTCGTGTAAGATAAAGCAAAAGGATGGAGATTTTGAGTTATCGCGTTAATATTGATCTTTTTTGGCACTGCTTTAGGAAATAATCGTAAGTCGCGCGAAAGAATTCGCACGACATGTGGCTACGAAATCTCTTTTTTTTTCTCTTATTTTAAATTAGGAGGACCTCTGTGACCTCCTCCCCCGTATTGAATAACCCGTGTGTTATACGAATACATTAGACTCGATTAGAATTCCATTCACTTGTGCAATCTTTTCCCTCGACAGGCGCGATAATTGTAAGATAATTAATGCATATTATCTTGCGATTAGTGGTCATTCTACGCCGAGAGTCCATTGGGCGAGTCTCTCCTTCCGCAGTCACAGGAATTATTAAATATGGCAGTATGCAGTTCCAATTCGACGAAGTTCGTTAAAGCAGCGTTTCTCAACACGAGATATAATTATCTTCGTCATCTTGCATATCTTGCTCTATGCGAAATCCCTATATATATATATATATATATATATATATATATATATGTATGTATTTTTTATCGTTTTATTTACAATATTCGCGTTATGACAAGATGAAGGAACAATATAGTCTGTCTCTCGAAATATTTACACTCTTAAAGGGATAATATCTATGTAATGGCAGGCCTGTCCGAGTTTCTGTTCGCGAGCAAAATGCGCTTCCGCTTTAGAAGCCGAGCGAGACGGAAGAAAATGAAAAAAGGGGGAAAAAGATACTAAGACTATTCGGAAATCATCACGTAGACACGTATGTTCGTTGTATTCTTGCGCTGCTATATGGCCAATCGATTGTTATCATTAAGAGTTAACGGCGGCGTACAAAGGCGGCTGAAGCTCGTTCGAGTTTGAAACTTAAACAGGTCTGATCTAGTAAATGTCTTAACAGCAACTTTAAGAATCGATTGAATTTTCAGGAAAAAATCTTTATGCGCTAAAGAATCGCGACGGAATCGCCAAAAATCAGAGTTGAGAAACGCTGTAGCGTACAATATCTGATACCGTAGCAATCGAGAGAGACTCACCCAGGCTACCGGTTTAATGTAGAGTTAAAATGCCAACAAGAAAATATCTTAGTACTCGTGTGTATCTCGCTAACTATTTAAGACATCACTACTAAAGTTTATAGCACTTTTGTTTATCGACGTATCCTATATGTTATTAATGTACGTAACAACGTATGAACAATCAAAGAGATTTCCTTTCCTTTCCCCTCTCTATTCCGTCTACGCAGAAAATTTCTCCCGTGCTCCGCCCTCTTTCGTGATTCTGATTTAAGTTCTTAATTTTTTTTAAACTGTCGGATTCCTCTACAAATTGACCTATAAATCTGATATTGCTTAAATCAAAGCCCCTCAGAGGCTCAGCGATCATCCAAAGCCGAACTTCTTTCGAGAACTCTCTCTTAATAAGGAGCAGTCTCCTATCAAGGGGGATGCAGGTCGCGATGATGGGCTCTGGCACTTAGAATCGCCTTCAGCTCGGACTCGAGCTGCTTCTTCGTTCGCTCACTCACCGACCGACCGCCCACCACTGGCTGAGTCAATCTAGGCGACGGCAGGTCCACCATCAATTTGCCAGTGTCGCGATTCTCGTGGCTCCTAGCACGTCGTATGGGCTTCTTCATAGGCAACGCTTCCTCCTGGACTTTTCCATCGTCTCCGGAACGACTCAAGGAGAGTGTCATTTCTTGATTCAGGGTATAAGTTGAACCACCACCGCTTCTACCACTGGCCGTGCCACCGCTAGCACCATTACCACCGCCTATAGCCTCCGATGATCTGGTAAGACTAATAGAGAGATCCCCAGATCCCCATTCGCGCGACAGTTTTCTCCCGATGGCGGACGTGAGTTCGCTGTTCGGCGACAACAGCGGACTCTTGGACGTCTGGTAGCCTGCCGAGTGCGGCGGTCTCAAGGTAGCGAACACTGGGAAGGACTGGCCCCGCTTGGCGGGACTGCGAGAGTATCTCGGGGTCGGTGCACCACCGCCTCCCCCTGTCGCGGCGGGGTCGTGCCTGACGGTCGGCGTGCCGCCGCTGGTCGAGTCACTCCTGATAGGCGCCACCGGGCGTAACGTAGCGCTGCCACCGAAATGCGAGCCGAGACGCGGCGGCGGCGAACCGCCGTCGCCGTGACTCAATCTACGTCCGACCGTCTCCAGCGGACTCCTCGCGCGCAGATTGGTGTTGCTGAGCGTGAACTCACGGGGCTTCATCGGCGCGTCGAGACTCACCGGTGATAGTCCGAGACGAGACGCTGAAAGGTTGGTCGAACTCCTGCTCTTCTCCGAGCGTTTCGGACTCCGAGGCATTAGAGGACTCTTGCTACGACTCCTCTCTCTATCTTTTCCTAGTTTCTCGTTCTCTTTCTTCGTAGCTTCTGCAGGTTCCTCGGGTACCGCCTCGATTTTCTCTTCTTGTTGAACTCTGAAAGATTAGAATAATTCACAAATTTTTTATTTGTTCTTTTCTATTTTGATTAGGAAAATACATTGAAACAGAATGTCGATAATGAGACATTGAAGTTGGAAATATAAGGAAAAATAATTCTGATAATAGTATTCTTTTACCTTCGTATTTCCTGGATCATTTCGAAGAATTGCGCTTTGCTTTTACGCCTGCGACGTTGTTCATGTTCCTTCTGAAACATGGAAAGATTGTGGATATTTAGAGATTAAAATAAACATACTATTCGTAACTTAGTGAATATAAATCTTTGACAACTTTTTTGTTTAAAAATTCAATTATTTCAGAAATATATAAATGTGAATTTCCCGTTACTATTATCAAGATTTATATTCGCGAACTTGTTGATCATATGGCATTTAAATATTTCATGATACGCACTCGTTTGACGCTTTTCTGGAAGAGCGATGCGATTTGCCCTTGTCGCACCGTGTGCACTAATTCCCGCGCGGCGTGATGCGGTGAGACCAGTTCCACGCAATTGATGAACCTGTACAGCTTCTGCGAGAAGAACATCACATTACGGCTGCGCCAGATGGAATCTTCCGGTCTGTGTCGCAGTCGCGGCAACGTGTACTTGTAGAATAGATGTTCTCCTGCCAATATGATTGTACCGAGCACCACGCCCATCCCAAGCAGGCAAAACACCCCGGCCACAGACGCTACTCCCAGTGGTCTGGGTTGACCACCAGACTCAGAATCCAGCCCCGCATCCATTCCTTGTCGACCTCCGAGACATGTCAGACCACCGTACCTGAAATTAACTCGTTTTATAAAATCAGTTTTTTAAATTGCAGTACTTTCTTTAATGATATTGATGATTCCTAATTTATATGCGAGTAAATAATGTGATATATATAATTTAATATATGCATATGTGTAGAAATCTTTGAATAGATGATTTTATACCTGTATAAGAAATCTTGTTAGGAAGTTGCAATAGAAAATTAATTACCTATAAACTTAGGTAAAAGAACATTTTTGCGCGCATATTTTCTCGGACAGTCCGTATAATCTGCGCAAAAGACTTTATTTACCACTTAATGTATTTTAGTCTAACGTAATTATTACGCTCCCGTTATCGCAGAAATAAAAAGAAAAGTTTTTTCCGCGAACCGATTATCGATTATTCAATTTTTGTGCTTATTTTTGCGCATCGCTCACCATTTCTCCTGTAGAATGTCGAGCAACCCGTTGCTCGTGTAATTCGCTATGACTTTAGATATGGTTTCTTTTAAAGGATGACCCTTCGCGAGCGCAATCGCGTAAGTGTCTTCATTGATGGAGTCACCAATCTTTTGCAAACGGCAACCATTATCGGTCCCGCGATAGTAATCCAAGATTGGCGTGTCCGCGATCAGGATGTCCAAAGAGCCGTTTCTTAATCTTTCCACTCCTTCAGCGACGTCAGACAAGGAATATCGAGACATATGAGACCATAATTGCGGATTTGCTCTTTGCACATAATATTCGGCCGCGGACGCTCTTGGTGCAGCGACTTTCTGCGATAATAGCTGCAAAAATATACACAAGTTTTATTTTACATCTATTATTGAAAGCTACATATGCTAAAAAAATATTTTCTCTCGTATTGAAATTTTCTGTTCTATTCGAATTTATTTCTCCTATAAAAATGTAAATTAATTGACATTTTTTATTGAATTCAATATATTAAACAATTAATTTGACATAATTAACGTAAAAAATAATTAATGAGCAGTAAACACAATTGAGATAAAAAAGAAAGGCGCTAATAAAAACACTTTTATATTATTTTTATTATATATACAGCATCTATGAACAAATAGCTAATTTATCGATATAAAAACAAAAAACCAAGATACTTACACTTTTATCGTGATAATTGCTCACTGCAGAGTGAAAAAACAGACCGGCGATAAGAGCGGCAATATTGGCTGTGTACGACGCCACGAAGATAACTGAGAAGCCGCCCCAGATATTGATGAGAAACTTGTTAGGCCAGGATTTCGGTGCTTTGAAGGCCACGAGATGACCGCATAGAAGGCCCCACATCACCCAGAGCGCGGAGGCGATGGAGAAATTCTTGCTGCGCTGTCTGCCCCAGGGATTCAGGCCGAACGGGCTGAACCATTCGTAGAGCGCCACGGCGATCGCGGTGAAGTTGAGAGACGTGAACACGGCGATCCACAGCTCCGTGCTGAACGGGAACAGAAACGCGAACAGCGGTATTTCGGAACGGAGCTTCGGCGCCGTGAGAAAGCTCACGCCGCTAAAGTAATACGGCGTGGTGAAGTCCACTACTTCGGCGCGATGAGTGGACACGCTCAAGGGCGCAAACGCCATCTGCGCCCGGCCGGACACCAGCTCGCCCATCACGCCGTTCCACGTGCCGCTGCGACCGTTCCGTCTGCCGAACAGTCCGTCCTCGGCCAGGTAAAGATTGAAGCGAAAGCCCAACTCGCGTGAGACCACCGTGAGCAGATCCATGCTCAACCCGTAGCAGCACATGACGTGATCACCCTGCTGGCAGGTGAGACCACGCAAGCAGAAACCTTCCTGCAGACTCGTGACCATAGTGAAGGGCGACGCCACCGCGGTTACGATGCGATAAATTGGCATTCCGATCTTCTCGCCGCCCTGTTCGAGGTACGCCGGTACGATGCCGCCACCAGGCCAGATTATGGTATCCAGACGGACCTCTCTACCTCCCTTGATGGTGCCGACTTTGGTCCACCTGTTTAAATATTGATGAGATTAATTATCCCGCCTTCGAGCGTGAACAGATCGAAATATTTAAATCGAATTAAAACCTTAATTGAGTTTTATTCCCGGGAAACCTGACGGCCTGCAAGTTCAACAACTGAAACTCCGCCTTGTCCTTAGAGAGCTGTCTCACGGATCTCTTTAATTTACGCGTCAGAATCGCGGAAACGTTTTCCCTCGCGTCGCTCGTCATAAATTTGGCGTTACGATCCGGAAAGCATTCTGGGACAAAGTGTTCCCTGATCTGCGGCTCGCGCATACGGTTCAATCTCTGCTTTGTCTCGTGAAAGGTCTCGTCCAACGCCTGCGAGGTCTCCCTCAGCATTCTGGACAATATAGTATCGCCGCCCATGATCTTAACGCCAGACGGTCTGAGTGCGAGCATGCCGACTGGCATAAAGTTCTTGGAATTGAGTTCCCTGTCGCTCGCGAGCCTCACATCTTCCTCGTCGTCGAAATTGAAGCCTTTATCCTCCCGCTTGATGATGATTTTTTCGCTCCGCCATCTGTACTCCTGCAGCCGATGTATGTCGTTGGACAAACTCGGCAACGAACTCATCAGCGGCGGCGGTCGCTCGTCGTCCTTGGACGCAAGATTTATCGTTCGCTCCAGCAGCGGTAAGTTTTCGTTCGGCGAGGCTGCTGCAGCAGCAGTAGCGGTTCGCGTGCCGTGGATGATCGAGCTGATGATGTTGGGTTCGTTCGGTCGTAGCTCTGCTTTAAGATCCAGCCACAGCCATAGAAATCTACCTGAAAGCATCTCGTATTTTCCGGCCGCTCCAAGGATCTTGCGGGCATTGTTCAGATCACATGCCATCACGACGACCCCGCCGCTTCCACCCTCCTCGGCCACCCGTCTCAATCGCAATTTCAGAGTTCTGTCGTTCGTTGGCAGATGTATGATCGCACGAGGCGTTAACGACGACTGATTCGTTCGTAGCAGATGAGTTATGGGCAACAGGGTGGTGTCGATGAGGAGGGTGAACGCGTGCCAATTAGCTCGATGCATCAGGGCTGCAGCTGCTGCTCCGATCTCTTTCGGGCTAGAACCTATGCGGTTCTCAAACCGGCCAAGATTTCCCTGTAAACGAGAACAATATATTTTTATTATATTATATATGTATATAGCAGAGTTCCAACTGGATAATTCTGAAGAACCCTGCAACAAATATAGAAGATTTTGGCTTTCGGTGGAATTGGATTCAATTTTATCTAGAATTTTATATAGATTCAAAAATCGCGTTCGGATCATATAAAATTGAATCTTAATAAGATTAGCCCACTTTCTCATATATGTTGCAGCACATGATCTGAACAAAAATTGTAATAGGCTCGAAGCTAAATAATAAATAGTTGCCAGTCAAATATGATAAACTTGAAGTCTACGAATTGCTTGACTGGCTGCAACTATTCAATATTTAGCTTTGAAGCAATTCTATTTTTTGTTCAGCAGGACATAAACTACAACATATGAAAAAATAGGCAATTTCACCGAAAGCCAAAATTCTATTTGGTGCACCGTCCTTTTGTAAATGCGATAATAATGTGTACCTGGCGGAGAAAATCTTTGTGCGTAAACGGCAACCATAGAGCTGGAAGGTTCAGGGCGGCAGCAGCCGTGACGAGAAATCTGGCTGCCGATCCTCCCCCTATAATAAGGCTTAATACTGTCTTTCCGCCTTCGATGTCTGTACAAAATTTGTTTAACAGTGACAAGGGATACGACAAGGAATCCGTCATGGGTGTCATCCTTGCTTCTATATACGACACATCCATGTCCGCGTGATAGGACGAAGAAGACTCCAGTCTCGCTTCCTCCCATGCTCTCTGTACGTCTGTCTTGAAAGGAGTCTGAGGCTGAGTTAAACATACCACTATCCGCCACGATGTGTAAGAAGATCTTAGCCTGGCCTTCGCTGCTCTCAGAGATTTCGCGGCGTCCGCATTGCTAGACGCCGACACAGAAGCCCCTAACAAGAGGAGAATCACCACTCCCGAATAGGAGCCAGGCATCTTCCTCGGTTTTCCTTATTTATTCTCCCCGTCCTCTTTTTTTCTATTTAGCTTTTTTGACGTACATTGCCGAAGCGTGGGCCTAATCTGAAAGCAATATGCATATATATAATGTATTAGTATGTTGGATAAACTATTATCAATATATAATTTGTTATTATCTTGTTAACATTATAATGTGTATGTTTTTATTTTAATATTTTTCTATTTATTCAAATTATTTCTATATTACATTAAAAAAAATTTTTTTTCTTTCATTATTCTTATATATATATATATTATATTCGCTGTCACAAATATATTATATACAAATATATAAAGCTTCATGTATATGTATTCTGAAAGAAACTTATAAAGTCATCGCGCATCATAATAACTTGAATTAACGATTGATATAAAATAATGATAGCATTTTACTAGATTCCTTATCTTTTTTAAATAATAATACACGATTATATAGAACATTGTTACGTTATGTTTACCGAGAGAAATATAGTTCACCTGTCAGGGACGGTGTTATATCTGAATTTCACGGAATTTTCGCAAGTGTCAAAACACCACCCTCGGAGAAGCGAGAGGACAGGCACATTTCGCGCGCACGCACACACTTTGGGGTGAGATTACCCCGATGACATATTCACATAAAACGGGCTATAATCCGGAGAAACTCGTTTTCGGGGGTTTGTACAAAACAGAGACGACCTTACCTCTTGACGGAAGGGATGGAAGGTCGCGCGTCTGGTGGGGGTTTAAGAAGAGCAGAGCAGGGATCGCTTTTTGGCCGTCGCCGCATAATAGCTGTCGATCGTAGACGGATAAAACCCGTGTCGATCGTCGAGCGAGGCAGTCGGTCAATTGGTTGGGTTGCGGAGGACACGGAGCGATCGAGAGCCACCCCGTTACTTGCCCACCCCCGGACAATCTACCCCGTGCGTAACGGCCATTTTCGCGAGAGCAGCCCCTCCCTTTAAATTTCACCCCTGTGGTACCCTGTCCACACGAGCGCGCTCGTGGCATTCTCGCGTGTATTGCGCCTGTTTCATCCCCTTATATAGGTATATATGTGTGTGTCTGTGTGTGCGCGTTCGCGCATGTATCGGTGGCTCTTCGACAATGCCACCAACACTCGCGAATTTTGCTGACGCCCGTTATAAATGTCCCTCGCAGCGTTCTATGAATTAAAAAAGAACGGATTTCTTGAGCTCCTCCTAATACACGGGGTGTCCCGGAAGCCGTGACCTGATTTCGTTTGCGCGCGCTCTCGGGACGCGATCCGATTTCTTTTTCTTGAGTGAAATAAATCAGAGCAATAATAGCTTTCGCATTGTGCTTAAGAGATTGATGATATAATAATGTGTATAAATTTTCAAAAATGAAAAAATTGATGTAAATCGACTCGAGAAGCAGCACGAGCGACAATATGCAAAAGCAAATTCGAATCGATTCTTCAAATTATTTCTCTTATATTCGGAAATATTATATATAACAAAAATAAAATTTTTACAAATTAAAAAGTTATACAAATAACAATCCTCTTTAGAATTTATCAAAAATAGGCTGTAAAAATCAAAATCTAATATTTTAGAAGACACTCTATATATTAAAGAAATAATTTAAATCGAATCTAATTGATTCACGTTATTTTTACTTTTTTGTATTTATATTTCATGCTCTTGTTAAATTAATCTTTATTCTGTATGTAGAGCTATTTCTTTTTTCAAATCCCAAAGTTAACATCTTCAAAATCAAGGAGCATTTTCTAGTAGCAGTATTCTGTTTTAAATTTTATTTAAAAAAATGATTATTATACCAATAATTAATATTTCATATAATAAGAAAAGATAAATAGTATTATAACATCTATGCTACTATTCATATATTTCACAATCATTTTCATGACCAAGCAGATGCTAATAAATATTGTGACGTATGAGTACAGCAGAATACTTCTACAAAAATGTTCAAATTTTTATATCTATGACAAATAATAGTTTACAAAGCTTTCTTTCGGCCGGAAAATAGCTTCGTATATTTGGGATCTTCTTTTTAATGTACATTTGCATTATATACATATATATTACGCCATACCGTCATAATTGAGGTTTTAACTAGGTTCACAAGGCGTTGAAACAATAAGGAGACATATCTCGAAGCGTTGCTTCGTCAATCTCGCTCTGTCGCCTTTTTCTCTTTTTTTTTTTGCACCTTATCTCTCTTTCTCTCTCACACACGCTCTATCTTTCTCTCTCGCTCTCTACAGCTAAAATAACGGAATGCAGTTATGCGGTTATCTCACAGATAAGATCCCCGCCCGCTCTTAGCTCCCCTTCCGCTAGGAACTAAATTAATTAATTACAGAAACAGATTCTCTCGATAACAGATAACGGTCATTAAAATTAGCTAAATAGATTTTGTTGCGACGCGTCATTCTCGAAAGTGCTCCACGCGTTGTTCAGCTCCATAAAAATTAACTTTGCTATATTCTCATTCGCCGTACCGGCTTGCTGCAACAGAGATATGGATTTGTAATAAATTTCTTCTCTTAATTTAAAAATACAAACATGTTAACTTTGTTTAAATAGCAAAATTAATATTTACAATAAGTCTAATTACATTGATGCAATATTTCAAGCTATTAATATTTTTGCAAGCGATTCGAGAAAAAATGTTTGTGTGATGAAAAAAAGTATGATATAATTTAAGTACCTTATCCGGATGCACAGCCAAACAGGCTTTTCTGTATGCTTTCTTGACATCCGCAGCCGTGACCAATTGATGCATCTCGCAACGTTGCCATCTGTCAGCCTCAGGCCACAGGACAGTATGCAACGTGCAAAGCAAAGCTCGTAGATTCCCTTTCTTGCCCTCCGTCCACTCGGCTATCTTCAACCTATCAGGATCCATCGTCTTGGCCGCTTCTACCTTCCGCATCTGATTTATTGTCTTCGGACTGTCCTTGTCGGCTTTGCGCGAGCTGAAGAAATTGTATCCCTGACTGCCAAGGAGATCTTCAAACGCATCGCTCGTCTTCTCCTTCGCTTTACCGCCAAACGTGTCCGCAGTACCGCTGTTTGCGTTATTATCGTTAGTCGCCGCGTTGGATCTGTGCATCGTGTTCGGACTGGAGTGAATCGGCGTGCTTGCGGGCGCCGGACTTGCCGACTGCGGGGTACTCGAGTTCCTAGGCGTACCATTCCAACTGCCCGTGAGACCTGCTCCCAACGATCCGGCCAGATTGGCAAACGGATCTTTATTGACTGACTGAGCGGCAAAGTTCGGCACGCTGGCATTTCGTGGTAGATTCTCCTCGGCATTCGGACTTTTGGCGGTATTTGACCTTGCGGTAGAATCCGCGGCGAGGCCACCGAGAAGATTGCTCGCCGAATTTCCACCCAGCGGATCGAACAGCATGTCGTTGATTTGTTGTTTGACATTACCCGACGTCGTCTGATTTTGTCCGAAGAATAGATCGTTCATATTCAGATTATTGTTGTTGGCGGTTCTCCTCGTCGCGGAGTTACCGTGTCCGAACAATAAATCAGCTGAGGCGCTATTGTTAATTAAGGGAGGATTGGCAGTCTCGGTCTGGGGCGCCGACACGCCGAAACCGCCTAAGAGATCGCTTTCGTTCTGACTAGAACCAGAAAAGATATCTAAACCTGGATTTGCCGCCTTAGAGGCGGGAGTATTTGAGGTATTATTAGCATTGTCCGGCATGCCAAGATTCAGCAAATCAGCCTCCTGAAAATTACTCTCTTCATTTGTGCTCGTTTCTTCCTCTTCCGGATTCTCCGGCTCTACAGGTATCGCTTCCTGTTGGGATACCCTATCAGTTTCGTTCGATGGTGCTTTTTGAGTCTGCAATAATTCCAGCACAATTATTATTGATTTTTTCACTTAACCATTAAGAGAGTTAAAATATAATAACTAGAAAGTTAAATATAATAATTATTATATATCTGATCAAAGTATTTTACCTCTTCCGAGTGAGGAGCGGTCCTAAAATTCTCTAGAGTCTCCTCCATCTCTAACGTCGAACCGAACAGGGGATCTGGGACGAGGTTGACAGACGTTTCTGCTTCCCACGGCGCCGGCACTCTCGATAGCTTTGAATTTTCCTCACCTATCATAATGTTTAGCACGATGCAGAATTTGCCACCAATCTCAGGCGCGTCATCCAGGTCGCGCTTCTCAAATGTCAAGGCGCTCTCAGTGATGGGTACGTAACCGGTATGGAAATGCAGCGAGGCGATTTTGATGCCGATCACCCGACCGAGTTGTTGCCTGGCATGATTTATCACTATAGTGACGTCACCTCGCACAGCCGCATCTCCTAAGATCAAGCAGACCTTGCCTTCCATCATCCCAAACAGCTTCATCTCTTCATAGATGGCTTTCTTCGTCGTGAAAACCAACGCGCCGTTGCTGTAGATCTCTATGTAAGGCCGGCAACCATCCTTCGCTCTAGTGAACAATGGTACCGGTTGTATGACAACGGATCGGAAGACCAACGGCTTGGTATGAGGTAGCTGGCCGCTGCTCAATAAACTCATGTAATTAATACTGCGCAATTCTGAAGGCTGCAAGTGCGGCGGCTGGCAACGTCGCGTCGTGAATAAGGCGATAGCCTCCTCGGCTGTGGTCAGGACTCTGCAGTGAATCAGTAGAGTGCACGCTACCGTGGCGCTTGCTCGGTATCCATCCTAAAGAAAGATCAATTGTGAACCGTTTTGCGGGCGAGAGCGCTTCAGATTATGCGCTTCAGTAATCGCGATTGTACTCACGGTACAATACAGCACCACCACGTGATTGAAGTCGGCGCTCAAATACTGATAGATATCTTGACAGATCTGGTACAGTGCAAACAGCATAGGCGCGTTCGATTCCGGCGTAGCATAGGCAAACGAGCAATCGATGTGTCTGCCGGGAAGCCTCGTGACGTTCGGCCGGCCGCGGGACAGATTGTACAGCTGAATCTTGGCGGGTGGTGGATGCCTAGTCTGGAGAAAGGCCCTCACGTCCTCCACATGATTGGCGCGATAGGCGGACTCGATTCCATCGGCCGGATACGGCATAACGAGTATCCGTGACGTCAGATAACTCGCATCTAACTCTGTTCTGGCCATGCTCTGCTGAACAGTATGCATCACCTTGCTCGAGGTATCCTTCAGGTTGCGCAAGATGCTACCGGCGCCGCCTCTCAGCGAATTGAATAGGCCCGTTGTAGCTTGATGAGTTGCCGGGACTTTGGACACCGCTGTCTGCACGGGCGCCGGTCTCGGTGGTGGCATCGTTACCGGTGGTTGGGAGGGACGAGGAGGTGGCGCAGGCATATTCGATGACGTCGGTGCTGGTGGTGGCGGCGTTGGACGCGGGGGCGGTGACGGCCTGGCCGCGACTTCGATTCGCGGCGGTTCTCTAAGGTCGAACTCGTTCGATTCAGCAATTGCTGCCAGGCGTTCCAGGAGTTGCGCCGTGGTCGACCTTTGTATGGGCGAGACTTGCAGACATCCTTTCACCAGGTCATGCAAACACGCGTACCGTGGATTAGGTGGTAACGGTGGATATTTGCCATTCACGATTGCTAGCTTGTTACCTGTGGAATAAGAAAAGTGTTTTAGAGAGAAAGAGAGACTCTATTGTTGTAATAATATTGAAATATATATTCAAGTTTGCATAATGTTGAAAGGATGCAATTTTTAATAATGCATTAATAACATTATTTTCATTTCAAAATACATTTTTAATAGTGATATAATTATAATTAAAACAATAGAATAATAATACATAAAGTTATCAGAAAAAAGACTCTAAAAATCTTTTTAAACTTACGGATACGAAATCCTGAAAAAAATTCTGTAAATATTTCTAAAATATTAAAGGACCCCGCACCATTCTTATGGGAAAATGTCTTTCTGTAGATTTGATTAATTTTTGAGTATGTGGTAGTTCTCATCATTCTGAACAAATGTCTCAATGGGCAGAACTTGATCTAATGAGCAGTTTTCGAGTTACAAGTCCTAAAATGTCCAGATTTAACATGAAAAATATAAGATTTTCGACTTGATATATGTGATCATCAGTCGAATGTGCATGCGGATGCACATACATACACATCTGCTCATTGAGACATTTGTTCAAAATGATGAGAACTACAACATATTCAAAAATTAATCAAATCTACAGAAAGACATTTTGCCATAAGAATAGTGCGGGGTTCTTTAACATAAATTTAATAATTTGATGTCATAGATTATCTCGTTTGTATTTAAATTCCTGCATTATTCATCATCAAACTATCATTAAGCTAAATAATTAATCTGAATTTTAACTATATTTTCATTAACATAGACTATATTTTAATTAATAAGCTTCATATAATTTTAAAAGAAGTAACTAAAAAAGAATCACACACACACATAATATTCATATGATATTAAAACTCATTGAAATGATATTTTGCATATTTCTATATATTTTCAAATAAATCTCCTAAGAAATAAATTGAAGTATTTTTAGTGATTTTTATATTTTCATGTTCATTATCAATTATAATTGTCCAAGTTCTATAGCTTTATATTGAATACGTCATATTAATATATTATAATTACATATTGCACTTGTGTCTTACCTTCAGGGAATGGATGCCGCAATGTAATCAAAGAATATAATATACATCCTAAAGCCCAGCAATCCACTGGAGGCCCTATAGGTTCATTGTTCCAAGTATCCATCATCTCCGGGGCGCGGTACATCGGAGTTGTATACTTGGCCATTTGATCCTCTAGTGTGGACCGTCTTTGAGCGTTCCATGATGGATCCGGTAATATTTGTTGAGTCGTCGCGCTACCAAAGTCGCATAGTTTCACAAGGCCATCTCTTCCGAGTAGAAAGTTTTCCAGCTTAATGTCACGATGTACGAAGGGTTCCGGCTGCTGGCTATGCATGTGATGCACTGCTCGTGTTGCTTGATACGCTATCTTGCATACCTGGGCGAGGGTCAATGTATTCGCAGACACATTTCTGAGTATATCCGCTAAGGTACCGCCAGGACATAATTCGGTGACGACCAAATATTCGTAACCCTTACGATCCTCCCGTTCCAGCCGTTGAGCGTACAAGAACTGAATAATATTTGGATGACCCGACAGTCTCTTCAACGTATCTATTTCTCTTATGATACTATTGTTTGCATCCTCATCAACAGCAATAAGTCTCTATCACACACAATTTTATTATTATAATTAAGTAATACAATACATTGCAGGTAAAGAAAAGAATCTGAAGTAGATGCAAAGAGAAAGGTTTGAAGCAGTTAACTTACCTTAAGCGCATATTCTTTTCCAGTAGCAACATCTTCTACCGCAAACACCAGAGCCCATCCACCTGTTGATACGATGTTTGCCACAAATTATCTAAATGTTAATAATGATACATAATTCGATTATAACAACTATATATTTCTCACATTGCTGTCATAGGCATAGATAAATGCTATATATTATGCAACAATCTGTACGATTAAAAAAACAATATTTATTTATTTTAGAAAATAATTCCAGCCAAATATTTCTGTAAATGTTATATTTCTAATTGTTTTAGATGTTAAACACAAAGATAAATACCTGAAGACTTGAAAAGATCCCTTTTCACATATAAAAATCCGATAAATCTAATTTTGTTATTTAGAGTGAATAAATTTATATTAATATTGATCATAAAATTTATATATATATATATATATAAATCTGACAGCGTAAGATCTAAAGAAAGATTGATATATGACTGGTATATATGACAGAAGAGGAGAAAGATAAAAATAAAACACAAGCCGTAACGTCAGAATAATTTAGCATGCTCGGGTCGCGTGTCAAAACATACGTTTGACACATGACAGATGTCAGGCGAGGTGTCTTAAACGCAAAAGATGTATTTTTTATCTTCTCTCAACGATGTGATTTTTACCCTCTGAAAAGAAGCGCGAGCTCGATTTCTCCTTATCAGCTCTAATCGCGGTAGGAGGTGCCGCGATATTCGACGAGCGATTTTGAACAACACAGCCGGAGATAGACTCACCCTCGGCGATCAGTCGCGTCACTCGCAGCTTCACATTGTTGATGTCCAACGTCTGGCCGACGTACTCGTTGCCGCCGCCGGTGCCGCCGTTCAGGTACCCGAGTGCGGACCTTAGATAGTCCGACATATTTCCCTGGACCTACCTCCAGTGTGGTTCAGCGCCTCCCGGACAACTCGCTTTCACTGCTGTCGCGTTGCAGACAGCCGACACTGGCCGGCCATATTGGCGCGATGATATCATCGGCGCGCGCAGTCAATCTTATCTGGTCGTCTTCGGCGCCGATTTTTTCCCTGCAATCTTATTATTATTAAATTATTATTAAATTCTATTATTATTATTATTATATTATATTATATATATTATATTATTATTATTAAATTATTTTGCGCTGTTATTTATATTTATTTGCAAAATTAAATATTATAATATTATTAAATTATATTATTAAAAATTTATTAAGTTTGAAAATTAGAGGAATTTATTAAATAATTAATAAATTATAGTGCTATTTATTATTGATAATATATATATGTATATATATTTAAAGAGTGAATTTTTGTCAATTTTGATTCTGCGTAAAGTCAAAAATAGGTATTTCTGCAGACGATATACTAAGAAAAAATGTTTACGCTTTTATATTCGCGTTCAACCATATCGCAAATTGTGAAATCGTCTAGCTTTCTCATAATCGCCGATGCATGTATATTTTCTGCTTTCTACATGAAATTGTGTCAAGGAACAACGTTCAACCGCTACAAATGTAACAGCAGTATAATTTGCATAATGCATAAAGAAATTAATCAATCAAGTGTATAACGTATAAGATGTTATATAGATAGCTATATATCTTCTTCGTATCAGATGAATGATTTTTCTGTGCATATAGATGCATTATAGGTTTATGCAAATTTGAATAGCTCGTAAGATTGACCAATCAGAATAAAGAAATTCTCTGCCCCTGATTGGTCAATTAAATGCAGCGAATGTAGACTATTTATGTTGGCGACACTCATTCCTCTAGAAATATTTCCCTGATACCAGAGAGAAGGATGAGAGTGGTCATCCCCTCGATTTAGCTGCAACCGGAATTCAAAGCGCCTCTATGTGCACAAAACGTGCACATTGAACTACGTAGCCATGTGCACGATGCTCCCGAGTGGTAACAGGCTATGTGCACGGTACGTGGTTCGATTCCGTGCTATGTGCACAGATGAGCGCCAGTAACACGTAGCTGTTAAAGGAGATGAGTTCGAGACCTCGCAGGGCCAATTTTTTTTTTTTTTTTTTAGTACGACTATATTTGTCAATTTAATGAAATCCTTTTAATTATTGTGGAATAAAGAGATAAAATGCATTTCTCAAGCGTACGCGAGAAAATCGAAATCAAAAATAATGAGTGCCGTATAAATACGTATGGAATAGAGCGTTATATCGAAGAGCGTGTGGCGTAGCGTTAAGGGGCTAGACACGTACCGTCGAGATTAGAGGTTCGATTCTCAAGGAGTGACTTTTTTTTTAATATTTTTTTATTTTAAATAAAATTTTTTTTTACCATAAAATGTAATTTTTACACAAAATAAATGTAAATAACACGATTTATTTACTTATAACACGTATATTACAAAAATGCATTTTTCTTTGCCTCAAAAAGCCGTGAAAAGCCGTCTGTAGAATAGCTGTATGCGATAGGAACTTGTATGATTATCTGTTTAATTAAAAATTATCCGATTTATGTCGTGTTTGGTGTCGTTGAAATCGCAAAAATCTCAATAATCCATTAATATTATTTTTGAATAGATAAAATGCAAAATAAAGGTTTTAGTTTTTCACTTATAAGATGTTTATATTTGTGAATTGCCATGGATGGGGAAGCCTATTGTTCGAGAGTTCGGAACTTTCTTTGATGATAGGTCCTCTCGCTCGCTCTATACTCGCAGTCTCGCTTTCTCTCTCGCACACGACGAGTTGTGAGATGAGCTCGAAAAGATAAGCGGGCCCGAGCGCCCGAGTATCGAGATCAAAGAACGTTCCGAACTCTCGAACAATAGGCTTCCCCATCCATGGCAATTCACAAATATAAACATCTTATAAGTGAAAAACTAAAACCTTTATTTTGCATTTTATCTATTCGAAAATAATATTAATGGATTATTGAGATTTTTGCGATTTCAACGACACCAAACACGACATAAATCGGATAATTTTTAATTAAACAGATAATCATACAAGTTCCTATCGCATACAGCTATTCTACAGACGGCTTTTCACGGCTTTTTGAGGCAAAGAAAAATGCATTTTTGTAATATACGTGTTATAAGTAAATAAATCGTGTTATTTACATTTATTTTGTGTAAAAATTACATTTTATGGTAAAAAAAATTTTATTTAAAATAAAAAAATATTAAAAAAAAAAGTCACTCCTTGAGAATCGAACCTCTAACCTCGACGGTACGTGTCTAGCCCCTTAACGCTACGCCACACGCTCTTCGATATAACGCTCTATTCCATATGTATTTATACGGCACTCATTATTTTTGATTTCGATTTTCTCGCGTACGCTTGAGAAATGCATTTTATCTCTTTATTCCACAATAATTAAAAGGATTTCATTAAATTGACAAATATAGTCGTACTAAAAAAAAAAAAAAAAAAAATTGGCCCTGCGAGGTCTCGAACTCATCTCCTTTAACAGCTACGTGTTACTGGCGCTCATCTGTGCCACAGATTAATAGACAGATCGCCAAAGGTCTGGATGAAGGAGAGACCAGCATTTCTCACTGATTTCAGCGCCATATCGTAGTAGTGGTCAATGCAGTAACTATTAATACGTTCCCAAGATAAGAGCGTCTCATGCTCATGAACTCGTCCGGCGGCATGTACGAGATTTATCTTTTCGTAGCGTTCGCGTATTTCGGAAAGGACAGAATTTTATGATGTTATAAATAAATAAATAAATAAAATATTAACCTGACCTATTATAATTATTTTTTAATAAATGTTTCATTATTATTATCATCTAAGTCTAAGTCGTTTAATTAATTTTTAGTTTTTTAATAATTAATTTAATTTATTCTAATTATTTTAATATGTGAAAAATACTAATACGTATACGTTTTATAATGAATTAATATATTTCGAGAGTCGAATTATATATTTTTAATAATATAAAAGTGTTCAAAAATTATATTTGACTTTTAATTTTAATTATTTTAGCAAAGAGTTCCGAAATCTCTTACACACATAATAGGGATTTTGTTCATCCATATAATTCGCAATTAAGTATATATGTTAATTATTAATTTTAATAAAATACAAAATTAAAATTAAAGGTCAAATATAATTTTTGAACATAAATATATTTAATTCGTTATAAAACGTATACCCGTGATAGTATTTTTCTCGTACAAAAATAACTAGAACAAATTAAATTACTCATAAAAAAATTAAAAATAATTAAATAATTTATATTATATATGATAATAATAAAACATTTTATAAAAAAAACAGATTCAATAAATATAAGTATTGAAAATCTCTCCTCCAATTTTAAAGTCGACCAGACTGGCAATAATTTATTTAAAAATTAGTTAAATTACAACGTTTCGGCTGTCATTGCAGCCCTTTTCAAGTAATCAGATTAATACAATAAATCAAATTTACAGCAAACCCCCGACAAAATTAACCATTGTTTTGATGAACAATGTATAACTGACAGAAGTGAGCACGAAAAAAAAAAATAGATGTCGACTGTTAGCAGGAAACTTAGTCACAGTGACTAAGTTTCCTGCTAACAGTCAACATCTATTTTTTTTTTGTGCTCACTTCTGTCAGTTATACATTGTTCATCAAAACAATGGTTAATTTTGTCGGGGGTTTGCTGTAAATTTGATTTATTGTTTTAATCTGATTACTTGAAAAGGGCTGCAATGACAGCCGAAACGTTGTAATTTAACTAATTTTTTAAATAAATTATTGCCAGTCTAGTCGACTTTAAAATTGGAGGAGAGATTTTCATTATTTATTACTGGCGACTCTTAAGGATTATCATTTAAATATAAGTATATATATAACATGTACTTATATTTATTGAATCTGTTTTTTAATAAAATGTTGTATAAGCTTAGAAAACTTGACTTTGACGTAACTAGCAAATTTTATTTAATTATTTCACGACGGTTTGACGTAATAAAATGTTTTATTATTATTATATAAAATATAAGTTTAAATTCTTTAATTAATTTTTAATCTTTTATGATTAATTTAATTTACTCTAATTATTTTTGTACGAGAAAAATACTATTATGGGTATACGTTTTATAATTAATTTAATATATTTGTGTTTAAAAATTATATTTGACCTTTAATTTTAATTTTTATTTTATTAAAATTAATAATTAACATATATACTTAATTGCGAATTATATGGATGAAAAAAATCCCCATTATGTGTGTAAGAGATTTCGGAACTCTTTGCTATAAAATAATTAAAATTAAAAGTCAAATATAATTTTTGAACACTTTTATATTATTAAGAATATATAATTCGGTTCCCGAAATATATTAATTCATTATAAAACGTATACGTGATATTATTTTTCTCATATAAAAATGACTAGAATAAATTAAATTAATTATTAAAAAACTAAAAAGTAATTAAACGACTTAGACTTAGATGATAATAATAATGAAACATTTTATTAAAAAAAGATTCAATAACTAGTAGGTCAGGTTATAATTTTTTATTTATTTATTTATAACATTATGAGCTATTAAGCTCATCATCTCGTTCGCTCTCTGTCTTGCTTTCATTCGGCAAGTCACAAACGATATATGATACTCGTATGTTCCTACTTCAACTCTCGAGAATCTGAAACAAACGAAACTCGTGTCCAATATACAGGGTGTCCGGTAACTAACAGACCAATGATTACAAATGGATTCTTTGGTCAATTTGGGAACGATTTTTCCTCAGCGAAAATGTCGAAAAAGGTCATCATTTTTTACAACTTTCCAATCTTTGTCATTATGTATCTTTATAACTAAGCCTTAAATTAAAATTTTATTATAGTAAACTCTACCTGAAATTAACTGAAGAATGTAATTATGTTAGACTTTTAACTCCAAAACGTTTAGTTTTCAAAAAACCTATTTTTTTCAATCGCTTATAACTCGAAAATTATTGACTTCTCAACATTTTTGCTAAGGAAAAATCGTCTCCAAATTGGCCAGAGAATCCGCCCTTAATCATTGGTCCGTTAGTTACCGGACACCTTGTATATATTATATAAAAGTGTATAGCACGTCAGAAGCTTGTGAGCTTACAGCGATAAGTAAAAACAATTGCGTATTTATTTCATTGCGTTTATCTGTTTAAACGCGCGCTTTAATTTTTCCAACGTTTTTGCCTGTTTATATTTTAAAGGTCCTCTCTTCTAAAAATCTTGTTTTAAAGATCCTCTCCGCGAGCAAAATTCGAAAACATAAATTATTTAATATTTTTACTTTATTATTTGTAAATCCTCGGTAATTTCAAAATTTTTCTATTTGAAAATTATTAATTTTCTATTGCCAATTAATTTTATCACAGACTTTACTCTTACTCCCATTGCACTTTCGTTTGCGGTTTTCAGTATACGATTTTTTATCGTAGTTACTGAAAATTATTATTGTGAATTATACTTGTGCAGTGATTTGAAGAATTTACAATTTCGTTGAAATTGTTGATTTTTCAAAAAAATTACGAGATTCGCGGAAATTGCGTGCTTTCTTGGCATTTTCCGTTCGCGGCAGGCGGTTTATTTTTGATTGTTGCAAGTGTTTTTGTTTTTTTTTTTATTAAAATAGATAATAATAATGTGAAATAAATCACGATATTTGACAGATGTGCATATATATAGAAATTGTAATAATAATAATATTATATCATAAAATTGTAAATTGTTTCAATTTTTTATAGACTGCGATAAAAGATTTTACATTTGGATAAGAAACTGCGGTAAGTAAAAATATAAAATTCTTGAAAACGTAAAAATATTTGATAACGTAAAAAGGTGAACTTTGAAAAATAAGGAACTTAAAAATTGCACTAATAAATGGGCTATATATATGTGAGCCGTGCGCGGATGTAAGGTGTGTTATATCGAAATTTAATTAATAGAATTGAGAATTAATCCCAATTTTAAGTCTTACAAATGTCCAAGCTAATTTTTTGTACCTCGTGTACATTTTTGAAAGTTATATCGAAAAATTAAATTTCAATATGCGTCTTACATCTCACATTTCGCATACAGCTCACATATAGCCTATTTATCTCTTATACTTTATTTCAACCCTTATAGAAATTTATTACTAGTAACGCCAATTTATCACTTATTTCGAGTAATTAATCACTTTTATTTCGAATACTTAAATTACTGTATATTATAGTATTTTAAATACTCGAAATAAGTGATTAATTGGCGTAGTGATAAATTTCTACAAGAGAATAAGGAGCCTTTAAATTCTTAATGTAAAAAATTTCAAGTAATTTTCTTTAATAAAATTTAATTAAAAAATTTAATTAAAAAATTTTTGAACACTGTGTTATATCACATTTAAAATCGTGATTATTTCAATAAAAAAACATTTTATGTGTAAAAAATATATTTTTATATTTAATAAATTTTATATATATATATGCATATATGTAAAATATTCTCTCTCACTCTCTCTCTCTCTCTCTCTCTCTCACACACACACACACACACACAACGGGGGCCAAATCTCTCAAATTGGTCTCATGATCAATTAGCCTGGATTCGCACCAGGGGCAAAGTCTGTTGGTAATGTCAAACGAATTTAGCCTGGACTTGCACCAGGGGCAAAGTCTTTTGGTCGAGTCTACGAAATTTAGCACGGACTCGAACCAGGGGCAAAGTCTTTTGGTTCAAGTCTACGAATTTAGCACGGACTCGAACCAGGGGCAAAGTGTGTCGGTAAGGGGCAAAGTCTATCGCACGAAGATGGCGGTCTCTTCTTTAGGCAGGCCTTTGGCGATCTGTCTATTAATCTGTGTCTGTGCACATAGCACGGAATCGAACCACGTACCGTGCACATAGCCTGTTACCACTCGGGAGCATCGTGCACATGGCTACGTAGTTCAATGTGCACGTTTTGTGCACATAGAGGCGCTTTGAATTCCGGTTGCAGCTAAATCGAGGGGATGACCACTCTCATCCTTCTCTCTGTATACACTCAACTTTTAACAAAGGAAGAGCTTTGGAGAGAGAACGAGTTCGCTAATACCATCCTTAAATTAATATTTTAATCAACCAATATTTTAAACGGTAATAATGTTACAAATATATACTTTACGATTTTATTTATATTTTATTGAAATTATTCGTGTTTTCTTTTATAGATTTTTTACCACACAAGTATTAGAGCGATATATTTTTGACAAAATGGATGCAATAATGAATTTATTAAATGCCAAAGTGGTTTTAGCAAACAAGCATTGTGAACTCACAGATAGATATAAGAAACTTAAGACTGATCAGGAACGTGTAATATTTACTTTCAATGTTATGTTGGAATATGATTTAGTTCCTGGTACAACTGGTATGCCAAAAAATGCCAAAGAATCTGAGAAATTGCGGGAGCAAGGCAATAAAGTTTTTATCAAGGGGGCTCTCAATAATATGACATGCATTGAGGCCCTGAAATTATATACAATGAGTGTAGCGTTTGCTCCTTATCCTTCTGAGCAACTTGCTCTTGCCTATGCTAACAGGTCAGCAGTATTATTTCAATTAGGTTTACATTCAGAATGTATTCAAGATATTGACAGAGCACTGGTCCTAAATTATCCCGACAATCTAAGAGCTAAGCTTTATGTACGTAAAACAGAATGTTTAATGATTTTGGGAAGTTGTTCTGTGGAAGACATTTTGAAGGAAGCGCAGCATTGGTTGGATAAAATGTCTTTGAATGATACAAATAAAAAAAAATTACGATCAAAGCTTGATACTTTACATTGTAAGGTTGCACAAACAGAACAACCTGTTAAAGATAATTTAATACGTGCAGAAGTGAGGAAATCAGGAAATGAACCTCCTCTCCCTACTATTGCATCCTATAATAATGAAGTTCCATGTGCATCCGATGCAGTAGCTATAAAATACAATGCATGCTATGGCAGACATGTTATCGCTACTCGTAATATTCGGCCTGGTGAAGTAATTGCTGTGGAGAAACCTTATACATTGTTATTAATAAAACAGAACGTGCATACACACTGTTCAAATTGTTTGAAAGTGTGCTGGGCGAATATACCTTGCAACTATTGCACTTATGCTATGTATTGTTCAGAGGAATGCAGATATGCTGAATGGAAAAAATGTCACGATGTGGAGTGTGCTGTTTTCCCTGCTTTGATCGAACATGACTGTTACAATCTTGATTTGCTTAGCATAAGGCTGGCTGTGCTTGCTGTAAGAGAAGCTGGCAGTATGAAAGAATTAAGAACCATGCTGAAAAAGCTGGAAGAATGTGATGGTATGCACAAAATTTTTGTAATATGTAAAACAATTGATACGTAAAACAATGTTTACAATACTATTATTACCATTTTTAATTATCGACTGGTGACTTCTTAGTTCTTTATATATAATACTATTATTGTTTTAGATCCACGGACAAAGGGGTTTTCTCAAGACGGAAAATTACATAGTGATAAATACATTAGTATATACAGTCTTGTGACGAATAGCGAAAAACGACCTGGTCTTGATCTATTCAGGAGATCTTTGGATACTTGCTTTATTTTGTACTTCTTAGCGACACGTACTGTGATGTTTGGTGCTAAATTACCCGAAGATTTAAGCGTTTTGTCGAAAAACGATGACGTTACGTTTTTCGGAAGTCTCATTTTAAGACATCAACAGATAATTCCCAGCAATGTTCACAGTGTATGTATTTACTAAGTATTTTAATAATATACATCGATTCTGTGTGTGCTTTTATCTACTATTTATCTACTTTCTACTATTTATCTACTTTCATGTCTTTCACAGGTGTGTCTTTACGGTCTTTTATCATTTGCTTGTTTGTTTCAATTTTCTTTATTTTTTTCTTTGTCAATTTGTCAATTAAATGTGATGTTTGCAGTTCAGCGAAGAGCAAGGCTTAGAATGTGTAGAACGTGGTATAGCCGCAATGCCATTTGGTAGCTTAATTAATCACAGTTGTAATCCAAATATTATAAGGCACTCAAGATCTAAGCACATGTTGGTATACGCCATGTATCCCATTCGAAAGGGCGAGCAGGTATTAAATTGGCTTGTTGAAAATATTGTTTACAATATATGTTGATATTTGTGTCATTATAGCTCTTTGATAATTATGGCCAACATTATGCTATCATGCCGAGAGCAATAAGACAACAGAAGCTACTGAAACAGTATTATTTCACTTGTAATTGTATTCCTTGCCAGGAGAATTGGCCTTTATATCACGAATTAAAGTCATTTAAGGTAAATAATAACGAATTTGATTAATAAATCAAACTGAACTATAATAATATGATATTTCTTGTTGGTCTTCTATAGACTTTAGTGAAGAAAGCAGAGGACAAGGTTAAGATAAAAAAAGCGTTGCGTAAATTTAATACATATGTTGATATAGCGACAGAAGGCAACGTGCAAGATAAACCTTACATTATCGAAGACTTGTTGAAAATGCTACAAATATTATATGATTACGTGCCGATGCCTTGCCACGAAATGAGTAATGTCGTCGAGACGTTAAAACGAGTATACGATTTGAATGGGAATAGATTTATAATACCACAAATATGGACGAATCAAAAGTAGATTTTATTTATATTTTTGATTGATAAAATAATGTTATTGTTACTGTTTAATATATGATTAATGCGTAAAATGCACAGTTTACAGACTTCCTCTAAAGAGAAAGAGAGATTAATATTTTTTTTAAAATGCTGATAGATTTTAAGAGGAAGAAATTAATACTTTTTTTATTTTATAAATGACAGTTTCTTTAATGGAAAAGTGTTTTAAAGAGATTTATATTTTATGACTGATAAAATAATGTTATTGTTACTATTTGATACGATTAATGCGTAAAAAGCACACTTTACAAAGACTTCCTCTAAAGAGAAAGAGAGAGATTAACATTTTTTAAAATGTATGATAGGTAGATTTTAAGAAAAAGAGATTAATACTTTTTTTTTATTTTTTGAAATGACAGTTTCTTTAATGAAAAATTGTTTTAAAGAGATTTATTATTAACATTTATAGAGAGATATATATAACAATATTAAATATAAGTATATTTATATACTATTATACATACACTATGTTATATTTATCAAATCTAAGATTTTAACAAATGCATATTTTTAAAAATTATGAGTGACACTGTATTAAGTTTGTACTTTTTTTTTTTCGCTGTTTAATATATAATTCTTATCTAAGAAATAAGATTTTAACAAATGTATATTTTTAAAAATTATGAGTGACACTGTATTAAGTTTGTACTTTTCATTTTTTTTTCGCTGTTTAATATATAATTCTTATCTAAGAAATAAGAAAATTATGCTTTTATTTTGTTAATAAATAAATCGCAAATAATATCGAAGTAAGGAGAGAAAAGTGGAAAGATTGTGAAAGATAATATAGCTTATTAAAAATTAAAGATATGATCGGTTTAATTATAAATTGATATTTTTGATATATTAAACTGATAGCCAGAATTGGGCAGATACTTCGAAACAAAATATTTAAATACAAAATACAAGATACTGTTTGACATATATTTTAATATTATTGAAATACTTTGGTTTTGAAATATATTTAAATAAAAATAAATAAATTTATAAATACTTTTAAATATAATTTTATTTCTGATTATATAGTTAATATTAAAGTAATTACAAAAAGATTATCTACTATTATTTAAAAAATGAAATAGTAATAGTAGATGATTTTATTGTAATTATACTTTAATATTAAGTATAATATAGTCTGATGGTAGAATTATATATGAAAATAATATCAAAAGTAAGTTAATTTTAACACTTTGAAAGATAAGTTTATTTATTTGAACTTTAAACTTTATCAAACAATAATAATTAAAATAAACATATAATAGCATGTATTATATTATATTTGTATAAAACATATATATATATATATATATGATGTAATTACATAAATATATTTAAATACAAGATGCATTTAAATTAAACAATTAATTACAAAATTCGAAATACTTGATTATTCGGTATTTAAATACTATATTTAAATATATATCTCAGATACTTTAAGATATATATCTGCCCAACTCTGTTGATAGCATTTTCCTTATACTATCAATAACAAAGTAATTATTGGTAAAAGAATTGCCATCCCAATCGGTCGATACGTCGTCCCGAGATTATTATCACCTTTGTTCATATCATCGCAAAAAGAATTGCTATTTACGTACGAAATTCTCCACTCTACGCCCGGATATATCGGACTGTGTTTTTCGATATATCGCTCCAATACATCCGCTAGAGTGATACCTGTTCAAATAAAATTCAATTGTGATAAATGTTCGATAAAGATAAGATGGCAAAGATATGTAAGATGATTAAATTACAAAATACTATGCAACGAATGTTATGCAATATACATATTATAAACATACTTAGCGGAGTTCTTTCAATACTCTCCAACATATGAAAACCATCTCCACCCTTTGCAATGAAATCATTTATGAGGATATTGTAGGTAAGATTTGGTTGGAGTTTGCTGTACGTCGGTACTCGACAAGTAGCACATTGCACTTGAACGGAAACTACCCTCGAGTTCGGTGGTCGATTTATGTCATAAGCTACCTGTAAACAATGCATGTTAATCTTTGACAAGTTTGAACACGAGTTAGGGTTTCGACATTTAAATAATTGTGAAGCGAAAGTTATAAAACCAATAATATTAATCAAATTTAACACAATTTTTTTAGATATATAGGATTTATTTTAGAAATAAATTACCTGCAATCCCGAATATTGTAGAAACGCGCCGTTTAGGTTGCCGGTAGAAGTTAAGTTATCTAAATTATGGACGCTCCATTCCAACATCGAAAGGATCAGCTCTCCGGTCACAGAAAGCTTCACGATGATATTCCCGAAGGGTAAGACACTTATAATGTCTTTCCGGGTGATCTGTAAATGTCGCGATGACGCTAGATACATTTGCAAAAATTAAAATTAATTAAGAATGCATAATTATAATACATCATCGTTTCTTGCTCTGGTGATGGATGCTCTGATGCTGCCGCCGTTGTGGATCGCGATGGCGGCATCCGTCCATCCGTCCTTATTCAAGTATTCCCCGGCATACTGCGAGCAAAGAAAACACAGATCCATATTATTCTCCTCTCTCTAAGAATAGTCTCACAATATCAGCGACAAGCGTTGCGTCGATTAAACTAATAAACAAATCTTACGTAATCAAGCATAGCGTCGCAGATTAAGTTGCCCATGTTGCATTCTTGTCGTCTGCAGCTCTGGAAGTCCCCGTCGAGGAGCACTCGCGTTTTTCCAATTATTTTGTGTTCCATTTCGTCAATGGGTTTTCTCTTATCACTTATCAATTTTAGAATATCCTTCGCCTGCGAGAATAATCAAATATCATATATATTTTAAAGTATACCATATATAATGATATTAATTATTATAATTTATATTAATGTAATTTTTCATATTTTTTGCATGTACATGTAATTTACAGGTGTTTTTATTGTGTAGTATATGTATTTTATATATAATATTAATGTACATAGTAAATGTACATAGTAAAATTAATCGAACATATTTTGTATGTTCTTTATTATTGTAGATATTAATATTTTTTATTGTGGTAAATATTTAATCAGAAAAATTTTTATAAAATTTGTCCAATATCCTATTGTCCTATGGATTATCATAATTTTCAGGATAAACTTTCTAAAGGAAAATTCTCTCTGTGTAGTAATTAAATTATTTATATACACTATTATAAAGACGTAATAATTTTTGTAACATCAATTATTTTTCTCTTACAATTTTTGCGATTTTTCTTATATTTTTCTCAAATGTTTACCTGCTCCACCTTGGCGTCCACAAGAATCGGGTTTCCCTCGATGTGCGTTACTTCTCCTCTGGCGTCAAAACTCACGGAAAAATTACCCAAGTATTTGGTGTATGCGTATGCCTGAACAACATAGGTCTTTCTACCGCTCTTCTGAATGATCTCTGTAGGATAGAAACCCTCCGGCACCTCGGAGTCCGGAGGTTTGCCGCGATACAAAAAGGTATTGGTGTGACCGCCGATCACCAGATCGATATCCTCGACCTCCCGCGCGATCCTTTTGTCGGTCTCGTAGCCCGAATGGCCCAGAGCGATGAGAATGTCGACACCCTGCTCTTTTAACATCTTAGCTTCGCGTCGAATGGACTCCACCTCATCCTTGAACTCCACATTCTCTGTACTCGACAGAACCGTCGTCTCCGGCGTCAAGTAGCCAATCACTCCGATTTTGTGACCGTTTACTTCAAGGATCGTGCTGTTTTTCAGATTGGTAGCTGCCAAATCCGGTTGCTTGCTGAGATCCAGATTTGCTGTCAGAATGGGATACGAAGCGTTTTGTATGAAGGGTATCAGACCTTTCACGCCGTCGTCGAATTCATGGTTGCCCAAGGACTGTCACAAACAATTCATATTTACGATAAAACCCGAATTTTATTGATATTTCCTCACTTTTCCAGCATCTTATTTGCACAACAAATCAGTTGTTTGCGCAAACAAGATGTGTCGCATTAAAAGGAATTCTGGTAGATTCAACCTGTAATTCTGTTTCGTCCATTTGCGAACAGAAGTTTTGTTAATGCAACAAGATTTTTTTTCCAGTAGCTGGATACAAAGAATGAATGGTGCAGATTTTGCTGATTGATAAATAAATTAACAAATATTTTTTTTTGCTTTCAGATATCGTGTATCTTCCCAGACAACACCATGTCTAAAATTAGCGCATAAGACATCTTTGAGATGTCTTTAAGACGTCTTTTGGATATCATATCAAGATTTCTTGAAGATGTCTTAAAGACTACTTAAAGATGTCTTATACGCCAATTTTAGACATAGTGTTGTCTGGGTTCGAACCGAGTAAAAGCTACTCACTATAGCATCCGGCTGTAAGAGATTCATGAACCAAGACACCGCCTTCCACTTGTACACGTTGTACCAGGCGGTTCCTTGATAAGTGTCGCCGGCATTCAGGAAGATCGTCGACGGCGATTCCGACTTCGCTTGGCGAACCAGGGTCGCGATCCTGGCAAAACCTCCGTAACATTTCCCGGCATCGGAGTCCTGCGGTGTACACGCCGTCGATAATTGCGACGTCTCCTCGAATCTAAGAATGTTTCAGCAAAGTCTTCATTTGAAGTGTGTACGATTTAATATATATTTTTATCATTTTCGAAAGAACGAAGAAATTTTCTTGTCAAATAACGAATTCGCGTGAAAAAACACGCGCGATATTTAATTAGAGTCTAGGAGCGGGATGTAATTAACTGCTTTAACATTTGTAATTAGCGTAGTGGCGGTAATTGTTGGCGGTATAGCGTGACGTAAAATTACACAAAATTGTAATGTATGCATGTGTGAGATATGAAAGAGTAAATATTATATGAGTTTCTTAAAAGTCAAACTAATTAACTCCGCTCCAATATCACATGCTCTAATATTAAAATTAAAAAATTTATAACATAAAATCGATCAGTTTGATTTCTCAAAGACTCACACGTATACTTATAATATTTATGATATTTATTTAAATATCTTATAATATTTGTTTAAATAATATTATTATAGGATTAAAATGTTTTTGTAACATAATCAGGTTTGTATTATCGTTTTTTAATAAGAAGAGAAATTTCAGACAGGCACCATGTTTTAAAATTGAAAAAAAAGAGATCTTGAAGAATCTTTAATAATCTTATGATATCTGAAAAACATGTTAAAGGCGTCTTAAAGATGTTTTATGTCTCTATTTCAAACATGTTTCAATTTTGTGCTAACTAGAATATTTCAAAAATTTTTCTAAAAACAAGAGTTACCTCGCATGCATATCATTCGTGTGAACAATTCTGATGGTGAATTCTTCATCCTTTCGTGAAGTGGGATTTGCAAAAGTTTCGCTTGCGAATATCAACAGCGCAATAACGCAACAATTTATGTGCAAAGCAATCGACATCTTTGATTATCACTAATTTCGTGTCTTACTTTGATTGCGCTTCTTTATGATCTTTTCTTTGTCTTGTGTCTCGCTTATCTCTGTATTTATAATACTGATAAGACACGTTCTTGATACATGTGCACTTATTCTGTCATTTTGGCTTTTCTCATATTAGTAAAATTATTGTACTGCATTTTTCGATTTATAAAACGCTTTTCTGAAAGAATATATTTGTTTTATTTTACGATAATGAAAATTTTTTATTTTATTTTATAATGAAATTTTGTAATAAAGTTTTTTATTTCGTAATAAAAATTTAGGTATTTTCTAATAAAAATTTTTATTTAATTTTTTAAAATATCTGATAATTGTGAAAACATAGAATGAAAAAATATGCAATATTTAAGCGAAATATATGTATTTTTATTTGCATTTTTCGTATTACTGAATATAAGGATTTACATCCATCTGGTTATTACAATTTATTTTAAAACTTTCAACTTGCCAAGAATTTTAATGGCTCATAAAATCGGCGTTCCAAAGACGCGTCATCGTATTTTTCGAACAAATATGAATTTAATTTGAAAATTAATGCTGCATAGCTGTCTAATTTATGGAGAGAGATAATGACAATAATAATTTTTGTCTTTGTCATTTAACATTACAAAATAGTTTTCTTTATGAGAAAAAAAGAAATTTTTTATCTTAAGTATTCTAGCAATGTAAAAGTTTTTAAAATTTTTTCTCTTTTTTAAAAAGAAAAATATGGTCTGTTTTTATTTGAAACACCCATATATTAACGAGATATTTAATATATTTTATATATAATAATATACAATATATGTGTACAATACTTTCATAAAATATATTATTACACAATACCTTTAATTTGTAACGATCGACGGCGATTGATGACAGATTGAGTAACACCTCGTATCAGAAAATGAACAATAACAAGTGACCACACAAATTACTACACGCCAAGCAACATTCCGCATTTATATGCAAACCACGTACGATGCAAGGAGACTTTCGCGAGAGCGAAAGTAAAATCGCGTTTTCCAAGCCGAACTCCGAGAGCTGGATCGTCGCGTCTTCATTAATTTTTCTAGACGATGCTAATTTTTGTTTTATTTCGTTCAAAAAAAAGTAAAAAGAGGCACTTAAAAAATCAGAACGCTGTCAACTGTCACTTGAATTACGAAGGTATAATCACGTGCAAGAGTATGCGAGATACTGGCTCACTCTTCCGCGTTATCGAGGCCGCGACGGTGACTTTGAGGGAGCTCCGAGAGAGGCGAAACGATTTTGATGAACGACCGGCACCAACTACTGACTATGACCGACGTCGTTGCGTGCGGACCCCACCGGACCTTTTTCAGTGATCTCTGCTGGAGTTCTTGCCTGAGTTTCGCAGCATCCATTCTTCGTCGAGAATGTGCAGCTCTTTCAGAGAAGATAATGGGTCGCAAAATTCGTTTTTTGAAGAAAAAACTTATTTCTTATTTTAATGTAATGGTTTTATTTTAAAAAATGCACAAAAGGTCTTCATCGGTCTTTTATCGCGCGTATCTTTACGACATAAGTATTTTTGTTACGCTTTAACTTGGAAGGTAATATATCGTTTTAATATGTATCTTACGCCGAAAAGTCACAAGTCAAGCATAAGGAAGATAACATAAGGAAGATAACATGATTATAAGTGTACTTAATCGACAATTCTCGTTTCTTAAACATTAAACATTTATTTATAATTGCGCCATTTGAGCAAGAGTGATTTAATAAAGATGACTACATTTATTTGTAATTTTAATTAAATGTAAGGAAAATATTTTCAATTAAATATTGCAGATATCAGAGAAGAATTAACTTAAATATACATATTTTGTGCAAAATACATATCTTTGACGTTTTAAAAATTAACTGTTATCATCTTTATTTTATCAGTTTTGTTTAATTGTCCAGTGAATTATCAGTTTAATTATTAATTTCGAAAAATGAAGTAATTTTTATTTTTTGAATAACAAAGCTTACGTAAATAATGCTTTTTATTGAGATACTAATCTGTCAAACAGGAAGAAAGAGATTTTTATTCTTATCTACATTTATATGTTTTATATATGACATATAAAGATAGTTATAATTATATTTTTATTTTTCAAATATTGCTTTAACTAATATTTTTCACCAACTACTACTTTTTCTAATATTAATACTATACTATTTTAACTTTTATTCAGATAATTTATATAATACAGATCAACAATCATCAAATCTGCTGTTCTAATATTCACTCTACTCACATAAATAATACTAATTTGAGCAAGAGTGATTTAATAAAGATGACTACATTTATTTGTAATTTTAATTAAATCTAAGGAAAATATTTTCAATTAAATATTACAGATATGAGAGAAGAAATAACTTAAATATACACATTTTGTGCAAAATACATATCTTTGACGTTTTAAAAATTAACTGTTATCATCTTTATTTTATCAGTTTTGTTTAATTGTCCAGTGAATTATCAGTTTAATTATTAATTTCGAAAAATAAAGTAATTTTTATTTTTTGAATAACAATAAAGCTTACGTAAATAATGCTTTTTATTGAGATACTAATCTGTCAAACAGGAAGAAAGAGATTTTTATTCTTATCTACATTTATATGTTTTATATATGACATATAAAGATAGTTATATTTATATTTTTATTTCTCAAATATTGCTTTAACTAATATTTTTCACTAACTACTATTTTTTTCTAATATTAATACTATACTATTTTAACTTTTATTCAGACAATTTATATAATACAGGTCAACAATCATCAAATCTGCTGTTCTAATATTCACTTTACTCATGTAAATAATAATCTAATTTTATAAAAAAAGATTATAAATATTCCATGAGACATCATTATTCTATTTAGACTTAATACTTGTTTTTGGATTTAAATCGTCACTTTGTTAACAAAAATAATTATTTATGAACCTAACGATCCATTCATTGCGGCCGAATGAGATTTTAATATCTTTCACAATATCTTGGTTGTGTAATCGAGATATAATCGCTTCTTGAGAGCGCGTTAATAATACCAAAACGCATCTCGTCACGGTGAAAATATGATATAAAAGACAAATAAAGAACTCTTTATTTTTCTGTCAGAGAGCCAGAATGCCAGGCAAGTTGTTTGGCAATTTCCTTGGCATTCTATCCTTCTACCAGTTATTCGTCTTTCCTTTCCGTCCAATGTTACGTGTTCTGTTCGTAAGAAATAAATGGCCGCGCATCATAAATTGACGTGACACAAAGCAATTTATTTACTGGCAGAGACCTTACGCTGTTTACGATCGCATTTGTGTAATACAGAGAACGATTCTAATTCTGTATAATTCCGAACGTATTGTTCAAACGCAAATACAGACGCGATATCTTTACAAGTAGTAAGTATCTGTGATATTTTATCATCGACATCTGGAAATAACTCAATGGCGTGTACTAATTAATTTGACGTAAGAATGTTGTTCGTGTGAATTTTTTTTTCCTGAAACGCAACTATTGCGAGAACTGTCGTCCCGTTATCAGCAATATACGAGTTTTCCGGTCACCCATAAATTTGTTTAGATAATTAGATAAACTATAGTGGCAATGCGTTCAGACCGGTTAGTTGAGCGAAATAATTTTTGTATTTTTTTAAACTATATGCGTTTTTATGCAAAGCAGTGAGGATAAAATCTGTCTCATAAAGAAATAATTCTCTAGCTTTAAATTTTTTACATCTTTTAATTTCTATTTATTCGTTACAAATTACGCGCGATTAATATTATTATTAATCTATTATTATTATTATTAATATTATTATTAATTATTATTAATATTATTATATTTTTTGGAGAAAATTTATTATTTATCGACATTAAAGAAAATTTAATTAATGCATTTTATTTAAAATTAGCATGATAGATGTTCTTGGAACATCTATCATGCTAATTTTACATATCAGAATTTTTTATTTTTATTTTAATTTAGATTTTGATTTTTATAACAAAATAAAATTATATTATTATTGTTTAAGAACAATATGTAAGTATTTAAAAAAATTGGCAGCTGCAGTATAATTTTTAAGACTATTTATGTCATATCTGTTATGACAGTTGTGAAAAAATGCTATGATAAATGCATACATATGTATCAAATAAAATGACATGTTCTACATATGAAGAGATGTATGTTATTTCAGTATTACATGTCATGATAATTGTGTAAGAATCTGAGAGAGCGAGGTACCGAAAATAAATTTGTATTTACCGTTACAGTAGATAAAAATTCAATCCAGCGAAAAATAACCCGAATTTTCAATGAAAGGTAGGGATTGCGAAGCGCCAATAAGAAAGCGACAGGTAATAAACCGTGACTTATCAAAAATTTGAGAGTAGGAAAATGAGACTGCGAGGCAGAGAGTTACGGAGTCTTGTAGAGAGAAGTGGAAGAAGCAAAAGAGAGTGAATAAGCACCCCAGACAGCACCAAATCCAAAATCGACGCATAAGATATCTTTAAAATATGTTTAAGATGTCTTTCGGATATCATATCATAAGATTTCTTAAAGCTGTCTTAAAGATTTCTTAATGATATTTTATGCGCCAATTTTGGGCTTGGTGCTGTCTGGGCACGGGATACGAGAAATTCCGATTACTATTTTTGTGATTTTTCTTTACTAATTGTTTCTAACTTTTTTTTATACGTTCAATTTATAATAAACTTTATTTGTTATTTCTTAAAAAAAAAGAAGAAGAGAGTTTCTATCCTACCAGCTTACAATTGTGAGCACATGTTGTGATAAATGCACGTATCAAAGAGTAACACACATCTAAAAATTAATATCGCATACTTGAATAGATCTGACAATAAGCGATAAGCATTTTTCAATTGAAACGTAAACAGCATAAATCTATATATTGTAAATACATCATTTACTTTTATCAAATATTTATGTGCGATATTAGCTAATTGAATATACAGGGTGTCCGGTAACTAACGGACCAATGATTAAGGGCGGATTCTCTGGCCAATTTGGAGACGATTTTTCCTTAGCAAAAATGTTGAGAAGTAAATAATTTTCGAGTTATAAGCGATTGAAAAAAATGGGTTTTTTGAAAATTAAACGTTTTGGAGTTAAAAGTCTAACATAATTACATTCTTCAGTTAATTTCAGGTAGAGTTTACTATAATGAAATTTTAATTTGAGGCTTAGTTATAAAGATACATAATGACAAATATTGGAAAGTTGTAAAAAATGATGATCTTTTTCGACATTTTCTCTGAGGAAAAATCGTTCCCAAATTGACCAAAGAATCCATTTGTAATCGTTGGTCCGTTAGTTACCGGACACCCTGTATATTTTAATGTAATAATATATATTTTAACGCAAATAATATTTTATTTCAAAATTTTCGAGATTCGGACTAAAATACTTTGTCGATAAATTAATGTAGTTTACCAAATACTTTGTAATCATTCGTGAGTAGGGGATCTGATAATCGACGTTCCTTCACGGAAGAACAAAAACACACGCGGTTGTCGAAGAAACACAGTTGTCCACGAATATTTGACACGTGAGTTACCAGCTTACTAAGAGAATAAAAAGGTAAGAGCCGCAGTAACCATTCTTAACGACATTCAATGTAAACACGTTATATAACTTAATGACATTCGAAAGAAGCACGTTCGTCAAACGAAGTGTATTGTAATTTATTCTGTTATCTGTCACTTTGTAACTTCCAGAACTGCATTGTATTTTTACTTATTTGTGAAGGCGCGTTATTTTCGCTTTTTTAAAGATATAATAATTTAGTTTGTATTAAATAACGTTGCAATTATATGAACAACTATTTATCACGTCATGTTATGATGTTTATACGTTCCATTAATTTTGTTCTTATTTTTTGTATACTTGGCCGCGATTTCCGCGCAGCGTGATTATTTTATCGTTTTTAGTTTTTTGCTAGAGAACTCATAAAACTTGGTTCACTTATTTATTTGCTTTATAATTAGTAGGAGTGGAATAGCTGATTGTGCATGCGTAGTCGGATTTAAGCGTATTTTTTATGTCGCAGTAATTATCAAGCGAGTGTACAAATGAGTGAGCTTCTCAGTTGATTCATGATTAGATATAAGGAAGAGGCTTGCGAAAACTGTGCAGTAGATATATTATTAAATATCTAACGATCTCTAATCTAAAAAAATATATAGCGAAATATCGATATAATAAAAGAGTTAAGTACAGATTATATACATAAAAATATTTATTGCAATTCAAAAATAAATTTATTTGTACAAGTTATTAGTTATATATAGGCGCATAGTAATAAAATTTTATAACTCTGTACAAAATAAGAGACTTAACTAACTTTGGTTTTTATTTGGTAATTACTTACACATAAATAATACATTATAAGTCAATTTCTTCAAAGATTTAGTTTGCCACTTTATTTCTGACACATGTAATTTATTTATTATTAATAGTGATAAATAAAAAGGCCAACTAAGTTGCAATTATTGAGAAGATAAATAATATTTGGCCTTTTTATTTATCACTAATTGTATATACAATATACGAGCGAAGTTTTGTAGTAATTAATTTTTTATTTATTATTATTTGTTATTTAAAAATCTAATATATCACTGTAGCATTATCTCGTTTATGATGCATGATTATCATCGTCTTTTGATTCTTGCGTGTTACGCATAATTCTCATATTATTTATTTTCTCAATAATTGCAAATGTACAAAAAAATGCGTGTATTTAAAAAAGTGTAATTATTACCTTCGTGTCGAGACATAAAAAATTAAATGAGTATTCGTGAAATGTCACAGCTCGCAGGAAGCTTCAATAAATGCAGATTGCATGTACGTACTTTTAAGATGCATTTTGAAAAGATACAACATGGTCTCTTCTCGAGCTATCAAATTTAAATAAAAGAAGGTATGAACGATTATGGTACAGTTCGATGCCTCGTTTCAATCTCATCTCTGTCCGATCATATATTCGCGGTAAACCCGTAATTACTTGCAAATATACCGACTTAATGATATCTTCTCCAACAGGTGCAGCATGTACGCGTTGCTGTTGCTCTCGTTGTTTCAAGTCTCTTACGGATTCACCGGGCGTGGACTTTTTTATCCCGGTAGAACAGACCTCTTCGAGCTGTCAATAATTCATTTGAATGATTTTCACGCCAGGTGAGAACCAGGGTTCCCTATTTAATTTTTTTATCTAATAGTCGATTTGCTAATATTAAACGCATAAATCTCGTAATTCACAATCCAACAACAATTCTTTTATATAAAATTTACAATCGAGTGTTTGCTAATTTTATGAAGTGTAAGTTGAGAAACGATTATTTCGTTTGTTGTGAAATTTGAACGTTATGATGTAAAAAATCTATTATAACTTTAGAAGCGAAACATATTTTTGTCAAGGATAAGGCAATTATAATAATCTTGCCGTTGGCCTCGGTCTCCTTCCTTTTGATCGTTTTGCTATTTGTCGGGGCGTCAAAGCGTGACTCGTTGAGAGAACATTGAAATTATGTCGAAGTAGATTCGAACAAACGGGCCCGACTTCTGGGACTTGCCGCGAGGGTCACGAACAGGACTGCGTGGGAGGTATTGCTAGAGTTTACACAGCAGTCGATCAACTCGTTAAAGAACGGCCGAATGCGATTTTTCTGAATGCCGGTGATCATTTTCAGGGGACACTGTGGTACAACATTCATCGTTGGAACGTCACAGCTTTGTTCATGAACATGTTGCCGCACGACGTCATGGTACATAATTACATCCGCCTGCATTTAATTACTCTAACTAATATTTCATTATATATTTTTCCTTATACATTTGTTTAGAATTCAAATTCATTTAAAATAAAATATAAGAAAAATCAGCCATTTAAAGTCAACTCTACAGTTGATTGCTATTAAAAGAAGGAGAAAAATATATTTTTAATTATAATTAAATCGGACAATTAGTTTTAAAAATGTTTTTTAACATTTTATAGACGATCGGCAATCATGAATTCGACAATAAAATTGAAGGCCTTGTTCCCTTCCTTGAAAATGTTAAAGCGCCGGTTGTGGTAACAAATATCGATGATAGCGAAGAGCCAACTATCCAGGTTTGTAATCTCGATTTATTCCTTCGCAGAGGCATTGATTAATATACTTATTATTTTTTTTAGAATTTATACAAAAACAGTACAATCATTGAGAGAAATGGTACCAAGATTGGGGTCATCGGCGTTATCTTATCGACTACTAATGTGAGTAATCGATATAAATATTTTTCTCTGTAAAAGCGATCATATAAGTACACATTGTATTTAATTTAATAGAGATATTTTTCGTATATTATTTTAAAATACAGGACATCGATTTTTTATAGTATTCGATTCTTCCAGCTGCTCGCGAATACGGAGAAACTAAAATTCTTAGACGAGGTGGAGACGGTCAATGATGAAGCTCAGCGATTGAAAAAAAAGGGAGTGGACATTATTATAGTATTAAGCCACTGCGGATTAGATGTAGACAGAATCATGGCTGCGAAATGTCCCTTGATCGACGTGATTGTTGGTGGTCATTCGCATACGTTCCTTTATACAGGTCGATCAAATATAAACTGAATTCATATAGACTTTTGATTAAAAATGTGAATACTCGTTAAAACGATATTTATTATTGAAAACAAAAAGTTATCTTGCGTATTATAATTTTTAATTTTTGTTTTTCTATTTTCTTACTTGCAATATAAGAATGGGAGACTAATATATTCTTATTAATATTATATGTTCTTATATTCTTATTAATATCATTAATAAAAGAAAAAAAATAAGAGTAATTTTCTTATCGATATAATATTTTTAAACGCACAGCAATAATGATTATTTATCATAGGACCTCCGCCTTCCGTTGATGCTCCAATGGACGAATATCCTGTAGTCGTGACGCAAAATGAGACAGGCAGAACGGTTCTCATCGTCCAAGCAGCTGCTTATACAAAGTACGCCATTCATTCATGAGAATATGTCAAGAGTACCGTTAAAGAAGGTCAATTCCTATCTGATGTCACGAGGTTGACTCCGATTAATTTTATTTTATCATTTAATGAATAGACTTATTTTAAATTTGTCGAAAAAGAGAGAAATGCATGTAAAATTTAATCTCGCAAAGACACGTGTGATAATTTCACGTACCTATTTTTATTCTTATTTCATCTATTTATTTTTTGATAAGATACTTGGGTAATTTGACGGTATGGTTTGATGACCAAGGTGAGGTCGTCGACTGGGATGGAAACCCACTTCTTTTGGATCAGTCCATCGAAGAAGGTAAATTTTTTCACAAATTTGATATACTATAAAAATCTAAAATAATTAATGTACCTTTTTTTAGATCCGGAAATCCTGGAAGCTCTAAAGCCCTGGAAAAAGGAAGTGGACGCGAAAGCATCGAGGAAAATTGGCAGTACGAAAGTCTTCCTCAATCACAACTGTTATTCCCAGGAATGCAACATGGGAAATTTTATAGCAGACGCCATGGTAAACGCGGTGGGTATAAAATTTATTTTTATGCATATTTTTAAAAGCAAAATTATCAAATTAATTAAATTATAAATTGCATATTTTCAGTTTGTCGATAAAGCCGAAAATAAAACTCATTGGACATATGCAGCGGTAGCCTGCTTGAATTCAGGAGGAATTCGCACTTCTATCGAGGAGTCCGAGATCACCTATGGTGATCTGATGATGGTCCAGCCTTTTGAAAACACTTGGGACACTCTCGAACTGACTGGAGAATCCATTAAGAAAGTGAGTTACATTTTTTATTAGAATACAATTTTTCGTGTTTTATAAAACACGAAAAATTGATAGATTTAATTATATAATCTAATTTAACAATAAGATAAATTATATTAAAAAACTCTGCATCGCACATGAAATAGCGCCGTATAGATCAACGTATGAATGTAAACGTGCATTAATGGTGGCCTATGTTCGGGGATATGAAGATTAAATAACGACCAATAATTTAATTAATTCTTTTTCTTGTAGCTTCTGGAAACTGAAGAAATTTTAGTCTGGTCCGGGTTAAAAGTTACGTACAAAAATATCAATAAAAACCGGACTGTGGTCGATGTTAAAATCAGGTAAAAATCTTTTATTGACAGAATATTAATTTGTTTTACAACAAGATTGGAGTATAAATTGAATTTAATATTCTCATTTTATGTTACATCGATTGTATTGAAAATTAATAGCAATTTTAATTTCGCTTAACGTACTGACAGATGCCAGGATTGCGAATATCCGATATACAAGGATTTGGTGCACGATCAATGGTACAGACTGGTTGTGCTAAGTTTCTTGATCTCTGGCGGAGACGGCCATCACATTTTCAAGAATAATAGTCGTAATCACAAAATAGGAGAACGCGATATAGATCATTTTATAAATTACGTGGAAAAAATGAGTCCTATATTGACAGGTATCGAGAGGCGAATAACTTTTGTAAAGTCTTAAAACTCGTCTTCTCTTTTTCCCTCAGATTACATTTTGCGATAAAATTAGGTATTAAAATTGCATTTAGAGAGATTACATTTATGAACAATATTCCATTTAGAAGAGATATTTATTTTTGATAGTTAATTACAAAAATAAAATTTTCCGAAGTTAAGGAAGAGAAAGTATTATTATGTGAGTATAGAGTATAAAATAAATATTTTATATTAATAATAAATCAACAAGTTGTAATACTTGCAACAAAATTAAAAAATAATTATTTTTATATATATGCTTTTAAGTAAAATATAATAATTTTGCACGTGCATTATTATACATGTTTTTTTCGGACATGCAGAAAATTTCTTAATATTCTTTCGAACAATTTTTAAGAACATTTAATAAAAATAAAGTCCATATATACACACAGATGAAAAAGATCGGCGCAACTCGCGTGATAGCTGTAAGAAAGCAGGAAACGCCGGTCGCTTATCTTGCGGTATCTCAGGAGATCGGGGCAGATGAAGCATTTAAATAATGTATCGAACAGGTGAAATAGCAGCTGTTCGTTCGTGTTCCTGCCCTCGACCAGAACGCGCGAACCGCTTTGTAGCTCCGACGAGGAACGCTGGTTTTTAGCGGCGAAAGAAAGAAAAAAAGGAGAGGCACTCTGCAACACACCGATTAAAGTAAACTTGAACACATGCATGTGTTTCCCATTAGACATTTAATTATTCTGTACATCTATCTGTACATATATTTTTCTAATAGATGTTTTATTTTTTACAATCAACCTTCGTGTACGCATATGCGTATAGCATATAATTACCGTGTTATAAATTACACACAATTTATAAGTGTTGTAGATATCATAATTTTAATACTTGTCAATTCATTAAAAAATGATTGAAAAAACATTGGAATATTTATCGGGCGAGAAGACGTAACTCCGGAGTTCCAGTTCGATGCCAAAGTCGCACTGATCGCGTTGATTGTAAATGCGATATTGTTATAAGCGACGCGGATCAAGTGTAACACTTTCTGGCGTAATTAACGTATACGAATGATAATGCTCGCGTCGATCTGCATATCTGGCGATTTACATAACACGGAACGCGACGTGCGCGCGTAAATACGCGCAATTGGATCTTATGTTGGTGTCGTCGAGAATAAAGGGACACGAGGACTTTCGATGTTACCATGGAACAATGATAATGTAATTTATTATCCAAGAAAAAATCAATACTGTGTTATTGTTTGTAATATTAAAATAATTTATATTGATATAATTACGAGTATAAAATAATGCATTAATATAAAATTTGAATATAAATATGATTATATTACATTATTATTTATTGATATTATTGTATTAATATTATTATAAATATTAATATTAAAAAAATTATTTATAAAATTCGGAATATAACCAGTGCGCGGGTACGTTAACGTATAATTGCAAAAGCAAGGAACCGTCTTTCTCTTTAATTACATTTATCCGGCAATTGAAGAAGATTATCGGATAGAACAAAAAAGGTGCTTTCAATCAACCGGAATATTATGTTTGTCCGTTGCAGCTTTATATCCTTTTACGCTTATTTACGAAATATATATATATATATATATATATATATATATATATATACTTGCGCTTTGGAGAAAAATGCGGAGAAAACAAGCAAAGGGACTGCATAGAACAGCAAATGCAACTGATTGTGAAACAAATGCATAGATCTATTTCTTCTCATCTCGTTTAAAAGAACGTAATAAATCTTAGGAAATGCAATTGCAAAAATGCTTTTTGACATATAATGACCGGATGATGTTTGACGTCTTACCGGATATTTCCGCGATATCCAGTGTTTATTATTATCTAAATAAAATTATATAAATGATCATCTAGATAAAATGTTGGCGTCATCTTATCTTTATATAGAAATAAAAAAATATGTATTATCTATATTCTACATCTTACAATTTGATGAAAAAAGTATTATCTTCACGAAATTGTCTAGAATAATTAGATTTAGAGTCCTAGAGATAAAACTTTATAAACAAAAGTATGAATATATTTTTATATCCCTTTTATAATTTTATTTATAACTGTGTTTAAATAAACAGTCTTAAAAATAATTATCCGGAAGTCATCTAGATGAATATCGCCATATAATTTGACCTAAATATATTTAAAACAAAATCATCTTTATCCAATGTACATAAGATGAATTTTTATACATATATTTTCATCTCATCTGTATCCAGCTAATTTTAAAACCATCTAAGCACAACCCTGATGATATCGCGGAGCGTCGCGACGACAATAAAGAAGCTTCGACGTCTGGCGAGCAAGTCTCCACGCGGAGGCAGCTGCATCGCCTGCATCCTGCATCATCCGCGAAGAGAGAGAGAGATGGAACGGAGATGAACGGAGCGCGTGAATGGAGGTTGAACGAAGAGACCTCGCAGTGCCGTCACGATGACAGGAGGCGCACACGTGGACCGATCTCTAGACGAAATCGATTTTGACAGGTCTTTCGACTTCACTCCTTGCATTGAAGAATGCATATAATTGATATCTATATAGATCGACAAGATAAATGAATGATTTAATATACAGAGTAAAATTTGGACATTTCTTGCACAGGACGAGGAAACCCATCGACATTCCCGACCCTGCGCACTCGGACGGAATCGGGCGAGTCGACGTATACCTTAATAACATGCCAGAAGGAGAGGGAAAAGAAAAACAGAGAGAGAGAGAAGAACCAAGAGACAGATAGAGAGAGGGAACGAGCGAGCGAGCGTGCGCCGACTGCTGTCATGGTGGCAGATCTGCCTTCTGGCAGGAGGGTCTCGACCTGCCACGGCACTCGGCGTTACCTGACAGCGCGCGCGTACTTTAGTGTCTCCGAAGTCGCGCACTACGATGGATCGAGGAGCGAGGAGCGCGTGGTGAACGCTCGGCGAACACCTCTCGAGGAAGGCAGTCGCGTCGAGTTGCGTTAAATCGCCCTCCAGGGAAAACTCGGAGCAGTAAATAGAAAATACGGAAAACATTCTTTCGCGGCCAGCCATACTTCGCGGAGAATTCGCGACGAAGACGACCGAGAGAAGGAGGCACTTCGCGATACGATCGATCCGTCAAAAGCGAAGTGTGCAGCAACGCGAGGAGATCGTCGAGCTCGGCCGCCGGCGATGGCAGAGATGTATCGCTCGTGACGTCACGGAATTCCTCTTCGGTGCTGTTGCTGATGCTAGAGCGAGCACTCGTCATCGTCGTGCCTTCTCGTCGTCGCGGGCTCTCTTTCTCTCTTTCTCTCGATTAACGAGAAGAGAGATAACGAAGTGAGTGAAGGAAGCGAGAAGAGAGGAGGAAGATTAAAAAAAAGGAGAGAGAGAGGGACAGAGAGAGGACGTAGGCGTTGAGTGATTGTTGTCGGTGCTAGTTTCCATCGGGAGTCATGAGGGACACCAGCGATATGATGGAGGACGCCCTGTCGGAGGTACGTAATCGCCGATATCAATCGGTCCTCAGGTCTTTACGGATCTTCTGGGTTAATGTGCTTCCGCATCGTCGAGAAGAGAACGACGTGTCGCTTTCAACTATCCGGATAACGAGGTGTTACCTTTTTTCAATCCGCTCCGAGAAAGTGATGTTTGCGATGTCATCAAGTAGCGGATGTCCCTTTTATTATACGAATTCCACGCTCAAATTCGACGAAAGAATCGTCTTCTTCTCGATAAATATACACGTCGGGATAATTGTAGCTCTCGGATAAATAATGATTGGAAATTAATTTTAAATAAACTGTAATGGAATTTTCAATTAAGACTTGATTATATAGGTGACTTGATGTACGATGGTAAATATTGAAGAGAGAAATGTCATTAAATATTAATAAAATTCTTCTCGACATATTTTTTCACTAAGCTAAAGATCTTTTCAAAGAAAAGAAGGCTAAGGAATGTCCTGTGTTTTTCAGATGATTATGCAGAATATATAATTAGCTTAAATTTATTAAAATTTCCGAGCGTATTCGTTATTTAATTTCCAGTTGAGCGGACATCTTCTATAATCACTATCATTAATAATAAAAATAATCAAATTTACAATAATGATGGTATGAAACAAATGATAAGGATGATAATGAGGGATCTGATGAGCAAATAGAAAAATCTCGGAGTATTTTTACTCCGTACTAATTTGATCGCGCTGAATTATGATGTTGATACAGATATTCTTTTCACTGATTAACCGACACGATAAGCACTCGTGTGTCATTTGCTGACATTTTAATCGTCAATTTGACGTTTCGCGCGTCGAGAGAGAGAGAGAGAGAAAAAAAAAGAAAATTCACGTAATATCTTTTCTATTCTCTCCGCCGGATGCATTCTCGGAAAAATTCCGATCGCCGTACAAACGATAATCACCTGTATTTACGATCGTATCGCGGAATGTATCGCTGCCAAAATCCTCTTTGCACCTGCTCCGAAATCGATTGCACGAATCGGCTTTTTCTTTTTTTTTTATTTATTCGTTCTCTACCGCGCACTTGTTCGTTTTCGGTGCGATTGCGCGAAACAAATTCCTGTTGTTTTTTTAAATTTTTTTTCGGATCCATCGTTTTTCTCGATCGCTTTTCCGATCCGTCTATTAGAGAGAGAGAAGAGATATGATATCGTGTTTGTACGGAGACAACAGAAACATGTAAATCCTTTCTCTCTCTCTCCTCGCGGATTCGGTGATTTAAATCTCCATTATAGAGCCGAAGAGGCTCTACGATAATAATTCCGATTCTATCCGCGATTTATGCGACGCGGGGGTGGATTATATAGAAACAACCCTTTTCCTCTCATCCGGTCCCAGTCGAGTGTTATTAACGGTATAAAAAGGGGCGCGTATATATTGATTTAAGCATCCCGTTATTACCCTCTTTTCACCCGACATTATGGAATTACATCGATCACTGCCTGAGAAAATCGCTGTCTTTTGTGCTCGATATTTTCCTCCTCTCTTTCTCTCTTTCGGTCTTTGCACTCTTTTATCGCATGCATTTTGAATCGCGATAACTGTAATTTCCTGCTTATACGAATCTTAGATTTGCTTTTTGAGCATTCTAAGCTCTCCTTTCTCGTTTGCTCGACGTCTACTTAGTTATTTATCTCTCGACTTCGATCTTCGCGCGCTGCGAGTCATCTCGCCGCGAAGTTTTCTCGTTTAAAATTCTATCGGAACGTCGGCTGGGGGCCGAATTAGAATTTCAAATTGAATCCCATTGCGCGAGAGAGGGATGCGCCCTTTTCTGCAGTTAACTGCATTCCCGATGTCCATGCGCTTCTCGCCGGAACTTCGAGGGGAAGAAATATCTTTCGAGAAATGCAATCTTGCATAAAATAGTATAGAGGGTTGCTATTTCTTTCTCGGTCTGCTTCTTGGTCTGCTTTCTTTCCTTTTTTTGCAATTTCGATATTTGTATTTATTGCAACAAGCGGAATAAGTCTTGTGAGTTTTCCCTTCAATAATTCTTCTTTGAAAAAAACTTTGATCATCTCTCTTCCAACTTCTTTGCTTTACGATTTTTCTTCCTTCTTTTTGTGCTATTACTCTCGTTGAATTTCTCGTTCGGATTTAATTTAGCGTTCCTTTAGTTGTCTTGAAAATAAGAATGGCAAGGTAAATCATATATTGATTTTACAAAAATTTAAAGTTTATATTACAATATTTTGCTTATATATATTATACATTTCTATAGAATTTTTTCCTATAATTGTATCGAAAAACATTGAAAATTAAAATAAAAAAAAGATTGCATCGAGGCAATAATTATTTGATAAAAAAACTTCTCTTATAGTCTTGATACACAAACAAAAACACGCAATTGGTTGCTTCTTATAATATGATTCCTGCAACAAATGCACCGATTTATAGTCTCATGTTTAACTATTTATATAGTTAAACATGATTCATTACCAAGATATACTCGAGGGTATCAAACTCAACTCGTGACTCTCGTGTGTGGTTTACAAAATAAGCGACTCATTCATTCATGTCTTCGTTTAAATCTCGAGATACATATACATGTATGTATATACGACTCCGTCGAGTTTTCCTCGAAATTCCATGTACCTATACTCTTTTAGGACCACCCATTTGAAGTCGCGCGGCGCTCTTTGAATTCGGAATCGTCTCCTCGGCACCTTACATCCGTTCGCCTGGCAACCAATGTGGAGATGACTGCACCGAAGTGGTCAAACGTGTCCCTTTACTAGCGTACGTGCGAGTATAGTTACGCACCTTTGTACGCTCTGCATCTCCATCTTTCTCGTTCTATTTATATCCATGTGACTCGATAAAGACGAGAGAGGCCGAAGAGAGAAATACTCGTCGCAAGGATGTGGCTTCGCATCGAACGAAATCGAATAGATGTATCGTCTCCAGGACGATTTGTCACTCTTGTCGAAAAGTGCCTCGGTTCTCCAAGATTCTTCCATTATTTATTAATCACCTTTCATTCTTGCGACTGGAACTGACTTTACAAGAGTTTCTCCTCTTTTTTTAATATCGATAATTAATTTTCATTTACGTTGAAAAGTTTTGTAATAAATATGAACATATATATATATATATATATATATATATATATATATATGTGTGTGTGTGTGTGTGTGTAATAAAAATATTAAATTTTTGATTTTAATATTAAATTGATTATTTACACAATTATTAAAATAATATTTGAAAGAAAAGACAAGTTAAATGAATTTAATAAATTAGTTAAAAATACAGAATTGAATAATTCGATAAGTTGCGACTTATTATGAATTTTTGTGCGACAAAATTTCTAATTGCTCGCCTTATCTGTGATTTGTGTTGATTGAATTAATTAGGCGAATTAGTAATCTGCGCGAGACAAAGTTCAGTAAACTTTTGCAAAAGAAACATAAAATTATTTTGTTGTTTTGCTTTGATTTGCATGCCATTTTCGAGGGACAAGACAAACAGCGCTTCATGAAAGAGCGACGTTGAAAGATGAAATTGGCAAATCTGCATCTATCAATTTGCCTAATTGAAGCACGTCCGCGTTTATTATTTCGCTCGAACATTGACATCTGGCGCGGCACAAATCGATCATTCGAATCGCATTCGTGCATTGGTTCAAAATAGACGGATTTATTTTCAATATTTTTAAATGCAATATTGAATCATTTTTATCATGTACATGATGAATATTTTTATTAATCAAGAACTAAATATTGTAAAAATATTACAAAATATTTTAATGGAAAAGGGGATATAAAACGCGTAAAATAGAAAATTACATGGAGATAATTTTTCTTTTAGAATTTATCGTGAAAATCATTCGTGGTAATCGTGGAAAATGTGATATTGGAAGAATTTTATAAGCATTTCTCTGATTAATATTTACTACAATAAAAAATAATATGTATATAGTAAATTTTATATCTTATTGTGATAGATATTAATTTTTTTATAGTGGTATAAGTATTAATCAGAGAAACTCTTACAAAATTCTTCCAGTAATTGTCCTACGATTACGTTAATTTTCAGGATAAATACTAGGAGAAAATTCTATGTGTATATATAATTAATTTGTGTATAATATACAATTTTAATTCTGACGCGTTGCCATAAATTTAAAAAAAATGTCTATTTCTCGAACTTTTCAATTAAACATCTGAATAATTTTTTGCCATGATATAATGGCAGCAAATCACTGTAGTCAATTATTCTCTATAGTCGGGCGGAGATAACCGGGCGTGTCTGCGACCCGTTAACTAAACACACTCGCGTTTTACTCGCGATCGATGGCCCGAATATCGTCCGTCACGAAGGGGCGACGTCCGTTAGTTTGTTGTGCGTTTTCGGTTCCGTGTATCAATTGCGCAAGCTCATTAAAGCGCGTTCGTGTTTGTTATCACAATGACGATGTTCGGTCCAACCGCAAGTATAAATTTTGTCTTCAACCGTCCACGATTTGCATACGCCGTGTGCATACAAACGCGATTCGATATCAATAACTGCGGCAATAAATGCATCCCAACTGCACCTTGCAGTTCGGATTGGTCCATTCACCTCTCCGAGACGGAGATTTGGAACTGCAAAGAGAGAGAGAAAGAAAGAGAGAAGAGACGGGCTCGAAGATCTATTTTAGCTCCTCGCGCGATTTCGCGTATCGATTAAAGTGTACTTTGGCATTTCGGCCGCCTCGGAATTATGCGGAATAATAATACGAATGCGCGATGCACATGGATTTGCATGCCTTTATCGCGCGTGTCGATTTAATCGAAGAGACTTAAGAAAGTATATTGAATGACAAAGACGTTATCGGGGGTCTTTCGCGTTCGCTATATAAATTTTACCTTCTCGTTCGATTATCTTCTCGACGATCCGAAGAAAGCTTTAACGCGACGAAAATTTATATACAATGCAGAATCTCGTCTTTGCTTCTCTCGTTTGCATATATCGATTATATCGCGATCGGACTCTCCCTTGATTCGGTGAAAGACCGAAATCAACCGCACGTTCCAACGCAATATCCGAGCTTGTTTCCTCGCGATGCATTTCCATATTTGATGCAATTAGTGACGAGAAGCCGCGAATGTATCGATTCGAACGTATCGAGCTACGGCCATAATTTCCATCGTTAAAGCTATTTTCCGTTAATGGCGATAATTATAGCGCGAAACGAAATCGGTCGAAGAGATCTCCTCGCTCCTTTCTCGGATTTTTAATGTACTATTTTTCGATCATAATCGACGTTAGAATGACTTGGGCGTGGAATTTTGTATAATGCATATTAATTTATACGAAACCGGTGTGCATTAAATATATTGTAGCTGAGCTATAATTTCAGCTATTATCCCGGAAATGTGCAACATCGCGATCGTCCTCTGTGTGTTACGTATATAGGTCGAGAATATTAATTGAATATTATGAATATTTATCGTACAATTGTGCATATATATCGTACTTATTTACCATACTTTACACTTCATCGACACCAACTCGGTTTAGAATCGCGAGCGACGTCGTTACGTGTCGGCAGAAGTTGGACTCTGATATCGTTATTGACATCATTTTTTCTCTCTCTCCTCTTTTTTTCATTATTTCCGGTTAGCAATTTCCCGTTTTTAAGTTTCCGTTTCATGATCGGTGGCGCGCGATCATTTTAATCCATTCCGCAAACTTTCACGTTCTCGCTTTCACCCGAGAAAATTCGTCAGCCTGATGGCTGCGTTCACGTGGCAAAGAGTTTTATTTCCTCCGCAGGAAAACCCTTTTCAATTTTCTTCCCTTTCTTCAAAAAAAAAAAAAAAAACAACCTTGGTGTCCTTAACCTTTGTGCAAAAATCGATTCTCGTGTTTTCTAACCATCCAAATCAAATGGTCACGCTCCTTCCACGCGTTTCAATCATATACAATACAATTACTCGCCTTGTCCTTGTTTGGTGGTTTCAGCTCTTTCTCGTTTATTGCCTCGGCCACTGGGTCACTGGATAGTCAACTACAATTTAGCTGTTTGTATATTTTGTTGACTTCGAAGAAGACAATAAATTTTAGATAATTTATATAAAGGGTGTCGTAAACCCTCTCTCTAGGGTGGTTTGTAGAATCGTGAAAAAAAGTTAAATATATTGTCGCTATATATAAGAGAATTTCTGTTTACATGCTGCGTGAAAGTGTTGGCGATTCTTTTTATTGTTAATCCGTTTATGGTTATTGCTGGGAATATATCATGTATTATACGAACGGCTTGGTATCGAGTTAAAGAATTCTTCTTAATAGTTGAAAGCTTGATGTAACAAAGATTGTACGCGTGTTATATAACTGCAACTTAAAATATTCATAAGAAGATACATGTACATCTATGATAGATAAAATGTTTTATAGACTGAATAATAAAACAGTAATAATATATGTTTTATAGACTGAATAATAAAACAATTGGATATATAACAAATAATATTTTGGAATAAAATAAAAAATAAAGAAAACTTGTTTCTTCTGATTCATCTGTAACGCGCAGTTGATAACTTTGAAGTTAAAGAGTTCGATCATCAGTGTGATGAGAGAAATCGTCGCAATCCTTACATGTGACCGCGAACAATAATTATTTTGGGGAAAGCCATTCTCGATCGAACGGACTAATAGCGCTTCCTTGCAAATTATTAAGTTTCGCGGCAAATTGACGGTTTGGAGGCAACTTCGAATATCGTTAATGCGTGCAACATTACACGAAAGTTATATAAATGACGGCATTAATAATGCCGTAGTTACTGGTTTGCAGCAATTTACGATGTTTAACAGCGCGTCGTAAGTCTCGAAATTGACAAATTTGATTAGTATTTTTTTCAAACAAAATTCTGACTGCTTGTTACGATTAAATGTTATTATCGCATTGTATTTTTTTACTCGTAATTATCTGTTTACTTATTTATAATACAATTAATATAATATTTTGCCGCGATAATGTCATTTGAACGCAACTCGCGCTAATTTTAATCAAATTTCACGCGCGCTCGTAATTTAATTGTGCCATACAAGAAGCGCTTAAACTATGAATAGAGACAGATCAGTGTAACTCTAGTGACAATTTGCATATAATTTGTATTTCCATCAGCAGTTTCGCTTCAGTTGCGATCAAATCAAAGTGATGACAAATGTATAGACTTTATCTATTTATTTGATCGATTTTTCAACTTGACTTATATAACACGCTTTATATAGAATAGATTTCTCCTTTTTGTCTATATTCTTTTGCGCAGGACACGATGATGGATTGCGGAGGAGATGGCGGAGGATTGGAGGATTTCGTTGATTTAGCTACTGACATTACGGATAATTCGCCAACAATACGAGGTAAAAATTCATATTTTTATAATATTTTTATTTAAACACGAATCACACAAAATCATTCAAATGCGTATATTCGTGTTTTCTCAGAATTTGACATTAAATATTTTTAATAACAAAAAATTGCATACGATTATAAATAATCTATTAAAGTCTAAAATTATTTGTAAAGAATTTATAATTTTTTTAGAAACATGTGTATTTGCGTTCTTTTCTCATTTTTCGATTGTGTGATTTGTGTCGGAATGAAAGTAACATATAATAGGCGAAGCATGCATAAAATGCGAATTCCGAACAAGATAATTACGTTTACGCATTGCGTCAGCTCTCTTCCCCTGTTATTCCTAATTACATTGTTGTTTAGTTACGTAATAAAGTGCATGCATATCTCTGCTATCTCTCTGCTATTTGTCACTGTCCTCTTTGCGAAATTCCATCATATTTTTCACCGTAATATGGAACGAATTGAATTCACCCATGAATACGAGAAATTTTGTTTCTTTTCTTTAGCCTCAAACACGAACTGGAAATATTTTACGACGTCGTAAGGGAGAGCATATACCTGCCCTAGTGAGATTTTTGTTGCCCCAGAAAATCTTCGCTCTCCGTTATGTACAAAAAAATGTCACCGGTCTTTCTTATAAAAAACGTTTTCCTTTAGCGGTCTTTTCGAGCGTGAGAATAGCAGAGCACTAATTTTTCCTTTGTAATGAAATGTTAGGAAATTGTCGTCATTTTGTGAAAAAAAACTGTGAAATTAGTTGTATAATAACGTAAATATATCAATTAAATTAATTTTTATATAAAATCTTGACGCATTAAAAATATAACATACATATTTTAATATATGTATAATAATTGTTATAGAAAACAGAATATAAATTTTACACATAAGCATTTTTTTTTTTAGAGAGAGAGCCTTGAAATTTTACTTTTTACTTTTTTTATGTAGAGAAACTTGCTTCTATTTGTACGAGAGTCGTCCAATTAACTCGCCGCGTGAGTTTGGAGATTTTCATAGCGATAAAATGATTCGTCAGAAAGCGCGACGGAAATGCAATCTTTGAGTCGCCTCGATTAAAACTTTTAATAAGGCGCAAATGACGTAGATATCGCTCAGCGATAGCGAACAACCGCGCAACTTTGTACCCGTATTTATTCGCGAAACGAGTGAGCCATTAAAATTTATTAGGTCGATGTCATTAATCACGGTATATATATATATATATATATATAAGTCGGTTGCTGCTCGGTGAAATAACTTCGCCGATCTTCTCCTGAAATATATGAATTCTCTATGCTAATGTCGGCTTTCTGTATACGTGCAGCTACAGAAATTTCTATTCACCGACAAGAATTATGGCCCTCTCTCGACGGAGTAATTTCTGGCGATATCGTTGAACAATATAAATCGTAATGCCATTCACGTAAATAAATTTACGATCATTACGATGAGACATCAATTGATCGGCCGCGATAAGAGTCGATTCATATATAGTTTAAACGATGATATATTACATCATATTATTGACGATCGAGAATAATAATTTTTTTATAGCTGTGAGTCACGATCTGCCCATAAATCTAGTATTTCATAATATATGTTATCAAAATAATTGTATTATTTTATACACGAAGAGAATTTTCTCTTCAAATTCACCCTGAAAATCATTGTAATCGTGGGATAATATATGGTATTGGAAGAATTTTATAAGAGTTTATCTAATTAATTTACCACAATAAAAAATATTAATATGTACATAGCGAAATTAATCGAACATATTTTATATATCTTATTGTGATAGATATTAATATTTTTATTGTCCCACGATTACTATGATTTTCAGAATAAAATCTAAGAGAAAATTCTCTCTGTGTATATTTATGTGTAAATTATTGAATAGAATATATACAAAGTTTTCTTTTTATATACATACATGTATATAATACATATTCGATATGTTGCTAGAATAATTGGTGCATATCCGTCAGCATAATATCATAGCAATTGACTATTCCCTATGGACCACGTAGATTTTTTTGGCCAGAAACAAATGGTTCGTTCGTTAGGCGCCTTTCAGTCCCTTTAAATCGTTGCTTAACCTAACCCAACCCAATCCAATCTCGCTACATGTCGCGTAGACTATAGGAACAGGACATTTAAATGCGGGTATCCCTGTGGGAACGTCCGGTAAAGAGAGTCGCATTGGCGTCTTTTGAAGAGGGAGAGAGAGAGTAAGAGATGAGAAAAAGAAAGATGACTGAAAAAAAGAAGAATCAACGAACTTGCTCTCGCGACTGGTCCAGACTTTTCTATTATCATCAAGAAAAAAGAACGAGTACGACGCGACATACGCTTGACTGTTTGAAAAACGTTGATAGAGAACACACTTGCGCGCAATGAGGAGAACAAAAATATGGGAATAATCTGGACACACTGTCAGACATGCATGTATAAATACACGTGTGTTCTTTCAATTTTAATCGAAATTATTAATCAGAACTTTAAATAAAATAATCGATTTTTTACGTCAAGTTTGTTGAGCATTAAACAGTTGAAGATTATTATTTTTAGAATAAAATTTTCGTACGCATCGCCAATTTCAAATACATATCCCTTGTTTCAAATTTTAATTCGATATTTATTGTATTTAATCAATCTTAATCTACAGAGATTGATTTAATTCAATCCCTAAAGGGGACAATAAAGTTGTTTATCTATCTATCTATCTATTAAATCAATCGTATTTTAAGGCTCGGTTAACAGTTAACACTAATTCCGAGAATATGCATTGTTCTCTCTCCTTATTTTTAATGAAATAATCTTTGCAATTATAAAACTGAATTGCTTAATATATTATGAATTTTGTTCTCATTCGCCCGGAACGTACAATTTAATCGATCGCCACCTTCCGATCGAAATCGCTCCCGTTCCCAGGAACAGGTATCTCCGAGTTACCCTCGTCAGACGACCTTTCCGTTCTCGTGATGGTGTGTGAACGGCGCATCGCTTACACGTATACACGTATATATATGTCGATGTGCCGCATCGCATTATAACGCACCGCGCCGCAACACGAGGGAGATGAGAAAGAGGAGAGAGACTCGTGCGAAATTCGGACGATTCGCAGGGCGGCGGATATTACGCGGGGTGTGGGCCTCGAACGACAGGTAGTTCCCGTGGGACGTTTATGGGCCAGGATTCCCACAGGACCGCAAAACCGGGCCGCCGACCTGGCGTCGCGGACTCACTCATCGAATCGCGGTCCGGTTGTTACAATAACGCGCTTCTTCCAGTCATTGTCGTTGATTCAACAACGCCGGGATGCATCTGGGTGCATCTCCTTCGAGAGAATCCTTATTAGAACCGCGACTTTTTGCCTCTTTTTATCTCTCCCAAAAGATATTCGCTCTTAATTAATTCTCTTGTTTTTAAATGTCTTTGTGTTTCTCGACACTCTATTAATATTTATATTTATATATAATATTTATATTTTTTTATATTTTTATATTTTTTATATTTATGTTATTTTATTAATAATAGTTATATTTATTTTAATATATTAATATTAATTATAATATTTTGCGTAACTTTAAAAGATCGTTATTAGAACCGCGACTTTTCGCCTCTCTTTTTCTCTCCCAAAAGATATTCGCTCTTAATTAATTCTCTTGTTTTTAAATGTCTTTGTTTCTCGACACTCTATTAATATTTATATATATATATATAATATTTATATTTTTTCTATTTATATTATTTTATTAATAATAGTTATATTTATTTTAATATATTAATATTAATTATAATATTTTGCGTAACTTTAAAAGATCTGCAAAATTGTGTCTTGGAATTTATGTTGATAGATATTTAGAAAAAATCATCTTTGTTTCAATCTTCCAATCACAATTTCCTCGTATTAATAATAGATAACAGGATCGTTTATTGCAATTTGCATAGATGCCGCCGAGCGATTACTGACGTTGCTAGGCATGGACGAAGACGATGACGAGGATCTCCTATCGTCGTCGGAAGACGAAGGCGTCGAGGTAGATATCTCGGAGCTCGAGGACGACGACGAGCAGACGGAGAACACCAAGTTACTTCATCAGCTCGTCGCTTCGTTGGCTCAGGAACTCAAATACTCTCAGAAACAGTCCTCAGCCTCCAGCAACAGAGCCGCGACTCATCCGGACTCGAGTCCCAGCGTGGAAATGATGCTGCAGAACGCGAGTTATCTCGGCCACGGTTGCCTTCAGGATCAAGCGGACCACCCGAAAACGTCCGTTCACCAGAACGACGATTTCCCTCGTAACCATTTTTTCGGCGAGCAGCACGCGAGCTTCCCCAAGTTCAGGAACTTTGGAAACTTCCGGCAGGACCGTCCGGAGTCGCACAGTCGAGCCTTCGATTCTATAAGCCTGGATCGTCGCCGGTGGACGGAGGATCCAGGAGCTGCCCAGCAGGAGCAGGATCCTGGCTCCTGGGCCGCTGGATGGGAGGCTTGCGCCAGCGAGACCCTTCGATATCTCGTCGAGGACGAGGGACTGCCGCCGCATCATCCCACGGTTCTCGCCATGAAAAATCATCTGGATCTGCAGAGGGAGAGGGCGTTCGCTCATTACTCCGGATATACGGAGGCCAAGTCGCAAGACATGAATCTGGTTCTGGATTGATGGGGGCTTCAGGATTAAGGCGGTGAGCAATTAAAGTTATTTCTCTTGCAACGCAAAGCGTTTGGAGAAACTTTCGCGAGTGAGAAATCTTGGAGAAATTAATCTTGTTATTTAAATAAAGAGCGAGCACAATCACATGGTGTGTTGTGACATCGTTTGCGCAAGGCTCTTCGGCTTTCTTACTTTCTTCGAAGAAGAAGAAGAAGGAGGATTGTCATTTCTTTTCGAGTCACGATTTTTATTTAATATTATAGTGAAATACTTCGACGTTATTATTATTTCTCTCTCTCTCTCTCTCTTTCTCTCTCTTTATTTTTCTCTCGGTTTTGCTATTTTCTTATACTGCTGAGATACAATCGATTGGATATCGCACGATATATATTTATTATTTTTGTCGAGATATTTTGCATTTATTATTAAACATACATTTTAAATAAAATTTTCAATTTAATGTTAATGATTTAATTTTGAGTCAACGTTCATGCGCTGGATCGATATGAGCGTTCGTGTTTCGTCAATAACAAAGTTCGAAAATTATCAATGAATATCTTAATCAAGAATTAAGATATCTCTCCTTTTTTTAAACAAGCAGTTAATTGCTCGTAATATTCTCCTGGAATATCAGGAGAAGGCTTCGGGCGCCATTAAAAAAAATATTTCTAGGAATTAGGATCATTGTGAACTGTAGAAAAACGTCCGGTGAATCAGGACCAGGACTATCCTTAGAACAAATTCCTAGATTAGACTATTGTAAGTAAAAAGACGATCGAAAGAGTTGAAATACGATGAGCAGGATAATAGAAAATATTTAAATTCGATATGAGAAAGATATGAGATAAGCGTCAATGATTTCCGAATATTGTAAAATATGCGCAATTATCAGAAATCAATATTTATAAAAAAACATTTGTAAAAATAATAGAAACTTACTACAACTTTATAAATTATATTTTTTTTATGATTCAAGGATACAAAATATTTTTTTGTAAATTACTGCATTTTGTCAGTGATTATGCGCAAAATAATTTTTAATCGGATCGTATACGAAAATATTATTGGTTACAATATCGACAATAGGAAAGAGAGAAACATTTTAGTCCCGAAAAAAAATATTGTACATAATTCGAATTAGGCGAGAGACGACGAGAGCTCAGAGATTAGATAGGTCCTTATTCGGTCGTAGATCAGCGAATCATAACTAGGAAGTGGAGATTTGCGAAATTTCATGCTGATCCTTGACAATCCTTCTCCTTAACGTGAGTCTTAAATAGAAGTAAAATAAAAGGAAATTTCTATTGGAATTAAACGCTGAGCGTAAAGGTTCATTGTGAAATTGCATAAATTTCCATATTTGGATCATTACTTAGATCGGATGATCATCGTTTTTCATACACAAGGAATTGATCGGAATGACGCATCAATCGTAGCGTTAATGTTGGATCGATTTGATATTAAAAATTAAAAAAAAAGCAAAAGGAAGGATATAAATGAAACAAGATAAGCAAAACTGATCCTTGCAAGTGATTCAAGATCGATGATCGACCTCGATCGTGTGTCACTTGTATAAACTTTATATCATAATAATGGATCGCACAGAAAAACTCGAGATATGACCATGAAGCGAATCGCGGAGAATTTTTTAAGTGTTCTTTTTCTTGTCGCATTTTTTACGTGAAATATATACTTAGTCGATGTTCTTCTCACGCGATTGATTGTATCGAGCAGTAATCTGTAAATATGTATGATATCGTTTTAACTTATACACGACTATTGTTACTTTTACAATAAATCACTGTAGATAACACTGACCAGTAAATAAACGACCGCTAAGTTAATTAAGTCCGTCGTCTCGTTTTCCCAGTCCTTAAACATGTCCGAAGCATGTTTAATCCAAACTCGTTTTTAATGCGCCGCTGTATTTTTAAGCATGTATAATGAATTTATATTTAATTAATATTTTCATCGCATTTTAATTATAATTGAAGACACAAATCTAAAAGCTTTTCTCTGAAATATTTGAAAATGCGTTATCATCCCGGATTTATACATGCGTACATATTTCACGTTCACAGGCGATGAAATAAAAATGTAACACTTTTATAATAAAATGGAAAAATTTGAATAATGTAACGAGCTTGATAAATCTATATATATATATATATATATATATATATATATATATATCTTTTTTTTCTTTTCGTTGTTGATTCAGTGTTAGGGGAAAGAAAAAGCTGCCAATTTCTATTTTCCATATCGCGAACGATATTATATATGACATACACGTTATATAATCGGTGCTATGTGTAACAACAAAGACGATTATGCGGTAAGGTGTAAAAAAATAGGACCTTCCCTCTCTCCGCCGTAGCAACGCAACGGTCCGCGATATGCGTCGGAGCCCTAAGAAAGAAGGGACCGCGAACGAACGGCCCGCGTGGATATGGCACGCGACTAACTTGAAAGGAATCGCGCGCCGTACACCTTTATCGGGGTCGTCGTCGGAGGGATCTCTCTACGCCAATGGGGCATCTGGTGTCGGTTCGTAGCACATGCCATGCATCTGCTCCGTCGAGGTACTTTTGTTGTCTTCGACGTTCGCGTCCAGCGAAAAATAAGCCGGGGCGAGCAGCCCGCCGCGACTGCTGTTACCAAGAGAATCTAGGTGCTTGCTTTCTTACCATCTCTTCTCGCGATCCTCGAAACGCGATCCTCACCCGACCTCCTGGCCGCCCGCGATCATCGCCAGGTTCGAGAAAGGAAGACTGAGACTTGAACCTATACAGCACACAAGTTTGCAGCAATATTGCAACAACATTGCATAGCAATATTGCAGAAATATTATGTAGGCATGAATTTGCAATATAGTTCAAACAACGTTGCAGCAACATTTCAGAAATATTATGAAAATAAAATTAGGTACAGACCATTCAGTCCGATCATGTATTTGGCACATTTTACCATTGCTGCAACCTTGCAGCAAGATTGCTGCAACATTGCACAATGTTGTAATATTGCAATGAAATGTTGCCACAATGCTGCTGCAATCTTGTTGTGCTGTACGGGAAGAGGGTTGGTCCCAGACGTGATAGATAACGTAGTAACATTTAGCTGTTAATTCAGTATTTTTTACTCCAATTGTTTCTACTACAGTTGTAATGAATAATATTAGATATGAGGTTGCGGAAAATAGCGATGGCAAAATTATATATACACTGTCGACAATGCAATCTCATCGTACATTGTCGATGATTGCGACTCCCCTTTCGTCTTCACCGCGGAGCAACATCCTGCCGTTCGGCAGGACGAAGCCTGCGGTTTTTTCACTTTTTTTTCACCATATGAAATCGTCTCGGTTTTTTGGACGGCTAGCGCGCGGGACGATGAAGGAGGGAGGTGGTGCAACGCGAAGGGGAGAGAACAGCTGTCCCGGGTGGTAACCGTCAGGTGGTATCCCGTCAGCTCGTCAGCTGCGGGGGTGAGAATACGAAAAAAGGGTTGAGAGAGGACGTTGCGCCCGGACGGCGACCGTCGACCGTCGACACACACGTTGCATTCCGCGGATTATATTGATCGTAAGAAAATTGAGGGACGTGTCGGGATGCGATATAGATGCCGGGACGATGTAAACGTTTTAGAAATTAATTCATCTTTACGAGGATGTAAGAGAACGATGTATCAAAGTTCGAGAGTCAAGTATTCTGTTTTTTCGCGCAGAGAGAATTTTCTCTTAGAATTTACCCTGAAAATCATAGTCATCGTCGAACAATACGATGGTATTGGAAGAATTTTATAAGAATTTCTCTGACTAATATTTCCGCCACAATAAAAAATATTAATATGTACATAGTAAAATTAATCGAACATATTTTACATCTTATTATAGTAGATATTATTATAGTAGATAATATTATAGTTAATATTATTATAGTAGATATAGTAGATATTAAATTACTTATTATAGTAGATATTCTTAGTAGAGAAGAGAAACTCTTGTAAAATTCTGGGTAAATTTTAAGAGAAAATTCTTTTCGTCCAGAATAGATAAAATTGTTAAAATTGTTAATTAATTTTATGTTTTTATTATTTAAGCTCGTTTGCATCGCACTTGTCTATATATACTACATGTATCCCGAGATAAAGATAACATTATCCTTTTTCAGAATAATAATAATAATAATAACTTTCCCTTCCTCTTCTTGTTCTTCTGGTGTTAAAGGCTATGCGATTTTGATGATAAAGCGAGGATAATTCGCGTGGAAGCGCAAACAGAAGAATTATTTATTATCAACCGATGTCTTCTTTATCAAAAACACGCATCTGCGAGTTTCGTTCATAGCGACAGATCAAGAGATGAATTATGTATGAAAATGCGATAGATAACGAAGGATAATTTTTAACAAAATGCCACCCACACACGTGCCACACGCACGCATGCATTATTGCGATTTTTCCGTCCGTGAAACTTGATTGCCGTTTTAATAACGATCAGGACAAGATTGTATATTACAGCTGTAAACGGCGGGGATAATTCCAAGAGGGACAGATGTTGTCGTTCTTCCCCTCTTCGGCATTATTCTAAATGTGTGCGCGTCTAAGATACATAAATCTGAAAAGTAAATTTAAACACGGAACGCGATAATTTCTACACCTTGAGCTGATAATCGCATCTAAATGGAATATTAATCAATTGTCAGTGGAATGTTACCTTGTTCATCTATATGGAATCGCATACAAGGAAAATGGAAAATCCAATTGAAATCTATAAATATTGCAATAATAAACTATCATTTGTTTGTGCAAAAGGAAAACAATATTTTTGACAAGTTAGCTTTTTACATTAATTTTCTTGAAATTAATCAGTATATGTTAGACACTTTATTTGTCTAAAATTTTTAATTGATGCGCGACGAAAGCAGTGATTTTCCTCGAGATGCGTGTATAATTTAGGGTGTAATTAATATTTTGACAAATTGTGACATTCGGCGATGAATTTTTCTCGAAATGGTTTCGAGATCCACGAGCACTCGTGGATTTCGAGACGAAAGGTGTTCAACACGAGCTTCGCCGATCATTTCTTCCGGACAGCTGCCGCTACTTTTCGAAAATAAAGAGGTGGGCCTCGTTCGTGCGCGCGGACTCCCGCCACGTGCAAGAAAGGGTCTCTATTTCGTTTCGTCGACTTTTTTTTCCTCCAATTTTTTAATCAACCGTCTCGATTATTCGTCTCGACGAGAGAAACGCGCGCGGCTAATTAGCACAATATTCCCCATCCTCCGCTCCGCGACTGTATAAAATTACGGAGAGACGTTCGATGTGACCAATCTCCTCCGCACGGTTAGTAAATTCCGCGTTAGCAGATGTATACTTCCGGCAGCTGTAGTAAAACCGATGTCGTTTACGGGTGCACGCGCCCTCGGCGAGACAATGCGTGCCGATTGGCCATTAAGTCCCCGCATCTGGCGGGATTTCGAAGGATCAATTTTCTACGCCGAGGAATCAATTCGACGTTCGATTTAATCAAACAAAGGAGAATTGGCTTTTTTATATCATTCTTTATTTTTTAATGACATCTCTTGGCTGCGAAAAGAAGATGCTTCTTCGAGTCGATTGACTTTTCACCGATCGTAAGCTTTTTATTGTTACATCATTTATTGCACAATTTTATCGGATAGTCACAAGACGTCGTTTGAGTCGTTTATTAAAAAAAGATGCAATATTTTCTCACGAATTGCAACAGCACTCGGTATCTCTCTCTCTCTCTCTCTCTCTCTCTCTCTCTCTCTCTCTCTCTCTCTCTCTCTCTTCCGTTAACAGATGGACGCGCAAACATAACGATCGTTTATTATACGCAAGGAGAGACGGAACTTTTTTTAATATCTTACATCTTCTTGATCCACACGGCATGCTGCAACCAGCTGTGCGGTGGCGCACAAACCTTTTTCCGTTACTTGGGCTACCGAGACAATTTTTTGCACATTGGCCCCACCGAACTCTTCGAGTCGCTATTAATAAATTTTACCGCATGCATCCCATTAAATCGCGACGTTGGCTGAATTTATGCGCGACGTACAATTAATTTCGTTCTCCTTCATTAAAGATCCTTGGATTATTAAGGTGCGGTACAAATAGAAACAAATGTGCAGCAAAATTAATTACGATTTTCATAAATAGATGTGTATTTCGGAGTAGTTTTTATATTAGGAAATTTTTAAGTTTACAGTACCCTTTATAAGTTTGGAAACACCTTACATTTTGCAATTAAAGAATTGCATGGCAGCGATTTGTTATTAATAAAAATGTTATTGAAATATTTTACTTTTATAATTTATTTATACAAAAAATCCGCACAGATCTGTCAAAAGATCTCTCTAAAGAAATATTCTTTAATTAAATATTTGTAACATGGTAGAATATAAATTTAATGGGATGTTTTTTATCAGTATATTATTTGAAATATTCTTAATCGTGATAACAAAAAACAGTCTTATAAATAGACATTTGCATGCAGTACCCTTTACAAGTTTGGAAACACTTTACATTTATACAAAAAATCTGCACAGATCTGTCAAAAGGATCCTCTTAATTTAAAAGAAAAATTCTTTAAAGAAATATTCTTTAATTAGATATTCGTAACATGGTAGAATATAAACTTAATGGGATGTTTTTTATCAGTATATTATTTGAAATATTCTTAACAATTACATGGCAGCGATCTGTCATAAATAAAAATGTCATTTAAATATTTTACGATTTATTGCTACAAAAAATCTAGACAGATCGCTGCTATACGATTGATTAACTGTAAAATGTGTTTCCAAACTGATGGAGGGTACTGTATTCCGAGAAAAAATTGAAGAAAATGCGACTTGAAGATACCTGTTTGCAAAAGATGAATTTCTCATCTTGCGAGATCGCCGTTCGAAAAATACCAGCTCTCGGACGAAAGAGTTTTCGCCCCTGCGGGTTACGCAACGCGGGATCTCTATATCGCGCATCTGCATCTGCGGATGTCTGTTGGTCGGTTCACGGACGGGCCAATTCAGCCAATTTACTCGATTCCCTCGGCTCTGGCTACAATGGACCGCCACGGTGCGGCCTGGCGTTTTTCGTCTTCGGCATAAGGAATACACAGATGTCTCGGATTAAATACGCGTCACTTAAGGCCAACTCTGCCCGCGTGTTTTATTGTCATAACTCATTCACCAAAAAATGCATCCCCGCATACATAAGGAATATCGAGATACTGAATGCCCTATCGTTTTTTTGAAACCGCCCGTATCCTAACGAACAATGAAGAGAAATTAATTCTGCTCGATAGAATGAAAATATTCTCATCTGACTTATTAATGTTTATTTATTCACTTAATGTTATGCACAATTCTCTGCAACGTGTTATGTTGATTATTTCATCCTCTATTTTTTCCTCTTATTATATGCAGTCTTTTGTAAAAAAAAAAAAAAATAAAATAGAAAAATTCTTTATGTTGATTGTGAATCATATACAATCTGGAATATATAATTTAAAGTCGAGGAAATAAAATATAAAAATTTTAATTTTTTTATCCCTATATATATTGAGATCGGCTGCTGCAACTCTATGTTTTACGAATGCAGAGTCAAAACTAATAATAGTAGCAATAAAGAAATAAGAATTAATTTCTCTGCGACGCATTTGCAATTCAGAGAGACCGTTCGTGACGTTATGTTGAAATAAACGGTTACACAATTGAGCTTGATTATATATCTCTTCACTGAAACATGATTGTAGACGACGAGGAACGACACGGCTATAATAATACTGTAAATGCGCATAAAACGGCTCGTAAACTCTGCAAGCATCGATCGAAAGCAGTCCGCAACGTCTCGCTCAATGTCGGAATCCTGGTAGAGAGACACGCGAGTGTACCTCGAATAAAATTCGTCTTGACGGAAAAACCGGAAGTCGCAAAACGGACCCCCGCGAATCGCTCGATCGTTCGACAAGAAGAGGGCGAGAGAGAATGAAAGAGGTGGATACCCCTTGGTTGTCCCCTTGCGTCCCCCTGTCCCCCTCCCATATGGAACTTGGCCACATGTAGGTTCCGGACACGACCAGAGGGGGGAAAAGTCATCGCGGGGATCCAGCTGATGGTCGACGCGTTGGTCGGGCTTCCTCAGTTATTGTTGGACCACGCGCTGGCTCGGATTGCGCGAACGTCTCGTCTGGGCAAATCCGGCCAGGCAATTTGGAAATTTTGCGGAAGTGGTCCAGGCGGCGACCTCGACTCCTTGGATCGCGAGAAATCTGCGGAAACCGAGAAGGAGGTGAAGCGAAGGTATGAGAAATCATTACATGATGAATTACCCGCGAAGCGAATGATTTCGGTTAATTAACTAACGGGACGATAATTAGATAACGGGGGTTTGGGATAATGGATAATAGATTTTTCCCTCCCTGTGTCAATAATCGTTGAAATGTTAAATTAGGTTCGCGGTTTACTCTCGTGAAATGCGATCTTGTTCGCGCGAAATTATTGCGGACGTACAAGCAATTTTATTGAATTTTTTTTCAATAATAAATAAAGTTAGCAATTTTAGCTACTTAATGTTAGTTAATCGTATTTGTTGACTTTTTTGTTACAATTATAATTACTCATATATATATGAATATGTCATATTATCCATCTATCTCAATTATGCAATGTAATTAGCTATTGTAATTGATTGTAATTAACCGTTGTTAGTCAGTGAGTAATTAAAGAATAATAAAAAATGAAGAATGACAATTGCGATGTCGCGATCATAGGTCATATTAGATCATTGAACTTCGCGCTGATTAAAGTGACGCAGGGGTGACGCAAAATCTGACGATGGGGATGGGCATCCTTAGTAACAGTGTAATGCCGTTCGAGTATTGATTTCAGACACAAGGTTTAGGGTAGCGTTACATGTGTCTACAACACGTCCTGCAAACATCGGTCATATACTCGTGTATAAACCCCCTCTGGGATTTCCTTCCGCACGATTGCAAGCCAATCTGACTATAATTAAAACATATGCCACATTGAAGGATGCAAAGTCAAATAATTCTTCATAATTATAAAAGTCTCACATTGTTTTCCTTTTTTGTAAAATAATTGCAATATTATTTACTGTTTTTATATTCAACAAATTCACCATTTTCAATTATAAATTATCGATATGTGTATACAGTGTGTTTTAATATTTGAGATCATTTGCATTTTACTGTGTAATAGTACTGTGTAATACTTAAAAGTATATTTTATTCTCACGTGTTGTTTAATTTTAAAAAATTCTCGCACTATCATCGATCCCGAGATCTCTTCCCAGACTCTTGGGAGAGTCCCAAGGAGGCAATGACGAATCACTCGATCGCGACTTTACAGATGATACCGGATACAGAGGCGGTGTGTCAGACTTCCGAGGCTGCGGTTGATAGCGGCGACGATATGTACGAGAAGATCAAGGACCGGCCGGAAAAGGAAGTGGCATCGGTCACCGCCTGGAAGCGATATCAGCGGCTGGTGGCCGCGATAGAGTCTCGGGGCGGCGAGTTCAACCGGAAGTCCCTGATCGAGGCGATCTTCCGCGGCAGCGATCTCGTCTATGCCAGTCATTGATCGGCGGGATCAATCGGAACGGGAATTCTCTCGTGCAATCTCATGTCGATCGACACCAAAGTGCCAGTATCGAGTCGCGAACGAGCAGTGGCGTAGAATTTGCGTGTCGCAAAAATCGAGAAAAAATCGTAGCGCTTCTTTGAATCTTCTCCGAGTGTCCGAGTATCTGTATACTTTTGCGAGTGTATAAGAAAATGATATTTACATGAATCCTTCATATATCGAAATGATAAAAAATTACGAGCAATTATTTTACTTTGTAAAAGATCTCTATAAAAGGTTAATAGTTGCTCATTAGAAGATAGCAATTATTCACGCAATCATTTATCGCTCACAAAGATTAAAAATTCATTAATTGAAATTTTATTCTGTAAGTAGATATACAATATGTAACGCCATTCACATTCTTATTATTCTTCGATGTTATGAAAATTTTTATTATGTAATGACGTTAAAAAAGTAGGGTGTAAGAGCAGTTTAACGCGGGCATGTGGCTGTGTATTATAGTTCGACGTCGCAGGTGCATTTATTTTTAGACTTTATTTAGTGAGGAGAATTTACTGGTTCCGGGAGGCGAATGCTTTCGTAGGTCTATACATGTAAAATGGATATTATTACATATATACGGATGTCCTTGGAGGAGAAGAAACGAAGCCAAGTCTTTTTGTGGGACACATACGCGTTGTCATTAACATTCAAATCTAAATTGCATTAACACGTTATTATTATCTACATATTTTCAAGTAGAAAAGAAACTAAATAGCTATGTAATGGGAGCAAAAATATATATATATATATATATATATATATAGGTACAGCGAGAAAGACGAAAGTAAAGACAGCGTAAGTAGCCTCGAGATGTGAAATCTTTCGAAAATATGAAATTATTACCTTCGACGAAGAGATACACCAGGTGTTTAATATAGAAATCTTCGTAATAGTCCACTTAAAAAGTAAAACATTTCCGGCGATTTATGCGATTCGTGAATGTAAATTAACGCGAGCGAACACACCGTGTTTCTACGCCACTGGCTAACGCAATCGTAGATAGAGATACGATCAACAATGCCAAACCGTGTATTACTAGTCAGCATAATAAATCGCAGATAGAGTAGGATAGATCGTTTAATTAGGCAATTATGGCAACGCGGCGACGATTACGGCGTCTCTATCATGCGACAGATGATGGAGGGCGTGTCTGTAATCTATCACATGAGCTCATGTGACATTGCTATGCTCGAATCTTGCCAGTAACATTTATTAAGTGTGATAGAAAAAAAAGAAAAAAAAACAATACGCGAGGAAGACCAAAGTTAATTAATTATGTAAACATAAAATGATTACATTCTCGAGAGATTAAGATGTAATTCAACGATATGTAGATATGCGTAAGCAGTGGTCTCTTAAATATTGCAAATGAGAAACGATTTGAATAAATTTAATAAAGTAAATTATATACATGTTTATCTCTTTCAGCGTCGTGTCCTATTACCAAGTTATAATTAGTTTTTTTTTTTACACATCTTCAAGCAAAGATATTAAGTTTTTTTTATACTTTGACACAATTTTTTAGCCTTGCCGTGCCAAATGAGATGAAGAGGCGACTGCTGAAACTCTTTTGTATAAACCCAGAAATAAAATATATTTGCAATTAATTTATACAATCCGTTCGTCATTTTTCCGCAACACTCATCAGATGCATCGCGGAGCAACGCGATGCATATAATTGTATACACATAATCGTTAATATTAAATATTACGATACAAATATACAAAATATATACAAGTAACGTTCATAATAATCGACTCCTTGTCGACTCCGAGAAACAAATCCGCTACGTATTGTAAAGTATTTTACAGGAGCCTTTATACAAAAATAAGCACGTGACGCTGTGTGCGCGAGCGAGCGTCTACGGTAATTACATTTACATTCATTCATAAATCATCGATGACAGCTGGAATGAATAAGTCGCGAGTCTGGAAATGCGACTTGTTTAAAAAAAACATACATGTTTACGTAGAAAATTTAGATTTCATATTGAACGAGAGAGGCCAGTTCCTTGAAAACACGTGCCGGCTGTATGAATATTCATATCGATCATTTTCTCTATTAATATTATTAATATTAAATACGTTAATATGTTAATGAGAATCGAAATTGTCATATGACTCTAAATGTTGTTTTAATTTAATTCTTCAGAATGTTTGATTATATTATGACACTTTTTCTTTAATCGCACATGCACGCACGAGAGTACTCTATTTTCTCCTCTGGAATAAGAATAACAACGTTTACTGGTCGCGGTGAAGGAAATTTCGATAATTATTTACTAACACGCCGTTGCTATATCACAAGGATACAAATAATACAGTCTTTCTATCGAGCTACTATAGGTCTCATATGAATTCCGTGACGAAGATCTTCTTGAAGTCGGGCGCCGAACCGCCGATGTCGTGCTTGCATATGTCACCATTGTCGAGATAGCTCACGTTGGAGTTCTTCAGGATGCTCTTCAGGCTCTCCATCGACAGGTTCGGCAGCTTCTTCAGGGCGGTCAGTTTGTCCAGGTCGTTCATCGAGTAACCAGGTCCGATCCTTTTAGTCTTCAGATGGTAGGACTGGATGCTGGGTTTCGTGTCTCCCGGTTTCACGGCGCGTTTCTTCATCTCCTCTCGATCCTCCGCGCCGTTCTCTATGATACGCGGCGTGAAAGATCGCATGTTGACCTTTACCTCCCCGCAGGCGCGCTTCGAGGGCAGTAGCTCCACCTGCAAAGCAAAACGTTCTCACGATTGCGGGATTACGTAAGTAACGCGCCTTTATCGTCGCGCGAAAAGGCCGACGAAACGCTACGTCAGCGATGAGCATTTTTCTCTATCCCGATGCAATTTTCTCGTATCGTGAAAGTGCCTCCGGTTCGCTTTACCTCTCGCATTTAACATCAGAACCAACTATTTTTCTCAGCAAAATTAAGATAAAAAATAGACCAGAGTCGCGCCGAATAAAAAAATAATGCACTTGATTAATTTCACTATTTTAGGATTTAACGAGAGAATCTTAAAGGGTTGAAAAGTCTGTAAAAATTCGCAGAAATTACCTTGGTTCCTTTACGCTGGAAATATTCGAAATCGTCATTAGCGACTGTGGTAACCGAGCAACAGCTTCTGCTTCTGCTCCTGCAGGAGCTCATGGTGTCAAAGTCGCCGTTCTCCAGGTCGCAACTTTCATCATCGGAGCTGTCGTATCCGTCGCAATGTCCCATCCTGTCCCGACTATCTCGTCTTTGAAGAAGATTCTGATGAAGAGTCTGTTGAAGATTCTCTCTGTCGTCTTTCTTCAAATTGTAAGTCCTCGTGTCGAGCATAGGTCGGTGACATCTAAAAAGGCACAAGATTTTATAATTAATTGCTTATATCTATAACAATTAATTGCTTATATCTATAAAATATTAGGAATTATATAAGAGCTATAAAATAACGGCGTGGAAATAATATCGATTGAACAATATGTCAACGAAGATGTTCATCTGATAAGTTTGAGAATTGATGAAAGAAAGGCCGCTCGAGACGAATGTAGGTCATGCCGTGTGTATGATGCACATCGAAACCCGCATTTTGAATAATTTATAAGAAACTTAGCGTCTCACTTTCCACTCTACGCTCTTGCCGTACATCGTGACGACGGCTTAATGGCACCTGGTAAAAGTGAAGGTATATATACACGCCAAAAGAGAAGTGCAAAGTCGGCCGATGGTCGATCGGTCGAGAGCGATACCTGACGTGGTCGAAGCTCTGATTCCTGCGCAGAACGTTTCTAGGATAATGCTGCTCCTGCAGGTCGTTCTCCAGCCCGACGATCAGACTCTCCAGACCCAGGACGCTTTTCGCGTGTCGTCTGAACGATTCCTCGCGAATCTCCTCTTTGGTGATCTGGTGCTTCCAGTTGCTCGCGGGGTCTTCCAGCTGCACCAGATTCTCCATGTTCTGTCCGAAAATGTCGGTGCTGCCAATCTTCCGACGATTCCCGACGAGCTCGTGCAGACTCTCGTTCGGTCTAGGTCGTCTGCTGTGCTGCTGCGAGTCCGTCGGGGTTCTTTTAGATGACGACTCAGGCATTTTATCCTGACGCGGCTCGAAGGTCGAACTCGTGAAGGACGACAATTCCGCTGGCAGAGACGTGTAGTTGCCGTCCTCGTTCACGGGTTGCGTCCTGGGATAGTGCTGCTGAATTCCCATGTTGATCGTGCCGGTTTTCCCTGCGAACCCAAATGCAATTCGAATAAATAGAAATAATCGCATTACGAAAACCAGTTATGATTATTGTAATTTCAGCAGATACTCGTGATTGAACGATCGTAATCTTTTCGTCAGATTTACTCGACAAGGGAAACTGTCACGATTCGTGAAAGCGCCGCTTTCGGGAATATCGAAACGTATTTTCATGTTATAAGGTGACCTGTAACATTCGATATACCCGACGCGGTGGTAGTGGATTAGAGACGCCGTTACGAGCGCAAGAGATGGTTTTCGCCTCGGACTTTCTAACATGCCAAGGCTCTCGCGAGGCGAGCGCATTAGCGAAGCCGCGCAAAACATTTGCAATTAACAATATAAGCCGGGAGTGGAAAATTATCGGTCGATCGGAACATTTGAAGCGTTGTTAAATCACGCTGACATCCGCTCGATCGCTCACCTCTGTTCTGGTGGCTGTGCAACCTTCCGTAGAGGCTTCCGTTGGTTAGGGGGAACTTCAGCCCGTGATTCAGGTTCAATTGCAGCTTGTACTCGGTGTCCTGCTCGAAGTGTCGGAATTTACCGTCTATACCGCCTGAAAGGAAATTTCGTTATAAAAAATTCTTCGATCGCGACAAATAAACGCGGTTTAATAAATGAAAATGTGAACAAATTTATTTTTCTAAAGGAAAATCAATTGTAAAATATCTATTGAAGTTGTTTCAATAGATTTCTAAATTCGCTAAATTTCGACAGATTTTACTTTTCATTATCGCATTAATTTAGACCGGAAAATCAGAAAGTGTTGCGAGAAACACGCAAAGTCACGTTTGATCCCATAAAGAAAATTCACTGACGATTGTGGGGATTTCGCGGGAGAATTGCACGTGAAATCGCGTATAGACAACTTGCGTATACGCGTTGCAAAACGAAAACACGACCGAACGAATCGCTCGAACGCGCGTCGTTAACGAGAAAAATTGCTGGTTGTCGCCGGACAGAAGGAAAACCAGGATTATTATTGTACAATGGGCGTCTTACTTTCCCACGCACGGCGCACGGGTCAGTGTGTTTTGCTTAAACGAAGAAGAATGGAAATCGCGTCCCCGTGTGCATGTTACGAAATAAAATGCTATAGAGTTTGCGCGCGAAGTCTCTGCTTCCGCGATGGGAAGAAAGGAAAAAAAAAAAGAAAATGACACGCACCATGCGACAGCCTTCTCTGATCCTGCTTTGTGTAGACCTTGGCCACGTATCGGCAGAACATCTTGTCGAAGAGAGCCAGGAAAACCGGAAGCAAGGTGTCCTTCATCAGCGGCAGCCACGTCGCCAGATTCTGGGGCGTGCAAAAATTCCTCAGGAGGCTCGGTCTGATGGAGATAATCTAGGAAGTCGTGTTTCCAATTAATTTCCATATCCCGGGGATAATTTAATCAAATTTAAATACACTCATCAATTTTATAATATGTAACGCAGCGCAATATCGTGGTATAATATAAGTATAATAACGTGTATTATTATATATAGACATTATAGAGCGTATAATATCTTGATCATCGATTACGCTGAAACGTTTAATAACGCTCATCGAGAGAGCGATAATCATTAATCAAATGTTGCCATTATACGGTTGAATATATCTAGCAAAACGGTATCCCGAAGCAATCTGTTGCGAGCACAGCACGGTTTAATGCAAGGTAATGCAACGCCTGAGTTAGGTATTTTAGATCGTCGCGCTGCGGCAAACGGGCTTTTCCTCGCGCTAATAAATTTCACCAGAAATCGTGTCAAGAGAAGACGGTGCGTTCTGAAATCGGGTCCAGCTTTCGCCGCGGAAGAATCCTAGTATACGTCGAATGTTCGAATTGGGTCAATTACACACGCGGCTAATTGTTCGGCGTGCGCGTAGAAAGAAAAGGAAATCATGCCTGACGAACAACGCCCGATAGAAGAAATTCTTTGTTGTAAAGACGTTGACAATAAAAATGAAAAAAAAACTTTCGATTTTAATCATGAATTCGCGCAAGAGCCCCGCGGTGAAAATCCCGCCGTCGCGCTTTCAAAAGTACGCGCGCGATACGCAATTTTACATGAGTTTGCACGCGCGTAACTGTACGCCAATCTCTCTTTCTCTCTCTCTCTCTCTCGTCATCAGTTATTATAATGTCGTTCAAAAGTGCGCGAACGATTGGTGATACATTCATCAATCAAAGTCGGCTGCATTCTCTTAGAAAAGTACGCGCCAGATTACTTCGTTGCAACGCTTTTAGAAAATTTCACGCATTTTTTTTACACTTAATAATTGTGGAAATTTTTTCACTCGAGTGGATTGACATTTTATTTTTAAATGATTTACGAGCAAGTGAATCAACTATGGATTCATTCAGTTATTCAACATTAAAAGAAAATATTCTATTCAATGTACATAGAGAGAGTTTTCTCTCTTAGAATTTACTCTGAAAATCACATGATAATCATGGGACAATACAGTATTGGAAGAATATATTTTGTAAGACTTTCTCAGATTAATATTTACTATATACAATGAAAAATGTTAATATTTATCACAATAAGATATAAAATATGTTGGATTAATTTTACTATGTACACATTAATATTTTTTATTATGGTAAATATTAATCAGAGAAAACCTTACAACATTTTTTAAATATGGTCCCACAATTACGATGATTTTCAAAGTGAATTCTAAGAGAAAATTCTCTCCGTGTATCATTTAACGTTTTATTTGTTGTATAAATTGATCATTTGGTGCGACAATAACACAACTTAAAAATAAAAAAATGTTTGAATCATTAGCATAGGAGAGAAAAGTTGCTACATGTAGGTACTATTATTAAATCATGTTTTCTGAAAAATTACAATTTTTTAATTATATCATTATTTCAGTAAATGAGCGAAATGTTAAGTTTATATTATCATAAAACTATGTAGAAAAAAAAGTCTATTATATCACTCGTAAAAATTTAAAATTATATATAACGTAACACAATATTATAAAACAAATTTTACATATAAATTATACTTGTGAATTTTTGGAACATATATAAATGAGTGTCTTTAGAAGAGATTGGAATATAATTATCTATAAAATTGGAACGCGTTTCGCTTTCAAGGTAATCCATTCGCGTATAAATAATTGCACGTATTTACAAGGTTTACGCAATTTTTGGCAAATTCTTCAAAAATTCTCAAGATAATAAAATGATCGTTAATCATCGAATAGCAAGGCCTCTAGCTCTTTCGGTGCTGTTGCCTAGCGCCGTATATTTTTCTCTCGTTCGCGCGAAACGGTACAACGTGCGATAGATACTCGGTTACGTGAGTAACGGCCGGTCTGATCCACGATATGAAATCGAAACTAGTTGTATATACCTTAATTAGAGAATAGAGCGGCACTCTCTATAATGTACGGCCCGTGCACGCGTATCGTATACGTGTGTAAGGTGTACGCGCAATTCTCGACCCCCGTCTCTTTCTTTCTTTCCCGAACATATTTTGCTTCGATTGGCGCGTTTGGTTGCCACAATCATAAATTTTTCTGTTATATTTCACTTCTTTTAATTCAATTCTCCTGATTCCTATCAATAATAAATGCGTGTTCCTTTTTACTTCTATTTTATATAATTAAATTATTCAATGCGAACACTTTGTCAGATCCTCCAAAGATCTCTATCTCTCAGGAAGTAATTAAAAAAATAAAAAATAATTTATTTTATATTTTATATAATTTCGTGGTAGAATTAATGCAATAATACTTTATTATTTGTTTTCTTTCTCATTAAAGCGGTCATTTATGTATTTCAATTTTCTTAATTTCTTCTATTTGTTGTACTTTTATCTCGTATTCTGCAAGTTAATTTATATTTATCTCGAATATATGGCATTGATTGCTCCGCGATAAAAGTTGTATTTTTCTCTCCTTCCCTCTCCATTTCGCGTACGTTCTTTCACTCTATTTTTGCAATTTGTTCCCCGTTTTACCGATCCATGAGTTTCTCCATCGCTGATTCTAGTCATGCTAACTCGCGCTGAATTCCGAACAAGCATTTTACTTTAATTGCCGCTAGAAAACGCGAGCCGGACACGGTTTTCGCGTCTGTTTAAAAGTGCGATCGACGTCGATTTGGATCGATTTGGAGTCTCGATAATATAATTGCCTAATATGCCCGAGAAACCATCGGGGCTCAAAGATTTCTCAACAAATTGCGAATTCTCAGATTGAACTGGTGATCAGATGAGATCTGCACTTAATCTTTTAAAAGAGACGGTTTGTAAAAAAAAGGGTACCAAAGAACTATCAATCTCGCCGATCTTAATCTCGCGCTTGTCAAAATATTTTTTTTCTTTTTTACGCGATTTTGTAATTAAAATCTACCTATATCGGCGATATTTAGTTTAATCGTTAGACGAAAGCACAAACGAGTGTAACGGCCGTCACGCTGCTTGCACGCAAAGAGAACGGTGTTTATTTCAACGAACGGTGTTCTCCGATAATTATTTCTCAAGTGAGCAACACAAACCTTGCGCGAATTTGTGCGGCGAATCGGTTCGATTGCATAACCGTATCCATATACGAGATAGTCCTGGTCAATCAGCTGAAACGTGCGATGATTCATAGAGTCGTTAATGTGAGATATTTATTGATGATGGGATAACGAATAATGTATTTTGATCTTTACGCTTCAGTGTCGCGATTTTTCTTTGCGCGAAATCGCGTACGCCCACTCGGTCTAATCTAATTGATCGTTTCTGCACGCATAGTAAAATAGTATATGCGTCATGCGTATAATATAGACGCGATCGTTAATATTAATGACGAAGATCGTGGAAGTTTCTCTCCGTGTGTGGGACGACTTTTTGTGGAATGAAATCCTTAATTCGGCGATTAAGGTCATCGTCCGAGGAATAAAACGACGCTTTCGAATTTTATTTTATCGTCGAATCGATTACCCTTTATCGATTCAGTTCCCTTATGATTTTCGAAAGCGAGGACCTTACTTTCTCGACGGAATTTATGGTAACAAAGCCTCTTTCTCGCTTCCGGATAACGCGAATGCTGCCAGTGACCTCGCATCCGGTTTGCGCTCGCTCGAGCGCGAGAATCCTCTCGGCTATGATGTAATTGTATAAATGTAATTGCTGCGACGAGGTGACCGGACAATTCGCTCGAGCACCGCGTCGGAGAGATACGATGACATTTTCAGGGACGATTTGTCTCTCAGAGAATAAAAAGAAGATATCATTGTGAAGCTTGTAGAGAGACACTTTTTCAAAATATAAGATATGTCATATGTTTATGTATTGTCTGACATATAAATATATATGATTATAAAAAAATTATATCTCTCGAAATTATGCTTCGGACGATGGTATGATACCTAGGGATGATTAATGTAAAATATTCAATCTTAAAAAAAAATTAATAACTGAATCTATTTAAAAAAAACTCTTATTTTTTGCCACACTGATGAGCATAATTGAGGACGGTACAATAAATTGGGTATCTCGGTCATTTTTAACTGTGTAACATTGTTACGGCTGGTTTGACGCGCATAATTTCGAAGATATTGCGAAATATCACCTTTAGACCGAAACGCTGGTGCAAAAAAAATTTCAGGTCTCAGAATAAAAAAGAATTTAATCTAGCAATTATTGCGGAACGTTTAATAAATCTCGCACTTTTTCTAAACCCCCTCTTTCGACGAGTCTCAATCGCGAGCCAACAATTACCTTCGTCGGTTTAATGAGGCCCCGCGATTTGAAAGTAATAATAATAATTAAGCCAATCGGTTTCGATACAGCATTGGACTTTTACAACTTTTCATGTAAACAAGAAATCGCGATTTCACAGCTCAGACCTTCGATTTGGATCGTAATGAGATTATGCTAATGATCAAAACGATTTTCCGCAAACGTGTTTCTTGTTTTATCGCATTAACACTCGACCCGCATGAAAAACAAGCAGCTATTTTGTTGTTTACATATAAGGTATTTTAGATTCTCCATTTAATCCTCGATATAAAAACTTTTCTTTCACGCGATAGTAGGCACTAGTACATAATATAATCTTTAAATTATAAGTTATAAATATGATTATAAATTATTAAAGAATTTGTTAGAAAGAAAGGCGAGGAGAATGCGAAAAAAAATTGGAGCACTTTATATAATAATTAATTCTTTCGCTTTTCTTGGAAAGTACTCGATTAATAACGTGTACAAGTATAAGCGTTATGTTAATAGCGCGCAATCATTTTAATCGCGTTTAATTCATCGTCGATTCAGTAGTGCGGAAACTGATTTTACGCGCTACTGATGTCACGTCATGATTGCGCTATCGAATCCATTGAAAGAATTCAGCGAGAAAATGAAGAGAAAAAGAAATACTAATGATAAATATCTCAGAAACAATTGCGATAATTACCAGAATGGGTAAGTGCTCGAAGATGTAGCAGACAAAGAGTATGCTGTAGACGGTGGATCTGCCGCTCGCCTCGTCCACCTGCACCCTCTTCTTTCTCAAGCATGCCCTGCTGTTGGTCGAGCCGCTGGTGCACGATCCGCTCGAGGGGTCCCAATGCTGCGGATGGCACTCAAACGCGCCCGAAGAGTTCTTGGAGCTCGCCTCCGACAGGTCCGAGACCGACTTGAGCAGTTCGGAGGTCGGCGATCGGCAGACGTTCCTGAAGAGCGCGACCACCACGGCGAGGAAGGACGTGAGGGCCAGCAGGCTTTTCAGCGAATTCACGAAGATCCCGTATTTAAAGGAGATCTCTTGGGCCAAGAAGACGCAGATCTCCGGCTCGAAGTTGAGCACGCCGGTGACGCCGATGCAGGCGCTGATGACGCTTAGACTGACGAGATGGTACTTGAGATGATTCTTGGTAAGATTGACAGCGTCGTCGCGACTGCTGATCGCCGCGAACACGGCGATTGAGGTCAGGGTCAACTCCTGGAGGATGCTCGATGAGTTCAATACCCATACCAAGGTCGAGCATAATTCTGTGTAAAGCAACAGGAAAAGGGATGTTGTTTAAATGCTCGCGATTCGATAATATCATTTTTTGTCGGGCATTTGTATGAATTTTAAAGAGGTATAGGGTTTTACAATTGCACAGGGTATAATTAAATTATGGCACTTAATGATGTGCGATTTATTTTCCATATTATACCGAGGCTAGAAAAAAGTAAAATATAATTATAATTAAATTATGGTACTTAATGGTGTACGATTTATTTTCTATATATTATACTGAGACTAGAAAAAGGCAAAATGTAATTATAATTACCTCCAAAGTGATTCGCTGGACGAATTAAGGTGAGAATCGCGTATAGCAGCAATCCTAATTGATGTGCGAGACTTTGAGAGAGAATCGCGACTGTCAGCACGTCGATTCTTCTTTTCGCGGATGATGATTGATTTTGGTAGATTAACAGAGACCATGACAAGAGCAGAATGCATATCGGTGAACCTACGCATGTGGGTAGCCATTCGCCCACCTCGCTTCGCATCTCTGCGGGAGAAGAACAAAAGCCGTTTACAGTTATTCAAATGATTAATTATGCGGTGATTACGTTTTGCACAATTTTTCAAGTAGGTGGTACCGCATAAGTATCGTCATTACACCATTAAATCTCATTGCTTTCCGAGTTAGGTATTGTATCAATGCATAATATTCAAGGAAAGAGAAAATTCTCCAACCCGCAAATTAAAAAGGTGAAAAAATGAGATTATTAAAAGCAATTTTTTTTTGTAAAATTGTCCCACATCTTTTGTTGTGAATAATAAAAATGATAAATAGCTCATTGTCAGTTTTTACTTTGATTGATTTTCAAGACTTACACAAATGAAAAGAATAGAGTGCAATCATCCTTCCTCAAGAGCTCTCTATAGATGTGTAAATTCAAAGTCTTTGAATATTTTTAATATTCGAGTTGAGACTTTCTTCTCCTTGTAAGTACCGGCGTCTTTACAATAAGCATCTCGTATTGTAGGCGCGATCAATGAAAATGACGACGAGGACAATTCGCATGGAATTTTTCTCGCCGCGCCGGTCGTCCTCTACCGCGGAATGAGGCAGGACAAGTTCCCAGTGAGAGTGGTGCGCGATATCCTAATCTCGATGAAAGCCCGCGTCGTGGCAATTAGCGCGCTGTGTGTCGAATTATATTCGCGCGTGAAGAGACGCAAGCGAATTATTGTTAATCAACGACAGTGGCAGTTATGTATACAGTTAAGTTATTAACGCGAAGAAGGAAACGCCGACGCGAATGTCGCGTCGAAAGAGGGGATGCGACGTTTTCACACGACATATCTCCTTTCCCTATCCTCATTCCTTTGTGGCTCTCTCTTTTTCGTTATTGCTTTACCGAACCCAGAGATTTAAAAAGATTTAAAGAGATTACACAAAGATGACTAATTTAGAGAATTGACTAGAAAACAAGTCATCTTTTTTATTTAAAAAAAATCTTAATGTATTTCTTAATATTTTTTTCTAAGGAAGTTTAAGTCTTTTTAATTAATAATTCAATTATTTATCTACAAATATGGCCAATTTTTATGTTATAATTAAGCCTTAATCTTAGGAAAGAATCGACAGATATACCGCACGCTCGATTTTTTTATTGAAAAAATAAATAATTTCTCTGTTTTATTCTTGTATAAGGTTTGGGCGCGTTCTCCATCTCTCTCTATCCGATGCTTCTCATATTGTACAACGTCGAGGCAACTTTCTATTCCGCGCAGTTTGTTGACGTCGCGGTCTAATTTATCGTTCAAGTCAATTCGTATCCGCGTGTGCAGCGAATTTCCCTTCCGTCTAAATTGCGAGAAATGGTCCCCCTTGTCGACATATCGGACCCTTACGGGAGTTACGTGTCAGATGCGGACGCAGGAAGAGGAAGACGCGGAAGATCTTTGATCGCGTAACGATATACCGTGCCTTTCGAACGGTATATACATTCTTTTCGCACATTTCGCCACGAGTGATTGCGCGTTTTATTTAATAGAATAACGCGATAAAAGCCGGTTTCGTCGTGGATCTCGTCGTATATTACGCGATTATCGAGATAAAAATATCTGCTGCGATCTTACGGCCATAAAAGAAAATAGGGGAAATACCAACAGCGCCAGTTTTTCTATATAAAAAGAAAAAAGAAAGATCCGGCTGGAGTTATTGTACTTTCACACGGATGATTTTATCGGAAAAACTTAACGAATTTTATGTGTTCGAAAGGAATGCTAAATATAATATATATCTCTTCATCTTCCTAAGTATACATTTCCGAATGCCTACGGATCACGTGCCTTCTTTTCTTTCTCTTGCGGCGCTCGCACTTTCACATCCGAAATGTACGCATTCCGTTCTCGGTCGGTGCGTATAAATTTTTCTGTTAATTTTATAAGTATAATCGTGTACTTTCCTCTGACAAATTGAATAATTGACGATAATGCTAAATAATCCAGACGTAATAAAAAATATATACCAGTATTCGAACTGCAATTGCGGCAAATATGCGCAAGAAGTAGCTTTCAAACCCGGCAGTATTAAAAGACAGTAATTCCAAATCAATTGAAAAATATTTGAAGAAGCTTCTTTGATTTTCGAATTAAAGTTCTAAAAAATGTAAATGAAAAAAACAGTCAATTATAATAATTTAATCTCGAGCGCTTGATTCAGAAAGAATGCAACTTTGTAATTTAAAAATAAGGATCCGAGTTTCTGGAGATTTTATTTATGAAAAACTATAATTCTCTTTCTTCGATTAAATAATATATCATTAAGATTCTCTCAAACACTCGTGTATTCTTTAACTTTGTGCCGCTAACATCATCATCATCTCGCGGCGAAATCATGATTATGCTAAACTGGTTGCGCGAGCGAAAGAAACCGGGTTAATTTTCCCGCGAATAATAACAATGTCTCCCTAGGAAACTAGTCCAATGATTCCGCATCGCTATTATATTCGCGACTCGTGTAATCGACCGGTCGTCGGTTCGTTTCCGCGCTTTTGCGCGGCGGATGTGGGTTATCCCAGAAGGAGAGGAAAGAGTCCGCACGCGGCGGGAGGTGAATCTCGAATGTTTTACGAGGCGTCGCTATAAAAGTCGGCCCAATCGAGTCTTGTTCTTTTAAACATACGGTAAAATTAGAAACCCAAGTCGACGCGTAGTTTACGCGATTTGCCCATCATGCAACCGTTACTCCTCGGACTAAAAATGCTTTTGCGAACGATGCCAGACATGTCCGGTGCATTAGTAGAAAGCGCTGATCTTTTGTACCACAGCTTGAACAAAAGCACACGATTTAATTTCGCGAATGATGTTTAAACGAATATTTCCTGTAAATTTGCGTTATTTATATCAAAAGCAAAATTATATAGAATCCATGGTAAAAAAATACCATCTAGAGGAAAGATAAAAATTACAGCTCAGCTAATAACACTTGTCAAGTTTCAAGATTCTTGTGCATACGAGTGTAATTTTATACTTTCCAATTTTCGAACCAGGTTTCCCATATAATTTACATATGTTTTCATAAATGCATTTGCGACAATTTAATATAAAATATTTAAATTTTGTCTAGTTTTCTATGCTTTTTTCTGCGTGGGAAATATTAAGCGAAACGAGCAAGTAAATTAGCTTGATAGTTTTACATAAAATGTTTTGCGCCGCTTCAGGTTAAAGGTGAATATACATCAAGGTGCGTCCATCGGAATGCATTCAATGCAATCTACAAGGTCTGACTTTTCAACGGAAGGCAGGCGTATCTTCGATTAGACTGGAATGTCGAGAGGTGTTAGTGGCGACCGAGACCAGAAAAACTCGTGGAGGTGAACCTGAATCGTCGAGAGGGATGTTGCTGTTCCGAAGACCGGTGCCCGACCTTGTTTCGGAGGAACCAGACCAGTTTCGCCGATAACATCGCCGCAGAGAAGAATGGTTCCCGCGCAGAATCCTACGCGGTCCAGAATTCTCCAGTTTCTGTTCCAAGTGCGATTCAAAACGACACAGAACTATTGATCTGTATTTTCTCCGCGCATTCAATCTCGTACGCGATATATGTCACAATCAGTTCTCAATAATCGAACCTCGCTAAAAAAACTTTTCCAAGCTGGAACTTTATATAGTAATCGTAATATACAAAACTAATTTTATATATATTTGTAATTCTTCATTGAAATTGCGTTTAAAAATAGATAAATTGTCACGACTTATGATATGAGTTTTTGCCACTGGAATATTGAGTGCATTATTTAATTAATATAAATACCGTACTATATTATCAATAAGAGATATTTGAAAATTCTAAGAATATTCTAAAAGAAAAGATATGACATTCGAATAGCATTTGTAATTAGATATACTGCGTAGATGTAGGACAACTTGTTACGTGAATACATCTAGCTACTTTTTTACTTATATTTACTTGTATCCGTGAGTGTTATGTTGATGACGATAAGTAGAGAATGAAATAGACGAGCGTTTGACAAGTTTAGAAACCAATCGTTAGCCAAAGTGTGTAAACGAACAAGAGATAACTTTCCGTTTAATATAGATATCATTGGCGAATGTCTCGATTAACTTGATCAAAGCGTTGTGTATATAAATAATATTATATGTATGTATAAAATATCTTCCAAGTATTACCGCATATCTTTATTGTACGAATAACTACTTCTATTGATTTTTTAATTTATATTCCCATTTTTAATTTATATTAATTTATATTATATTATATTTTTCATTTAATATTTTTAATTGATGTTGCTATCATTTTGCTCGCGCGTATTATTTCATTATGCATGGAAGTGCGAGTTTCAAAGTTGAAATAAAATTTACATTTATTACTATAAAAATTGAGCAAATTGTGACACTTTTTGTCGAGCGAAAAGTTGACTTTTCTATCTGTCGAAGACATCAGCGAATATATTCGAAGCTCGCATAAACAATGTCCGTACTGATCTGAGCACGTTGACGTGAAAGAGTCGTGCGGCCGAATGTCGCCGGATAAACGCTGTGACTTGAATGCGCGCAACAGCGCGAGTGCGCACAAATGGTGATGATGATCGCGCGGGTGTTTTACAGCGCGAAAACACGACGGAATTACGTTCATCATGATTATGACCTTCGTTCAATTAACGCGCGAGCTGGTACCGAGATGAGCGACGTGTACGGCGCCCACGTGAAAATGATCCGACGTGTCACAACTATTGTCCTCGGTTAAATCCAGGCTCTAACTCGGTCGTGTGAAACTTTTACGATAAACTCCCGCCTACCTCCTCCTTTTCGCGGCTCGCTCTTCTCTCGCTTAATACCCACTCTCGTGAGAAGAATCCGAAGAATGCTGATGACCTCCACCTTGAGATTACATTTGAACTGTCCAACAAAGTATACTGGGACCACCCTCCGAACAGGTAAGATATTGACGACGGAAACTCTTCTGTGAAAATCCTAACTTCGAACATTGTGGATTCTAGACGAAAAATGTCGACGAAAAATGTTCTTTTATTTGCTTTCTTTCCTTTTTCCACGATGAGAGCTCGTTCAGCTTCAGATGAAGATCTTATCGAGAATTTTTTCCAAGGTGATTCTTCTTATACTTATCTCAAGATCTATTTCAAAAACTTAGAAATTTTAACAGGAAATATTAAATTTATTTTTCACTCTTTTAAATCAAGTCTTGGTATCGTACATCGAAAATTCAATTTTGCAAAATAAATGTTCAATTTCTTAGAATCTCTCTTTAAGATATTTGTTGTTGTATGCAAATGAAAAATAAACGTGTTACGTGGGATAGGGAGAGAGAGACATAAAGTTCTATGACCGAGGCGAATTAGATCTTTCTAATTCGAGTCTTGGCACGGACACCGGTCTGCTGCCGTTTGCACCCGGTTACTGCATCGCTGTGTTCCAAGTAGGTTACGAATACGAGCGTGCTTTGAGAAAGTAACAGACACCATCGAACTGTCGTTCCGCTCGCCACGATTAGGCGCGTACACTCGCTAAGATATGATAAAGTTTTTTTAAATACACAAATATATAACTATACCCAAGGTATATTTTGCGACAAAAAGAAAATTTGTTTGATAATAACATATGGAAAATAAAATACTGATATTGCTTTGCTAGAGAAACATCGATTTCAAACTGAGCAAAGAGCAAATGTTAGAAAAACCTGCAATAATCGATTTTCTTTTTTTTTTTTACACTATTTGTAAGTTTGTATTTTTATCTATTTTTCTCTTTTTCTCGGAATGAAGGAAATGTTTCTAACACTTCTGCGCGTGCCAAATTCCTAGAATCGAGTCTTCCACGCGATTTTGAGGCCAGAGAAGAACGGGTTTTGCCTCGCGGATCGCAGAAATTCCGCCATCAATTGCTCGATATATAGTAGCGTCGATTTATGATTTATATGAGAAGTGGGAATGACGTGACTGCACCAAGCTGCATTCTATTCTTATATTCTCTCGCGCGCGTGTGGTACGAGATATTGTAATTACGCGCTCCGCTCGCTATATTGACGCTTTAATGACACGTGCGATTAAAAACTCCGAGACACGGATTATGCGAAATCTCGCGTTGTGCAACGAGAACACAAGTCGCGTTACGCGGCTTGGATTCCGATGCAAATGCACAGGAGATTACGTGCTCGCAAAATTACACGTCTGCCGCGATCGCGATCGCGTAGAAAATACACACGAATACACACGCTTGCGCTATATATATATATATATATATATATATATATATATATATACATATTCGAAAAATCCGTATATCGCGTATGTGCAACAATTGTACATATAATATTCCCTCGCGGAGGTGGAGCGGATATTACCGTGAAATTGCGGTACTTGAGCAGCGGTCTTGGAGCGGTGTGTGTATCTGATTGAGGGGCTGCATTTACATTGTTATGCTCATTGAGCGAATTAATGCGCCGTTCATAATCCGACGCAAGGACGCGAGGAAGACACGTCCTTGACGTTCCGCTAATGTGCCCGAGCCGGCGAGTTAGGAATTAGAAAAGATTAGAGATTAGAAGCGAGATATTATATATAAATCACGTGCGCGAATCATTTTCAGACACTTCAAAGTGCAGTGATTTGTCTATGAAAATATTAAAATTCGGAGAATGTGGGAGAGATAGCGGAAACAGTCTACATCATTTGCATTTACATAACTGGAATGCACAGATTTTCAAAGGGTAATTTTGTGGGTCGCAGCATAATAAATGTATCTCGTATACGTAATATATTCGTTCGTTCTCCATTACTACTACTAGCTTATTTATCGTTTTGTTTTCTATTTACTTACTGCCGATTGTCAATGATTACGCGGGACCAGCGTGGAATGTCGCATCGCTAGGATGTGCCTGTGAGATGCGGATGTTTCCGGACGGGTGTCTGATCCTGCCGATGCGATGGTGCCTTTCGAGGTTCTCGCACTTTGGTGTATCCGGTCCTCTTACATTATGTACGAAACTCTCCTCCTGTTTTCATCCACATACGCACCACGTATTTTCGACCCGTGTCTTCAATTTTGATGAGCGGCAGCTGTAGCGGCCATAAACCTAAAGTGTCTTCACTTTACGGGCGAACAGAAGCACCGTTTTAGCACGCACGGCACATCCAATTTCACGAGGAATTTGTTTTCGTTGATTTTTGGTCCACGCGTCGATCGACCGATAGTAGGATCCTCTTGTAACCGAGATGCAGCATTGGTATCGGCGAATAAAAAAAAAACAATTTAAATTGGAAAAATTCGATTTTTAAATTCGAGTAATCGATTTTTGGAACTGGAATTAAATTAATAATTGAAAACACCGTACTGTCTTTTCGAAATGACCGTAAAATCGCAAAGTATATTGCGATAGTGACAGGAAAAAAAAATAACGAGAGTGCCACAATATTTATAAAAGGTTTCTAAACACACTCGTGCGTTCCGGTCGTCGCAGTGTATATCGACAATGAGTAATTGAGTCCGAACGTGACGGAGAACGCGGCCAATACTGCCGCGAGGAAGCCCGAAGCGGGACTGACTGGCAGCCAGGATCCATTTGGGTCAGCAGCACAACGTAGTATACCAAAGACTGCTTCTCGACTATACTATCTGTTACAACACTGAGTGAAGGTGCTATGGTACGTGCATTATAACGGAGCTATCTTCGCCGTTCGTGCGGTTCGGTTTTTCTTCCGAGCATCTCTCTCGTTCGAGATCTTCGGATTATTCACGCGCGAAAGAAGCGAGTCTAAAAAAATGCAAATTACCATGTCGAGATTTTTCAGCGCAATGAAAGCTTCGAGTTATGCGAATAGAAATAAACATGCTCTTTATTTTGTATGTATAATCTTTCTTTTAGCATATTTATTTTTTAATCTTTTTATTAAAATTATTATAACATTTATATGTGGTCGTAATATGATTGAATAATGTGCGATTTTAACGAGCATAATCGACATCGAAGAAAGCGGATAATTATTGTCCAATGTGCGTGGTTAATGGAAATAGTCATTAATAGAAAAACTTATTTAACTTACACGAAGGAATTTGTATATAGCGGTTAATACGAATATAAATATAGTAGTTGATGTTGGCACAAATATATCTTGTGTTTATGATAGCAGGATGAATGAACACAATGCTTGATTAAATATAATACTTGTACATTCGAAATTAAAAATAGCGCGCGCAGGTGTCGATGTAAATGCGCGATAATATTAAGTATAAGAAAATTATCACAAGTGCATACATCGCATTGAGTTAATAGTTCATTAATAACTGCATCTCGTTTTCATTATTGTAAAATTAAGCAAATAATAACATTTGCGAACATTTATGTATGTGTATATTCTGCGATGTATGCAAGCTGTCTTAGAGACATATGCTAAAAAATCAATAGCTGTTTTTGCTTTTAATCAAATTCCTATTCCACAAGACTAAGAACACATTATACGCCTTTCAAATATTTCAATACCTCTTTACGCGTAAGCCTTGATAGGCTTTCAAAAGTTTGCAAATATTAACATTTAATTTTTAATATACCCGCACGAATCTCTTCGTATTAAAAATATATATATATTTTTTTATATAGATAATATTTTTTTGTGTTTTAAGAAAAATAGGCTTTTATAGTCACATGAGGCATCCCATATTCATCAAGAGCTCTTTGCTTATTAGGAAACGTAGAAATAGAAAATCTAGAATTGGTAATGCAATGGTACGGAAGTCTTTGGTTTAAATTCCACGTAATACGAATAATCCAATTGCAGCACGACGTAGTTACTGTTAACAAATGCTCTCCTGAATGGATATGGGTTTCCTTTGAAAAGATGCGGACACAAAGGCGGCTTATTCGCGGTTTTTGCCGTTTCATTATCGGCCACGTCCCATAAATCGATCATTTGACATCCTCGTGGTCTGAAACAAATAGATTCAACATTGTGCAACTATGATTGTAGTTACGTATTTCTTTCATATACTTACAAGTTTGCAAATCCAAGGCACAGCGGTTCCTCTAATACAACGTAACTAACTTTCATGTTTCTTAAAGAAGCATATACAGAAGTGGCATCTTTCCGACTGAAAATCTCGTAAACCTTCATAGTTCTATCCCTATAAATACACATGCCACATATATAATGTATATATAAATAAATAATTTTAAATAATATAATTTCACGCAAAATTACATGTGATGATTTTAATTTTTAATTCAGGTCTCACCTCATCTCTTTGCTCTCGTAGTAAGGATTATTAACAATCGGTCTCTTAGTAGACAGCATTAGATTCGCCATCAATGACATCTTACCCGCAAATGCGGCATTCTTTGGTGTATTACTCTTTATCCATTCAAATAGCTCTTCTTGTTCAATATTGCTGTATTCGCCTGCGTAATGAAAAAAAAATACAATTGTGATATCTTGCAGAAAATCAATAAATTTATAATTTAATTTACCTATAAATCCGCGTTCCTCTTGAAATCTGTCAACACCGTGATACGACATACCACCCAAGATAAGAATAAAAATGGCAAGTCGCATGAGTTCGCCTTTCAAACCGACTTTTTCGAGATATCGTTTGCTACACGCCGCACCAGCTATTATACAAAGATGCGGCGTCATGAATAACTTCAGTCTCATAATAAAAATAGTCATGATGATAAAAGCGCCGATTTGCAGACCGTTATACGCCACATCAGCCTCTATGCAAAGTGGATAATCGTTCGTCTTGAAACTCCTGTACCAGTAATACAGTGCGAGCATTCCAACGAGTATTGCTGTTGGTAGCAATAAAGTCCTAATAATTGCTTCGTAAGTTCTATATTGCAGAAAGTCGAATTCTGGCGAGCATGTATAGAGCATAGTATGAAAGTCTCTGAAGTTTGTTAATTTAGATTTTAATATATTGAACACATGAGCGTCATCTTGAGAATATAAAATGTAAGATTTTATCCACTTGGTAAAAATGATCGTTATAGCAATTTCGAGAATAATTTCACGTTTGATATTCTGAAATCGGAATATCTTCATTATAAAACTGGCCACGTTGCTGCCGATTATGATACACGTGTAGAGCGAACAAATTATAAGAGTGCCATTTGTTATTTTAGTCGCTGCCGCGATAGCTAAGGCATGAGCCGTACACAAATTTTTGTAAAAATCGTACGGGACGATCCTCAGCCATTTCAGTATAAGAATTGCTATAATTTGCGTAGTAAAAACAAAATGTGAAAACTGCCAGGTACATAAGCTGCAAATTGTTGAACCAAATATATCCTGCAAAGATAGAATAATTTGACTGTAGCAAAAAAATTATGTAATAATTTTTTTATACGTACCATGAATAATCCTTGTCTAGATCTATTCTTTAGTAAGATTGGTTCTTTATCCGAGTCGTGTTTTGTGTATTTTCTGATAGCCATTGTAACACTGTACATTTGAAAGAGTAACATAGGATACGCGAAGGTTTCTCGCAATGGCGGCGTCCATTGAACGCGGGTGCATTCGTTATGGTTAACGAAGAAGAATAGAATCGTTACGAATCCACCGTAAATAGAATTGCTTAAATACGTCGCGTAGTAAAAAAGTATTGCTGCCGTGAAAATTGTGGAAAACCAAACTATCTCTAAATAGAAGTACACAGGTACGCCCAGGCCTTCACAGCTAGTTACGGGCATCAACCCATCTCCTCTTTCTATCTAAATATAATTGAGACTTGATTATTCCATAAATTTGATCCACTTTGTAAAGATATTTTGAAAAGTCTTACCTGCCAACATTGTTCCTGGGATATAACACCAAGACTTTTTGCAATATGATACAGGAAGCCTGCTACAATCTATAAAATAAATAACAAGAGTTGTGAGAACTATCTTATATTTAAATTTTGGCTTAAATTAAAAAATTTATAATTACTTCGGGTAAAAGACTATATTTTCTGCTGGCATCAATAACATTGCCATACTCTGATAGATTGTCACGACTGAGCTTATCCATCCCGTCGAAAAAGTCTTTCGACTCGGCGATGGTCTTGTAATAAGAGTAATACATTCCCTGAAAAAATGCAAATTATTTAAAATATTTAAAATATTTAAACTCATCAGTATGATACTTTTTACAAACGTATAACTATGTAAAAGCAGTTTAAAAATACACAAGTTTTAAAAATACAATTATTCATGTTATTTGAATGGTGTATAAAAATAAGTTTTTAGCTCTGAATATATAATTTTCTATTTATTGAGAGAAAATTTCTTTCTCTCGTACACATATTTTTTTCTAAATAATATATGTATATGAAACTTATTGTTAGATTTCCTCTCACTACATGATAATTTTAAAAATTCACGTTTTTATTTGCATGATTAAATTGGAGTATTTTATACTCTACATATTTTTTTGCTCTTTTTTATTGACATTGCCTGCGTAATAATTTATTTTCTCGTGCAATTTAGGCAATTTAACATAAAATTTGACAAAAGACAAAAGTGTTTGATAGATACAAAATTTCTGCTCATTGTCAGTCACAATTTTATTGAATTTTTCTATGACTGCATAAAATATCACCTACTGTCATACCATCTCGGTCCTGAAGGACATTTCTCGCTCGATCTCCGAAAGATGAGAGAAGTGTCGGTCATTTTCAAAGAGCGTGGATACATGCCACCGATGCAAATAACCGAAACCAAGACCTGTTGTTGGAGCAAAGGTTGTTTCACCATTAAACGATGCTTCCGCTCACGGATCACGTCGGCTGCTCGATCTCTTTATGCACGATAAAGCGAGTGTTATTACCCAAAAGATTTACAGCCCAATGATAAAAAGCGGTGCTCTCGTATGCCGGTTTTTCGGCCGTTCTACGCTTCCTGTCATTTTTCGTGGCCATCTTTAGAGCTCTTCTTTATAACTGCATCGTGTCACACTTTCTACACTTAAAATGAAATAGCTATGCGAAGTAAGCCATTGGAGAGAAAAAGAGGAAAAATATGGAAGGTGTAGCTGATGTAGGACCTTTAACACATAGCACGTGTAGAACACAACAGATCACGTGATCGTTACCACATGACAACTTCCGACAAGCGCGAAATTTCAAATGTTCCGCAAGAATACATACTCTTTTTCATAGATGCATAAAATTTTATTACACACGTAATTCTCTTATATTAATATTATTCTTATCCCTTTCTAAAAAATGTTAACTATTTGTGAATTCAATTTCTATTATGTACATAATTTTAATTCATCGAATTTCTATTATGTACATTATTTTAATTTACCGAATTTCTATTATGTACATACATACATGGAATATTAAATTGAATTATTTATATATTCGCGTTATATTCTTAGCATTTGAGCGACTGTCATCGCGATGGTTAACAGTTTGACAGTTATTCAATATAAAATTAAGTAAAATTAAACAAAATCACTAAACAAGATCAGACAATGGCGCGCGCTTTCATTGGTCTAGTATACACATAAAAATTACCATGTATAAATGCTCCAATTTACAAATTAAGTCTATTGTGAAACACGCTAATCTCCAGAAATATGATTGACGTTTTATATTTTTCTTCTCGGAGAGATGTTTAATTAGATCTTCCATTACAATTATTATTCCTTGTTTATGCGATGATCTAAATAAAAGCTCCAGTTTCTCGAAAGAAGGGCGACACGGTTTTACGCTCCTGGAATTGCGCACGTATAACGAAGCATGCATCGGCACTCCCGTTATCGATCAGTCTCGTGGTAGCGGTGGTAGCCCGCTGTCATGGAGGATCTTCTGTTGCAGATCGTCAGGGAGTCGAACAATGCGAGGCTACAAAATTTACGAAAATCGGCGCAGGAAGCGCACGGTAAGAGTCCTTTTCTTTTTTTGCGTGACACTTTTATCCAATTTCTTATCAAAGATTTTTCCCGCGAGGGACGTAGCTATCTTGCTGCAAGTTTCTTCGATGAAACGTCAAAACGTCAAAAGCAAGTCGCATCCCCTTTGCGACAAATTTAATCGTAGCTATAAATTATACAAATGTATATATTTCATTTAATTTGATTGAATCTAAAAATTTTCGCTGTATGAAATTATTTTTTAAGTTGACGTCATGTTTTTTTGGTAACGTAAAATCATAGTATGACTGTATGACATACGTTAACGAGATTAGTCAGATGTTAGTCACCGAGAAAATAAATGTTTTTTAAATATTTTTTTAACTTATGATAAAAGATTAATTTTTCTTCTCTGCAGATTTTCTGGAGAAGCAACAAGGCTTATTACGAGATCCTCCTCACGAATTGCGCGCAAAATGCTTACATACGTTTCAGCTAGCATTGGAGAGCAACAGGAGCAAGTTCATTGCCTTCGGTCTTGCGGGATTACACGTAAGCGATAATTTTCTTGTAAATAGTAATTTTTTACGTGTGAAGAGATATTTTTTTCAATTATAAAAAAACACTACGAATGTAAAATATCACGCGCTTGAAGGCTTATCGTTAAACTATTCTTCTTCCTACGTATGTTGGTGGTCAGCATCGGTCGTATAACCGCATGGGGAGAAACGTATGTTCCGGAACTGCATGCGATAAAATGAGAGATAGGGACGAACAGCTGCGACAGTTTAAAGCGAAATGTCGCGTCGCTGCGACAGGATTTTTATTATAATTAACTTTCGAACAAGTTATTTTTATAATTTTTATAAACTGTAACAAAGAATGAAATATTTTGGACAAGATAGATAAACTATTACAATTAATTAATATTCGATTGAATCTGATGATAATTGTACTTTATATATTAATAATTTTTTTGTTAATAATTTATTGAACTAATATAATAATCAAACTGATAAAATTTGTAGAAAATGTTGAGGGATGACAGGTTTCAATCGCCCTACGAACCAGAAGATGATTCGTTGTGGTTGCCTGCACAAATGTTGCACGCCATGAGCTCCATCGTTTCGCAGTCCGATGACACGCAAACAGATATGCTGAAAGTGAGTTCCGTAATAAAAAAATATTTCAGAACGACTATTTTAAAAAATCAAATGACAAATATAATCAAAATATTAATAAAAATTTGAAAAAATAAAATATCTTCCGCTTTACAATGCCTGTTTTAAAATTATCATTCAAGAGCGGAATATCTTACGGCTTTCTTTTTTAGGTTTTACTGCAAGTTGCTTGTTCCCCTTATTGGACCATGAACGGACGTCTGATTATTGCTATATTGACTACTTGCTGCGAAGCTTTTGAAAATGGGAATCAAGCTGTACGTACAGCAGCACAGGCGGCGACCAGTCAAACATTGCGATCGTTTTGTCTTTTTTTAGGTAATATATAATAAAAAAATTCAAGCTAAGAAGAAAATAAGAAATACAATATTGCGGACGATGTATATCCGCTTTGCGCAGTGAATGAAAGTAGATAGCTCGCAAAGCATTCATAGAGATGTTTGGTCGATAAATTACAAGATCGCGTGTCGGTGGAAAATGCGAGTCAAAGAATGCCATCGGTGAGGCGTCTCAGCTATATCGTTGGCATTAGCGAATGTGCATCGCCAGCGTAATATTCCAATATATATTATGCTAAAAATAAAAATTGTTTTTTTATTCGTATAGATGAAGAGTGTCAGGAAATGGACGAAAATGCCAAGCGGAACAAAAATGTCCGTGAACGGGGCGTCTCCTGCTTCAACGAGGCTCTTCCGATTTTGCAGTACATCTGCAGCAAGCTGGATGAGGCTCAGAAGTAAGAACGCGTATCTTAGGAAAACTAGTAACGTATAAGAATCGTGACTTAATATATTACAAGTAATATTTAGGAAATCCTGTTCTAGTAACGGCAGGAACGGTAACACTGTGGTCTTCCTACTGGAGTGTCTGCACACGCTCATATCGTCGTTACCGCAAAAGATTCACACCAACGCGCATTTCACGACCTTCCTGTGGCAGAAGTTCTGTCCCGCCTTGATAGCCTTCCTGGGCACGCCTCGAGTGGATAAGACATTCACCTCCCGGGAGGGGAAAGAGAACGAGATTGGCAGAGGTTCCGGATACTTGGCCACGTCGTTGAGCTTCGACAGCCATCAGGCTAAGACTGTTTATAGGTAAAAGTCTTAACAGAATTATAACAGCCTCTGAAAATAATTTTTAATATGAGTTTGAGAGAATTATAAATTTTATTGTATAATGTTTTTTTTCTTCAGCATCGGTACTGAATTGGTAAGATTAGTAGGATGCGTTGGCCCGCTGCGACCAGTCTTGGAATCGGTGTTTCACCGAATGCTGCTATATCCACCACCGCAGCAACGTCTAGAACCTTTGAAAGCGTTGAAGGAATTGTTGCGTAGTCCTAGTCGCATGGTGGATTTCGCTGGACCATTGTTGGTGGAGGAAGACCGATCGAGTCACATACAAAGTGATATGGCACTGATGAGGCTGTAAGTGTTGCATATAACGCGTTCACGTTAAATAAAATTTCGTCTAATTTGAATAGCCAAATAGATTGTAGATTTTTTTATATACTGTATACATTAATATTATATTTTTCAGGGCTATGGACTCTATCGAGGAATCAACGACGGGTGGTTTGGCTATATTGCATGCGAGTGTCTCCTGCGTTGTCGCCATGTTGTCGGCGCTTCAAGAACTTTGCGAGGGCAAGGCTATTAATCACAATTATACATGCACGATCAATAGTTTGTACGAAGATTTGGAATCCTGCGATTATCGCGGACCTTTGACCTACCAAAGCATGGCACGGTTGCCAAAAACTTATAGGTGAGCGTCAGCAATATCTTGAGCATTCATGTTAATTAATTATATCGCAGTCATTTTAGAAGTTAAAGAAACAAGTCGATTTCAATTTTAATGCAAATATAAAATATTGAAAATTTGATCTTCTTTTAAATAATTATTTTGTAAGAAATAGGATTTTATCTTAATTCCTTTCTTAGGGAACAATTGGAATTAATGAAGAAAGGTATGGCTTCGGATTCCGATTCGTCTGGGCATGGACCATCGGAGGATGGCGATTCAACAGACACCGAAGGTCCGCAAAACGAGTCGGACGAGGTACAGGAAGACAATAGTCTCGACGACAACGATTGCGCGACGGAGAACGAGTGCGAGAGGTTGAGATTGAAAAAATTACCCAAATGTCTTCACGTGGGTCGACAGGTAGCCGACGAATGCAACGTGGATGTTGAAAGGCACAATGCTAGACGATTCGTAAAAACACTCAGAACAGATCTTATACCGATGGTACTTACATTGAGAAGTAACATCGAGGTGGATGAGGCGTTACAGAATTTTGCTTCCGAATATTGTCAAGGTAAATTGTTATTATAAAGATATTAAAAAACAATGTTTAAAAATTATTGATAATGTGACAATAATATGATATTTTAGAATATAAAAAGAGAAATTAAGTTTTTTATATTTTACGTATTTTAATAGGAGTGTTTGTAGTTCAGCAGAAACTGCAAGAACAAAATAATACCAGTACAGATTCATGCGCGTTAATCACAATCATGAACGCTGATGGAATTTATTTGGCGACATATGCGGCGTTGCTTCTCAATCTGAAATTAATTCGAATAAATTATTATCACGAGGAAGGTCGACAAGTACCAGTCAGCGAGGTATATTTAATAATTTAATTTCTATCAAACTCTTATCGCGTTATATATTTATACATCTTATATTTTCAAATTTTACTTTTAAGGAACAATTTGTGGAAGAGGTGCATGGATCAGGTGTGCTGGTTTATCTCTCAGCCACATGGCTTTCCGAATTGTATCAACAAGTGCTCGCGTGCAATTTACTCGAGAAATGTGGTTATAACCGCAATTCTACAGAAAATAATGCGTTAGTCAATGTTCTTACGGGTACGTTAAATACTAAATTATATGTATAAATATTTTAGTAAAATAAATATATAAAAAAAATATTTTTTTTTATAATATCTAAATTATTAATTTAAATT